TTCGGGATCTTAGCCCTTGACTTCAAACGCACGAGGCCCAATCCTCAAACGATGGCAAAACGTGGAAAATTTTCGAAATTTGAGAACGCATATCGCTTACATCTTTGCCGTGCTTAGTTTCTTATTTTGGGGAGGTGGGGCATCCTAGTGGGAGGGATGTTATCGGACGCTCCAAGCTAGTAAATCATATGATACTAACGAGGATACTGACTCGTTCTCATCAAGTACTTAACTCTAACTCACTTCTACCCGCTCACTCCACTCAGCCTCAAAACTACAACAAAATGAAATCAATCGTGGTCTTCATAATGTTCTTCTTTGAGCTTTTGCCATTTCGCACTTTGCAATGCGTCCCTAACCTGCATGATCGCTACTGTTCGTGTGCTCCCCTCATTCGCGTCGTCGTCTAGCCACCCCTGCAGACGCTGCTCTAGCTCTCCCACGGTGATGTCGTGACCGGCACGCATTATGCGTCCGCGGCGTAAGCGGTGCGCAAGAGAGTTTTCCATCTTATTTGTATACAATTTCCCTGGATTAGGAAATCAGGTTGGAGAGAAATCAGGTTGGAGAGAAAAGAGTTCTTGGAGTTAGATGTGCATGTAAGAGAGTAATATGAAATGAAAGGCTCTTTTCGCGCAATAACTTCTTCATCCAGTGCCTTCTTCCAGTGGATAAGTGAATGATGCAAGACTAGTACTGCTTCTTTAAATCTCTTGATTTGTTTTTAGCTCTATCTACTAGAAATGAAATCAATGCACCTCATAAATCTGACACCTCCCCACTGTCGCTATGGGACTAATATTCTGTCAGACGTTTGGGTTGGTAACAGTCGATGGCGGTATTGATTGATTGATGTACCCACTCAGGGCGTGTAGCATCTTTAATTAGTTGCAAGCATGTCCTTTTCACTTCTTCTTTCCTGAATATGAGAATCATGAAAAGTAACAGATCTTTCTGTCCTCTCTTGTTGGATGATCTTACTGAGATCGAGGCGCACCCACGATCAAGTTTGTGTCATCCACCTTGAAAGTGCGTTGGAAATGAGTAGTTTTGAAGAACGTGGCTGGGATCTCTACAAGTCTAAGTCCCTACAAACCTAAGAGCTCACAATCGATGTGTCCGTTGGATCATCCTGGAGATGGACAACTTCTTATGATCATCTTGTAAGACCAAACAAGTGGAGAAACAAGTAGATTTTCTGGAATGATCTCAGATCTGCCTTTCCTTTTCCTTCTGCCTTTGTGGAGGAAAGATCGTTTCTATGTCTCCTTTTCCAAGATAGAATGGAACAGATGCTCGTGGCACATTGCACTTTGGAGATGAGGATCACGCCGCCCGGATAGAGGACTGTCCGACAAATAATTATATGAGTACCTACTAGGCGGTTCTTGCTTAGACGGCATCAATCATGAAAAATACATGTGGTCCAGTTTGAAGATTATGTGAGTGCGAATCGATTCATCTTCGCTTAGGATCTTGACATTGGAAGTTCATCGTTGGAGATGAACGGGAAGATCACCCTGAAAACAATGAAATACATTTGACCTCCCTGTAACCAAAATTATGTGCAAGCTGGCATGAAAAAATTGGAAAAAGACGAACCCAAGCCAACAGACAGCAAGTTGTAAGCTAGCAGGGCTAAGTACTAACAAGAAGACTCGAATAAGCTGGGCTCAAATATTAAGCTTTGAAGCAGACAGAACAGTGCAAAAATTCATGCTTGAAGTCTACACCTACTCATCAGTCAAGAAGACTCAAATAAAAAGTAACCAATTCTTTGGCAGAAGTGATTAGTAGGTGTCATGGAAAATTTCGGAATGAGACAGATCGAATCAACCATCATGCTGTACATTCTGAACTGGATCGTGATGATTCGAGGCAGTCGTGTGATTGACTTGTTGTATCCCTTTCGAGGATCTCCTTGAGTATGTAAGTCTAAGTAGATTGGTATTTAAGATCGAGTTTGAGAGAACCGGTTCTTGAGTTTATCTTTTGCTGTGCATAATGAGTACTGATAGGACGAACAAAAAATGATTTACATCAACGACCAAAAAATGATAGAACAATGAGAATGATTTAGAGCATGATAAATGGTTCATTTGCTTCAACAATTTTAGGATTTTTGTCTATCGCGTGAAGAAATGCCTCGAGCCAGCCGGGCTGTAGTACTTTCTGTCCTTGGTTAGTATTGCCTTGTTCCTCCAGCAAGAACCTCACCTCATGCGTCCTCTATTATGCTCCCAGATTTGAAGGCTTTCCGTAAAACGCGCCTGAGACTTTTGGAAGAAACCAAGGCTGTCTGAGAGTCTGCCTTTGATTCCACCACACTCACCACTACCTGCAGCTGTATTCTTTCGGGCGCGTCCAAAAGGGTTGGCGTTCTTCAATTTCTTGGCTTCTGCTTTCATTGCTGCCAGTTTGTCTTCTGCGGCAGTGGTGTGTGACGAGGTTAGAAGAAAAACAGTGAAATCAATATCCAGTAGGTGGTCCGTCGTGGATAAAAATATTCCAAATGCAGATCCTGTAGTGCCACTACCTATCTTCCCTATCACATTTTAGTAAAACCAAAGATAAAGAATGGTGGAGCACATAAAAATCCTCCACTTGTCACAGGAGCCGGCTTCTTCTCCACCAGAGACTGTTCGACGACAGCACTAGGCGAAGGAGCAGTTGGTGACAATGGAGGTGGTGGATTCACATCACACAGCTTGAAAGAAATCAGGTGGGAAGCGTTCACGTGCTCTGCCACCGTCTTCGCGAGAGGGATAAACCCTTGTCGGAACTTCTCAAAATCGTGTATCACGTAGCTGCACCAGACGAAGGATGAAGGAGGAAAATGGGAATGCGATAAAAATGGGAAGAAGAATGTCTATGGATAGAGTCTCGTGGGTTCTTCTGAGTTGCTAGGACGCTCCATGTTCTGACTCAGAATAGTCTGAGGAGTGCAGATGAGTCTGTCAATTTAACCTGGAAACAAATAAGTGTAATAAATAGTGTCTCTGTCAATCAAATATGGAAACAACTAAGTTCACTTGTGGATCAAAATGAGCCATAAATCCCGATAGAGGTATAGCTGAGCCTGGATGTCGCTTAGGAGATCATCCAAGCTTTTACTGTTTTCGCCCAAAAGCGCCAAGTCATCAGCCACCTGCTTCGCATCCGCCTTCGCCTTATCCAGCTTACTGTAAGCTCTCTGTCGCTCTGCAACTTGCCCGTAGGTGTCGTAGGTGATCTGAGGTATACATAAGGTTTCTTTTACCACTTTGCTTAGACAGGAATACATTGGTAGTTGGAAACAAGTTCGAATTCAAATTTGAATTATTTATAAAATATCAGATTAGAGTTGTAGACCCAGTTGTATCTGATTTTTTCCCATCTGTCCCTGGTCCTATTCCCAAAAACAATCGTGCCGCTCGATCTCCGCTATGAGTATTTGGTTTGGATGCGAAGAGGTTGACGTTGATGGAGGACGAGTCAACGAGCAGCAGGTCTACAACCACGTAATTCCTCCTGTTAGTAACTTTGATAGCGAAGAAAGAGAGTGTCGGAAAACATCTTCAACAGGTACAGAAGTACTGTCGGAAAACATCTTCAACAGGTACAGAAGTACCTTCGCAGCGCCAATAATTCCGAAGACTAGCCATGGCGTCGACCGCAGCGCACTTCCCGCGATATTTGCCGCCGTATTCTGTGCTAGATAGGTATTCAACTCTTCCTCTTCTTTTACGACTTTGCTTAGACAGGAATACATCAAAATAAGCGAGATGATACTGAACAAGGACGAGCAGTAGCCCTGTCAACAAAGCTGCCTCCCTTATTTCAGTCAGTAACTCGGATATTTTCAGTTTTCGAGTACTTAGATGAAATACCAGCAAACAACAAGAACAAACAACACCCAAATCACAATCATAACTCGTCTTCCGCCATCACCTGATCGTGCGACACTTCTCGCGACCTCGCGTCGTGCAAGCCAGCCATTACTTTGCGGAAACGTGATACAACCATGCCTCCATCCATGAGCCACGTGTTGATTTCGTAGATCACAGCTGCTGCCTCTGCAAACTCAGTGTCTAATTCTGTCAGCTTGTTCAAAACGGGGTGCGATGGAGCTGCAGAGCGAGGTGCGGTACTGGAGAAGGAGTTAGAGTGGATTGGTCATTGATTGGTTGATTGATTGATGTGCCTATTCTTGAGGTATACTCTACTACATTATGTTGAGGATGAGCATCAATCATCGTTCTCCAGAACAACCGGTATTACTTGAGTCGCTAATCAACTAAAAGATTTTGCTCGCGTAGTTCATCGATCATCATCATCATCATCATCATTTTCATTTATGATTATGCTGATGAACTGCTCGTGCTGTGAGCTATCAATAAAATGATTCTGACTTGATACTCGGAATAGCGGTAGCCATAAACGATGAGCTCTTCTTGAATTCGTCGACTGAGACTGAGCCGCTGTCGCTGCAGGCGGCCGGTGAAATGGGTCCCCCAGTGCTGCACTTCGGCATATCTGAAAAGAAAAGATTGATATTGTTGTCTCTTTAGTATCCATTCTAACTACAGGATCAGACATTAGGGGACACCAGAAAACGAAGAAGGCTTTTCAAAGATTTCTGGCTTCCACCCGTGACTAGTAAGCTTAGACATAGTAGACACAAACCTCCACAACCTCAATCATAGGAGATTATAAGTACTTATAACATTACAGCCCAGCCAGCCCATTCCCATCAAATGAATAATACCGTCTTCGCCCTCGACAGTCGGTGGTGTGGCTGCTACGCTGAGAATCAAGTTCAACATGCCGCCAAAATTCTGAGATGCCTGCATCTCCATGTAGTTCCAAGCATCTAAGTGCCCTCTACACTTCTCGATGACATTGACCATCTTCTCTTTCCAGATGAAGTCGAAATCTCGGAGGAACAAGACCTGGCAGAGCGAAGAAGGAAGAGAGGTCGTGTAGAGTTCTTCTTGATGATGTGCTACTTTATGATTTTATACATAGGAACTACACACAGACGCAGGAAGAAAAAGGAAAAGTGCAAGAATGATTGAAGGCGTAGACGATCCCGGTCTTCTTTACCAATAAATTTAGGATTTTGGTAAAGCCTTTGTTCTAATTTGAAAACTGCAACGGCAACCATTTTCTCCTCTAACGAGCTAAGGCTAACAAGGATGCGACAAGGGCTTCCCTAGGATCAATCAAGGTCCTACTACTTACCAACTTCTCCAAGTGCCCACTAAACAGCTGTGTAGCTTCTTTCTCCTTGTACACCGGAAACGCCTTGTCCCTCCCTAACTTGTGCCATCCCTCCAATCGTGCGATGAGGGCAAAGAGCGCTCCATGTAGTTCTAGAGCTCTTGCGTCACCACGTTGCTTTTCTCCCTTCAAAAGGGCAACAGCTTCGCTGCGCCTCCTTTCGAAAGGGACCACCGACGACCCGGTGGAGGATGGCATATTGAAGATAGTCCTCGTCTATTTGCTTGTGGATTTTTGATAGACCGGGATAATGTAGTATTTTTTTGTTTTTTTTGATTGTTACTCATTCCAATTATACATAGACAGAGGTTACCTGTGGGTTGTCCATGGATTCTTGAGGAACAAAATCAATCGGGACAAAACAAGGAAATTCCCAAATGACGACCACAAGATGGACAGCCATTCATGTCGAGAAAATAGGAGGAACAAAAAGTAAAAGCGTCATCTCCTAATCTGGTAAATAGAAGTGCTCTATATTGAGTCTGGGAATCTCAGGGGGAGCAGGGAGGACATCAGAATGACCGAAGATGATCTCCCCATACTTTTTCTTCGGCATGCTTTCTCCCGAGTGATCTTGAAGGGTGCAACCGAAAACTTTTTGCTCTTCTTGATATCCCGCATGGTGTTGCCACTTAGACCTATATTGTTATTGACCAGAAGATATGACAGATGTTTCCTGTAAAAACGAATTGCCCTCATGTGGTGGGCAAACCATGGAGTCGACGCAACTTATGACGCAGCTGCACTTTATCGATAATGTACAGATCAGTAAGCTTCATTCGTTACCCTTTGTCTTTGCGTACAAGGTCGGACCTTTTTGGTTAAAACTGGCGCCTTCTTTGTAGTAGTTGAGAGAATTCCTTCTTAGCTCTTGTCTTCGCAGGGCACAATTTTGAAACTAGTAATAAGTCCTACGGTAAATTGATGTTGACTGAAGAGATACTTCTGATGCGCATGGTAAGTAGTACTTACGAATTCTATGCACAAAAAGGACTTTATACATGTTTATACGATAGTGAGGACTTGCGCTATTCCATGAGCTAAAAGGACTCGAGTGCATTGTAATAAGGTACGATGGTCAACATTCAATTGATCCCGATTACGCTTAGTTGCAGTTGCTGTGCACGATTCTTAATCATTTTGAAGAGAGAATAGCGAGAATGACATCATAGAATATCTGTAGATGATCAAGCACTAGATGTAGCGTGAACGTGCTACTAGCACTTCACTGTATGCATAGTCGTAGAGCTAGCCGTTGAACTGCATAGAAGAGTTATCCGTCAAAATTTCACGTGTGTGCGCCCGCGTCTGCATTCGCACCACGTTGGACGCATGAGCTTCGTGTTCTTGTTCACTCTTCCCACCATCCTCCAGAAAAATGACTTCTTTTCCCGTGGGAGCCCACGAAAAGCTCGTTACCGTGGTTTCAGGTGGAGAGCCCGCTTGATCATGTTGATGCCACGAATTAGTTTTAGTTGATATGTAGTAATCGTGATCTTTCTTTTCCCTGTGTTCTAGCATGTCATCTTCTACATGACCTGGTTGTTCATTTTTTGATGTTGATACGTAGTAGCTCTGATTTTTTTTGTATCGTTGCTGCAGAACTTCTTCTACTGTGGTCCCTTGTTGTTCTTGTTCTACATTTTCGTGGTATCGGGTACCAGTTGTACTAATCCCTGCTGTAGAGGTTGATACGTAGTAATCTTTGTCTTTCTTCTGTCTTGGCTGTAGCACAACTTCTTTTAGAGGTAGGTTTTTGGTGCTCGCTTAACCCGCTTGTTATGCCTTTCTCCCTTAGGAGAGGCATAAAAAGCGGTAAGAAAAGCACCTTTAACCTACCCTTAATTCTTTTTCAACAGCAGGTGTACTAGAAGGTCGCTCGGTGTTGTAGTTGTAGTAGTTGTACCCACCGTCAAGAACATCAGCAGGAGCAGCCTTTGTGGTCTTTGAAGATGTCATTGTCTTAGAAATACCCCGTCGCGTCTCTGATGGCACGCGACGAACCTCAGGTAGCTCTTGAATTTCACTCTTCTTGTGCAGTTGTTCAAGATTGCTACGATTGTTCGTAGACGGAGAGCATGAGAAAAAATTCTGAAGATTCTCCTTTGATGACGATTGATCTTGTAGTAGACTCGGCAAGGGTTGAGAAGTGTGGTTTGTCTTATTTTGGCCACAGCTATTGGATGAGACTTCGTCGAGGATGCCGTGAACTCCCACACAGCGATGCTTTTTGGGTTCCTCGCTTTCGCCTTCAGGGAGTTCGAAAGTCCCTGTCTGAAGTAGCTGCTTCGGATTCTTCTCTCTGCCTCTCGGTGGATCCACAGACCTTGTTCTTTGCTGCTCGAAGTTGCTGTAGTTTCTTCTCCCACGTGGTCCTAGGTCTGACGTTCTTGCCCCTTTACTATCATCTTCTTGCTGAACTGCTCTCCTAGTAGTTGACGGTGGCTGTGAGCAGTACAGTCGACGCAAGAAGGGCCCATCTCTATCCTCTTGCTCAGTATGATTGGACCGTCCACCACGGGAGGTCTGTTGAAACAGGTCTGAAACTGGTTGCGCCCGCGGTGGAGGAACTACGGGAGGAAACGAATGATAATAAATGTCCTGCTGCTGCTGCTGACCGTGGTCGACAAAATCAAAATAGCTCACAGAATTCGACTTTACTGACGCTTCTCCAACATCTTCGTGTGGATACCGCGTGGTCGCGGTGTTGAAGAAGCGATAATTTTTCGGACTAGAAACAAATCCCGATGGTCCTCTGGTAGGAAAACCCGAGGATGGTGCGCCTCTAGCAATGCCGATAGATGAGAAGCCCGCATCACACAGAAGTTCTTTTGCGCGTAGTTCTAGGAGTTGGAGACTCGAGGAATCTAACTTTCTGGCGACCACTTCCATCACGTGGCGTGCGTTAGGGTGTCTCACACGCCATAGACGCTCCATCCTAGGAACTAGGCACGAAGCGTAGTCCACCAACTCCGACAGCTCTAGAGTCGAAGAACTGTTGGAAGAACTTTGATGTTGTAGGAGGCTATTGTCGTGATCCTGGTCGTGTGGTTGTGGTGCCTGTAGGAGTAGGAAATTGGGGCGAAATAAAGATTTGATTCTGATTTATAGTTCTTGAAGATCAATTTATTAGCGATCATAATGCGGTACTACAGATGCGAAAATCACGAGCAAGACGTAGCTAGACCACCACCCCAAACAAGACGTAGGCGTACTAGGCTATACCCCTTTCTGGTGCAATAATTCCTCCGCAGTCGTATCCGTGTGGGCCAAGAGACCCGTCAACTGCGCGATTTTGGCTAATACCCGTAAACACTGCTCAAACCCAGTACGCAGTGCATCGAAGTCACCGATTCTCCGATCCTCTTGGGCTACTACTAGAATGGCTTCCAACCTCTCTTTCGTTGTCCGACGGAACTCCTCCAATTTTGAGCTCAAGTCGTCCGTCCGAGAAGAAAGCGAGGTGAGGTGCTGCAGGTGTTGGTATTTGTGTGGATACTTGCTTCTTAAACACTTTTGGCAATGATCCAGAGACGACTTATAGATATACAGAGAGATCAACTACGAGGACGAACTGCTTCGCTAAATGAATCCAGTCTTCAGCTTCACTCCCTAGAAAACAAATGCTATGATCTGGATCCTCTAGGCAAATGCGTCCAAATTGAAATTCGCTATGTCATGCGTACCTCCCTGATAGTGCTGTCCGGAGCACCCGTAGAGTTTTTTTTTTTTTGCGTTAGGACTATATGCTGCCACCCTTTCAATCAATTATTTACCCCTTATCTTTAAGTTTATCCAAATTACATACTGGGTGCGCATAAGACCGTACAATCGGCCACAAATCTACATCTATCGAAGAGGCCGTACATTCGGCCCCTGTAGAAAAACTAAGGCGCAACCCGACGCAGCGGGGCCCCATGAGCAAGTCAGCACATGGCGCTGATATTAGAGGGCGAGGGCTGGCGTCTCTAGCTCGCATATCTATGGCATTCCTACTTGAAGAAGCCATAGAGATGCTCTTAGATGATAGGTCAACTTCCAACCCTTAATGATAGAAAAAAGCCAATATACTAGAAAACTACCTCTTCCTCCATCTTCTTCACAATGCGTTCTTCAGCAGAGACAACCTCCTCAGGCACAGTCTTTCGCAATTCTTGCAATTCGTTGAGAAGACCTGAAGCCCTAAGATCGAGACCACCCAGTTTGCGACCAATATCAGCTAGCTGGAGATGTTAGATCTGGCAGAAGGTTGTTTAGTGTGCCTCAGCGATTGGTAGGATCTTGTGCACTGAATTAGCCGCATTGTGGGCTGAATTAGCCACATTGTGGACTGAATTAGCCACATTGTGGACTGAATTAGGCACACTGTGCACTGAATTAGCCACACTGTGCACTGAATGAGCCACACTGCGCACTGAATTAGCCACATTGTGCACTGAATTAGCCACAGTGTGCACTAAATTAGCCACAGTGTGCATTGAATTAGCCACAGTGTGCACTGAATTAGCCACAGTGTGCACTGAATTAGCCACATTGTGCACTAAATTAGCAACATTGTGCACTGAATTAGCCACATTGTGCACTGAATTAGCCACATTGTGCACTGAGTTAGCCACAGTGTGCACTGACTTAGCCACATTGTGCACTGAATGAGCCACATTGTGCACTGAATTAGCCACATTATGCACTGAATTAGCCACATTTTGCAATGAATTAGCCACAGTGTGCACTGAATTAGCCACATTGTGCACTGAATTAGCCACACTGTGCTCTGAATTGGCCACATTGTGCATTAAATTAGCCACATTGTGCACTGAATTAGCCACGTTGTGCACTAAATTAGCCACATTGTGCACTGAATTAGCCACATTGTGCACTGAATTAGCCACATTGTGCACTGAATTAGGCACATTGTGCACTGAATTAGCCACAATGTGTACTGAATATAGGCATTGAGCTCCCAGGAAGCGAGACAAAATAGCGACCCTGGCGGGTTTCGAACCCGCGACCACCCGATTGGATTGGAGTGGCATCACGCCTTGTAGTCGATTTTCTTTTGTTTGGATGCCCGTAGGAGTCCACCATGACACGGGAGTGCACCAGTGGTTGGGTGCTCTACCAACTGAGCTACAGAGCCGCTGTTGTTAACTTGAGGGGCACGGGGTACTCTCCTGGAATAGAGTCCCGAAATATCTATTACGGGGGTAGATATCGTGCACTTTGCGCCTTTTTTCGACCCCTTCTGACCGCTCTCCCGCACTAGAATCTGACTTTTTAGGTGTCCAAAATGGAGATACAGGCTGGATTCGGCAGGTTTTCAAGCTAAAAGTGGACGCATATTTCGTTGTACAGTTACAACACCCCTCATGATATAGGAAATGTGGATACGCATTTCCGGTGCACTGAATTAGCCACATTGTGCATGCATATAGCCACATTGTGCACTGGAATAGGTGGGCATTGGGCTCCTTCAGCCACATTGTGCATGCATTTAGCCACCTTGTGCACTGAAATAGGTGGGCATTGGGCTCCCAGGAAGCGAGACAAAATAGCGACCCTGGCGGGATTCGAACCCGCCACCACCCGATTCGAGTTGAGTGGCATCACGCCATTCCGACGAATTTCTTTCACCTTGATTCCCGTAGGCGTCCACCATCACGCGGGAGTGCACTAGTGGTTGGGTGCTCTACCAACTGAGCTACAGGGTCGCTGCTGTTCGTTTGAGGGACAGGGGGGTACTCTCCTGGAACAGAGTCCCGAAATATCTAGTACGGGGGTAGAGATCGTGCATTTTGGGCCTTTTTTCGACCCCTTTTTGGACGCTCTCCCGCACTAGAGTCTGACTCTTTAGGTGTCCAAAATGGAGATACAGGCTGAATTCGGCTACTTTTCGAGCTAAAAGTGGACGCATGTTTCGTTGTACAGCTACACACCCCTCATGATATAGGAAATATGGTAAATTGTTCCTCATTTTCCTTTGGATATTCCATAAACCTCCGTTGCATCATTCATCGCATTCATCTCCTCAACAAAGCGCTCTTGGTGGCCTCCCACAGTACGTTCCAGCGTCTCCTCAATCTGCTGGACTGTCGCGGAAATATCTCCCTTGAAAGACGCTAATTCGTCAAAGCACTCAGCGTTAGAGAACTTTACCTATGTCGTTGTTGATCTTGAAAAGCATCGATCTTTGGAAAATTGGACTTCCCTTGAAAATAAAAGGACTCAGAAAAAGGACTCGAAGATAGATGATGCTTCTTCTAAAACGAATTTGGGAAAGCCTTAACAGCAGCAGAGCGCTCGACCCTTTGAAGCCGTTCCTCTAGCTTGATTTGGACTTGCTGGTCGAGAGAAGCAGGAAGAACCTGTGTGTTTTTTTAGTTGATAAGCAATAGAGCTTGACACGGTAGGTAAGCTCTGAATACACGCTTTGCAGATGATTTTCTAGTCGTTCGAAAACAGACTAAAAACAAAGAGTACCCTAGCCACGCAGGCCTCAACCTTCGTATCCATGTCGATATCCTGAAGAGCGTGCCTCCCCTCTTGCGAGATCAGTCTCGCGATCTTGGCCTCTAGAGTCTCCATTTTCGTATCTATTTGGCCACGTAATTCTTCGACTTGTTGATCGACTTTATGATGTTGTGCTGATGTTGTTGCACCACTAGGCTGGTCACTAGCCATGTTGTTGTTCGTATGTTGATCGGCTTCTAATGTGGTACAAGACGGCTGTCGAGGAAGCATTATGTCGTCTTGGGGGATTAGAAAAAGGCCCTACAGCACGCACATGGTTCGTCACTCTGCTGAAAGTAACATGAAGAGCCAAGCTCCATGAGCATGACACTCTAGAAGCCTTTCATTGATTGCTTCATTGACTCGCTGATTCATTGGTTGACTGATTGATAGAAGCCTATCATACATAAAAACAATTTCCGCACACTCGCAGCAAGTTCGTCATGACGCGCACGTTGTGTTTTACTATCCGCCACCGCTTCGTGGACCAAGCGTCGGAGAGAGGCTACCTGCAAAGGCTCCACCAGCTGCTGCACACGCTTTTCCACCTCGGCTAGAGCGGAGGGGGCTAGGTGGAAGTTAGAACGAAAGAACGAGGCGGAAAGATCTCACTTGTGAGTGCCCCTGATATGGCCATTGGGAAAAAACCACCTCCGCCATTTCGGACAAAGACAACCTGCTTGTACACCGTCAAGTTCTAGTCTGTTAGAAACATCTTGAAAGTCATAAGCGTCGCAGTACCCGAGGATATTGCGCCTTCATTCCCGAATCCACCAGCTCCTCCTAAACGAGGTCCACCACCAGTAGTAGTTTCCAATTGAGCCAATCTTTTTCTCAAGTTCGTCAAGTCAGCACTGACACTTTCCAAGGCACCAGCAAAAGCCTCCATGTCTCGCTCCGTCGCCAAAACGACCCTCCGTAGGCGCTCATCTTGTAGTGCGGACTGGTGGTCTTGGGTTTTTGCTTAGAAGGAGTATGGTGATCGGTGGTGTAAAGATACATCAAAATTGCGCATATAAAAAACTAATCTTGTTTGCAGCATACCATGCTGATAAGACTGTTATCGATCACGACCAATGTTGATTTTGACTCGGTCTTAGTGTTTTAGAACGTTTTTTTCCGCGCCACTGCGTCTCGCTAGTAGTTGCTCCTCGCACTGCCTCAGCAGGTCTCGACAAGTCACATCTTCGCGATCAAGCACCAATTGCCTTAGCAAAGAAAGAACGCATTCTTCGAACATTCTTTTTCTGCTGGAAGGCGAGGACTCGAAAATTCTAATTATCAGGGGCTCGGGGTGGGAGGTGCATCAACTAACTCCTTCTCTTTATTTTTTGTCAGACCCTCCGCATGAAACTTACGCCTCGAAAAGAATGCCGATAAAAGAAAACAGAAATAATTGACCGAAATTTGTGACAGACTATCGTACCTCTCATGGTACATCTCTGGTGCGCGTCTCAGCCTCTCTGGTGCCACTCCACATATCAGCCTTGTTCCTCTTTCGGTCTCAGGCATATCCTTCCAACCGAAACTTATCAGAGAAAACCCGAAATTTTTCATGACATGACAGCTAGTAAGTTAACAGATGATTTACTCACGGTAAACACCTAGAAAAATCCCTGAGCCCGATCACGAGGACTAAGCCAAGCGTCAGACGTATCTTCTAGTTGTAGCTTCTATGCTATAGCTTTTATCTTGAGTCGTTGCACAATGGGTACATGCGGCACATCGCCAAAAAGGGTCGTGAAGGAGGTTTGATGGTTAAACTTTGGTCTGGGTTCATATCGTGAACACCAATGTAGTTCTGTAAACATTTACTTGTGCTACAACTGTCAAAACTTCAAGGAAGCATGAACATCTTCATGTAGTTCTTTTCCAAATTTTCACTTCGTCAGAGCCACCACCTGTCGTCGCCATGCCTCCTGTACTGCCATGACCTTCTGCGCGCAAGACTCGGAGGTGAGAGGCGTCGCACCAGATTGCTCTTGTTTCAGAGTCTCTAGACGTTTTTCGATCGACTCAGCTGCTACGCCAAGATCCGCAAGTAGTACAGCCTCTTTCAGCTTCGCATAAACGCGTTCCCGTTCGGCAGAAAACTCTTCATTCGTCAGCTCTATCAATGCGAGAATTTTACTGTTCCCAGTAAATTTGGTTTTGAGCATGTTGCGACGCTCAGCAGGGTCAGGAGCTGGCGCAACTGGGGCTATGGGGGCAGCTGTTGATGCAGCTGGGGTAGTAGAAGAAGAAGATGTTGGGTGTGATGTTGGGATATGGGATGTTGAGGTTGATGAAGAGGCAGCTGAAGAAATTTGTGCAGGTGTGGTCCCTGGCTTAGCTGTGCCTGCCGCAGGAACACCTTTGCCTGTTGTGCCTGTGCTCGACGAGCTTGTAGCTGCAGGTATTGCTCCGCCAGTGGGCTTAGAGCCGTTACTTGCTGATGCCGCTCCTAGGGTGCCTTTACCATCCTTGCTGGTCGTCGGAGGCTTCGTTCCTTTCGCAACTCCGGTTGTAGACGATGAACTCGTCGAACCGGCCTTGTCTCGTGGTGTATCGCCTTTGCCCTTGCCTGAACCTACCGCTGCTGCTGCACTACTAGGATCTTTTGCTCCCTTCGTGCCCGTAGTTGCAGCTGACTTTGCGGCGTCTTTTTGTCCCTTCTTAGTCGCTGCTGCAGCTCCCTCTGCGTCTTTTCCCTGACCGCTCTTGCCTGGTCCTGTCGCAGCAGGAGCTCCCTTCACCATTCCCTTGGCACCTTTTCCTGATGCAGCAGCTGTGGCCTGAGCCCCCTTGGCCACAGCAATGGTACTTGGTGCTGCTGTCGTCGCTGGAGCAGCTCCCTTCACAACTGCGGAACTTACCTCGGTCGAACCCTTCTTTGTACCTGCTGATGACGCTGATACTGCTGAGCCAGTTCCTTTCGCGGCACTTGATCCTTCGGCGCCCTTTTTCGCACCTGTTACATCGGCGCCGCCCTTTTTACCTGTTGCTGTGGTCGCTTCACCTGCGCCCTTATTTACTACACCTCCGCTGCTCGTAGTTGGCTTTTTACCTTTCATCGTCGACTCCTTGCTGCCCTTGGCTGCACCAACAGCTTGCTCCTTACCTTTCGTCATTGCTGCAACAGCTTGTTTCTTTCCTTTCGTTACTGGCTTGTGGAGTTGTCCCTTTACGAGTTCTTTGCTCCCTTTGTTCACAAGTTCTTTGCTCCCTTTGTTCACAGCAGTTGCAGGGATGTTTGTCTGCGCCTCTGAGATGCCCTTATTCGGAGGCACCGAAGAAGATGTTTTAGATGGCGCGAGCTGGTTGCCGCCAGCGGCCTTTTGTTCTACAACTGCACTAGGAGCAGCCGCATTTTTAGAAGAGCTACTACTTGAAGATGCAGCAGCCTCCTCCACCGCTTTAGCCACGCCAGGTGTTTCTTCTTCCCCAGCAGCGTCATCCAGCACCGCTAATGGACCATCAGGCAGTCTCCTCGTTCCAGTCAATTTCGGTAGCATCTTCTGCTTTTTCAGTGGAGGCTCTTCGACTTCTGCAGTGTTATCTTCTTCTACACTTTGCTTTCGTCTGCCACTGTTCTCTTCTTCTAGATGATCGACCAGTATATCCAGGACTGAAGGAGCTTCTTCGACTACCTGCTGCTGTTCACCTGCCGTTGTATCCTCAACTACTTTCACATCTACTTCACCAGCAGGATCTGGTGCAGCGACAACCACTGGCACAGCATCGTTATCGTTTGTAGCTGCAATGACTAGTGATTCTTGTTTAGCGACAGCAGTCTCTTCCTGTATTGGACTCTCTTCCCCTACACTTTCTTCCAGTACTACATCCTCTGCGGCAACGACAATCGTTTCATCAGATGCCGCTACGACATCGACAACACCATCGGCAACTGGCTTACTTCTTCTAACCTCATCCCCGCCCTGGTGCTCTGCGTTCCTCTTACTCCCTGATGAGCGTCTTTTTTTCCGAGCACTTCCTTCAGCTTCTACGTTGTCGTCTAAAAAGACTAGCTCATCTGCGTCTGTGGGTTCAACATCTTCGGGTGGGCTTCCCGGGTCGGATGGCGCGGCTACGACCTCAACAACCACGAGAGGAGAAGTAGGAAACTGAGCAGCGACTGGAGGAGGAACTACACCCACAGTTGTAGAGGGGCCAGAAGAGGAAGAAGATGTTGGTCCTGAAGAAAGGGCAAAAGTCTTTGAAGGTTTAGTAGAGTTAGAAGAGGTTGATGGAGCTGCCATCACTACTGCCTCAGCGGACGAAGAGGAGGACGTGTTCTTAGCACCTGCTTGGGGTACTGCTACCACTTTTGGAACTGAAGTAGGATTATTCGCCGTAGATGAACTCGATGAGGACGTTGTTTTGGTAATCGTTGACAAAGTGGCTGGTGCTGGTTTTTTTACAACGGCTGCATTATTGGGTACGACAATTGGCTTAGCAGATGCTCCTTGGGATGACGTAGTACTGGTAGTCTTTACTAGAGACGAACTGCTCTGCGTAGGCTTTGCTAGATTCACCTTCTGACTCATCGTTGAAGCACTTGAAGATGCTGAAGCAGCGGGTCCTCCTTTCTTTTGTACTGCGTTAGCTGGCACGACAGTTGTACTACCCTTCCCTCCCTTGTTATTGTTGTTTGCAGCTCCTACAGGAACTACTCGTTGCGTAGGAGCTCCTGCTGGTACCACAGAAGTTGTAGTTTTTTGCGTCGGAACAACTACTGTAGGCTTGTGCACTGCTGCTGGCGGCGCTTGAACCACTGGTGACGCGTCGTCATCTCCCTCATCCCCGTCTACACTCGGAATTGAGTTGGATCTGCCCACTCTACCCCTTGGGTCCCTGGCTGGACTCGACTCAGAAGCACCCTGCGACGCGTCATCATCCACTGGCTTGGTTGGTCTATACAGAGCGCGCTTCTCTAATAGTCGTTGGCGCAGCATCGCCATCTTCTGCGAGTCTACACGTTTGGGACCATCCGAAGAGGACTCCTGTAACATGAAATAATGAAGGTCATGATTCTTTCGAGTGGAGCGAAGAAAAGGGAATAAGGTGGTTTTCAAGGATCAATACGGGCTCGTAACGTTCTGTCTTTTTATGGTTTAAAACGTTGGAAAGAACAGTAGAGGGGAGGAGAAGGTCAACATCAATCTCATTGGCCTTAGAATTCAAGAAACTTACTCTCCCTAGGAGATAACATCAAAGAAAATGTCCAATACCGCCACAGGCGCCGCATCTGTAGCGACTCCCTGCGCCGGACGTTTTCGCACTCCGCCTCCTTTATCCCCCATTCCTCCTTTGTCTGTGTTGAAAGTGGCTGGTGCTTGCTTGACAACTGCACTACTGGATGATGATGGGTTAGTTGTACTTGAAGATAGGGTAGCGCCACCAGTTTTGACTGTCGTGGTTGATGATTTCATTACTGTATTACTAGAACTTTTGACTCCAACAACGTGGGACATGACTGTTGTTTTCTGCGATGTTGCGCCTCCAGAAGCTGACGCTGTTGGGATCTTCTTCTGAGAAGCACTGCGTGCCTTAGAACTGGACGAGGCTGAAGAGGAGGCTCCAGCGACTTTTTTCTTCATATTGGATCTTGCGGCGGCAGGTTTAATCACTGCAGTTAAAGGAGTCGATGAGGCACTACTCCCAGGAACTGCTCCACCTCCACTTGCTGCTGCTTGTTGTTTTTTCGGAACCAAGATGCTCTTGGTCTTCTTTACCTTTACATTGTTGTTCGAATGCAGCTCAGAACCCTGTGGGCCTTTGCCTCCAGATGTTTGAGTGTCCCCTTTCTCCCCACTAGAACCGCCTTTCTGCCAAGAAGTAGCATTCTTACCTCCTGCGCCTCCTTGCTTGCCACCTTTCGCGCCATACCAATCCTTGCCGCCACCCCAAGAGGACTGCATTTTCTTCGTTGCCACTAAATCACTACTGAATGTTGTTCATCTCGTGAGCGTGTGAAAGGAAAAGGAACTACTTGGTCAAAAGGGGGAACTACAAGCGCCATAGGCTCTTCCTCTTCCTACAAACATCAAGAAAAACGAAAGCTATTGCTATACCGCTCCCTGCTCCAGTAGAATGACTTCACAAGATAGAAGTATCACATGTTGTAAATCATCATGGTTACTTTTTTCATACTTATTTTCGCACGCCGACTGATTCAATTTCAACGAGAGTGGTCTAACGGATAGGAAAAGTCACGATGAACGGAAAGGGGGAAAGAAGATATTCTCGTCGCATTAATGTGAGACCCAGAAAATGTCTCTATCAGCCAATACTTCACCCACTCCCTCGTTGTCAAACATCATCGTCGGGATCCACAAAAGAAATCGACAAATGATAATGATTATGATTGCTACGGCTAAGAGCAGGGGATGAAGTCAACACACATTTTCGAACCAGATAAATTTTTCTTGGTGCTTCTCGTAAACAACTACTGACCCCACCGATTGAATTCAGCTGTAACAACAGACAAGAATATACACAGAATCTTGAAGGAACACCATCTTCAGTGACTGGTTGCTGTGGTAGCACAGGAATAGGCATCTGCATACAGGTACATTGACATTATTGGATCACTAGGAGAAACAAAGAAAACTTTACATTTTTCACGACTTATAGATTTGTATTCAATACGCGATATTCTCCCCAGCTGCTCTTTCACAAAATCACGATGAAAATGTTGACGGTCTATGAAGATTATCATTCGACATTCTACCGCTTACTCCACCTCCAATTCGCACGCGCTTTTGGCCTGCGAGGATCTTTCGGAAGCTTGTTGCGCAAATCTTCGAAGAGTAGTTGTCTGCTATTCAGTAGGGGAACGCAGGCTGGTCGTGCGGTAGAAATTAGACGAGGTACTAGAACTCCACTAGTACAAGCAGTAAAATAAGCACCTACTAGCAAGTTGTTGTATATAATTAGCTCTAGCTACCAGAGTAAAAAAAGATACGACTTATCCTCGTTACACGTGAGTCCCATCCCGTGAGCAAGTATGAATTCAATTAGACAACTTTAGCAAGCCTTAAAGCGAGCGCCCTCGCAACAGCCAGTCTACACGCACCCGCTTGTCCAGATGGTCCGCCACCTTTTACGGCTAAAAACACGTCAAACAAACAACACGCTTCTGCGACATAGAAAGGCAAGCACAACTCCATCCGATTGTACAGCAATGGCCATCGACTTGCCAAGTCCTCTTCGCCATTCACTTTTATCACCCCTGTTCCTCGCCTCAGGACACAATGAGCAGCAGCTCGTAATCGCGTGCCGCGTCCTTCCGCATAAGACAGCCACTCGTTTCCAGTGTGGGAGTCAATGAAGCTAGACAAAGTTGTCTTTGAAGCACTTCGGGTACTAGATGCTGAAGATCCTCCTGCGGGCGTAGTACAACCTGTAGCTCGACGCAAAGTTTCATGGATCTTGCGTGGTACTGGCTGTTTTCCATGGAGACCAAAATTAGCACCAAGATCGTCCTCTTCGATGAGTTCTTCATGTGACCTGATGGGTGACGTTGAGGACATCATAGCAGCTAGTGTTCATCTCTGTGTCGTGCACCTGCACGTGCACATCAGGAGGATAATTTTTACCTCCACCCTTTGCAAGGGACAGAAGATATGATTCATCATCTACTTCTAAAACTTCTACAAACTAGGTCTAAATTACTCCAACGTTGGCTGCGGCAACGGATCCAGAAACCGGTCCATCAAGAAAGGCGAGTCGTGACGAGAGAAGCTTGGTGAACGAAGGATTTGATCTTGCAACTCTGTTCTCGTATAGAACCCTGCCTCTTTTGCCAGATATAAAGCTTGCTCTGGGGATAGGGTACTCGTCGGCTATGGATGAAAGTTGTGCGCATGTGACGAGGGGGAGGGAGGATGAATCGTAAATTCTTGAATATTTCTGACTCGGACATGCTTTTCTAGTATTTTTGCCGACTCTATACTAAATTTCGATCCAAGGAATCCTTTTCATAATGCTTCTTCGCAACATCCTTTTCGCTTGCAGACTCCTGAGCTTTACTAGGCCCATCCGTGTTGAATGCGAAAAGGCGCTCTACTTGCGCCAGGTTGTTTTTTCTGTCGAAGACCTCTGGACGAGCGGCACGGCCGGAAGAGGTAGCGAAAGTACAGCGACTTGCTCTTCTTGCTGCGTGATACTTAGAAGAGGTTGATGTTTTTGATGTTGGTTTTTCAACTATGCGCAGCGGTAGAGCAACTGGTGGCGCTATTATACGAGCATGATGAAAAACCAATCTTAAGACTCGAAGCCGAGATGCAACGACTGGAGGAAGAGAGGCAACGACCGGAGGACTGCGCCATGGTTGTCATATTTTGATGCTGAAATGAGTGATCTCGTGAAGGGAACTAATTCTTCTCCTTTTCTCTCAATAGCAGTTGTGGTGGCCCTCGCTTCTTGCATGATGTCAAATTTACAGCATTCGCTGTTCTAATTGTGCGCCGTTCTTGACGCAATCAATAGACGTTACCGATCATGACGCAGCGCAAACACCACGACACCAGACAAAAATCAGTTACCAGATCATGTAAAAAAATTACAGTTTGTTGTACGGAGGATTCATTACTGATATCAAGTTAAAGTTTACAGCTATAGTCTCAAACAAGTATTCATTTGTGCGTTTATCAGTCTTCCGAAGAATCGGAATCGCTTCCCTTTTTACGTTTTCCCTTTCCTTTCTTCCCTGGAGATCCCTTTTTACCCTTTTTAGGACCCCCCTTCTTTCCTTCTTTGGGCGAACCTCCACCCCCTTCTTTTCCTCTATGTGGAGACTTACCTTTGCCTTTCTTTCCTTTCCCTTTCTTTCGTCGCTTGCCCTTCTTGCGTTTACCAGGACTTTCGTCGCCATCATCTTCGGAGTCGTCTTCTCCTTCTCCAGAATCTTCGTCGTCTTCAGTAGCCTGAAACGCTTCACCCTCGTCAGTTTGTTCTTTCATACGCTGTTTTTCGGCTTTAAGCTCCCTGCGCTTACCTGAAAAAAAGGTGTCTTCTGAGTACCAACCACATGAAAAAAATATGTACTCCTAGAGGGTCTTCCGAATCCGAGTTCATGAAAATTCAGTATTATCAGATGCAGAGAGATGGAGTTGGGATGTAGAACCGGTACAACTAAAACAAATCACAACTAATACGTGCTTCCACTTTCGCAATTTTCCTTTGAAGTTCTCGCACTGACGCGACATAGTGCGACGCGTAATTAAATGTGTCGAACAGCAAATCCGCTATTGTGCCGACAACGACATGCACTCCTGCTGCATAGCCTAGGACTACCCCTACTGCCGCTTTCCTTCTCCACTCCCATTTGCTATGCTCCGCTTGATGTTGCGCCTCCACCATCGCTTTGAGTTTGCGCGACGACGCGGCACCAGGTAGTGGGACAAGCGAAAGAGAAGTTGGAGTTATTGGCGCAGCCTTAGTAGGCGAGAACCAGTCTAGTGGTGGAGCGGCTGGAGGGTCAGGAGAGCTTTGTGGAAAGCTAGGCTGCGGAGCTACATTTCCACTGGCGATGACACCGCCATTCGAGAGCAAACTCGGCAAAAAAGAGGTTGTGGATGTGGTTGATCGTCCTCTTGCTTTCAGCAAGGTAGTGCAGCTTCTTGGAATGCCTCTTATTCTTCTTGAAGACGAACTTGAACTCGACGATGGAGAAAAACCAGTAAGCGAAAGAGTAGTTGACGGGGAGTAATCCGGTAAACTCCTGTAGTCAGGCGCCATCTGTTCGTCTGATCGTGGAGGCATCATACCTTTGCTCCACTGGAGGTGGACGAGAGATTCGTGGATAGCAGCGAACGACATTCTTCTGTATGAATCTTCTGTATCTTCTAGTAGAAGTGCTCCTTGGCAACTACGGGAGTCGTGATGCTTCTTCTATTTACTGGTGCAGAATAAAGCAAGGATGATGTGAGCGATCTTCTACTTATCTCCGATGAAGCCCACATATTTATAAGTGGACGACTCAGCTTGCTGAAACGACTCTGCAAGTGCCGAAACGACTCTCCATGCCAAAACGAGTACGAGTCTGCAGATACCGAAACGAGTACTCCACAAGAAGCCAACAGCAGCTCTCTTCACCGCATAGGCGAAACGAAAACGGCTTCCTCCCCACGCGCTGCTCGTGCTAGGAAGTGGTCGTGATTACGGTCTGCATGCACCTCCTGCATCTGTTCTGCAAAGAGTTGTGCAGCTCGTCGAAAATTCTCCTCATCCAGGTCAGGAGGGTTTGGGTCTCGAAGGTAAGTACCACCGTGACCCTGACCACGACCTCGATTTTGATGTTGACCATCGACGAAGTAGGCTCTTTCATCGACGACACGAGGAACGTCGGGCTCGGGCGAGACTGAGGCGAGTCGAATTAGCTTGATTTCTAATCCGAACATCATTGCAAGACAAACGAGACCTGGCCAGACGACCATTCTTTGATGCTTGATATTTGACTGGCTCCGTCTGTCGTGGGTTTTTGTGTTTCCTATACTTTGTGGGTCGAAAGACGAGCGGTCGTGTGGTTGTCGATGTTACAATCTTCTACATCTCTCTGCATCAACATTCTTCGCTCCGTGAGAACCATTCTGACGACACTCCAACTTGCGCTCCGGAAATTTTCCGCGCTTGTCGTCGTAGAGAAAGACAGTCGAGTGCGCCCCGCTCTCAGATTGCTCAATATGCTCATGCTATGATGACAGCAGGCTATCTTCAACAAAATCCTTGAGATATCGTCGTCAAGCACGCTGTTCTTGTGCTTATCCATGGAATAAAATCATTGTCATGTTGAGTGGATGGATGTCACTCCTCATCATGAAAAAATGTCCGAGTCGATGTACAGAAATAGCTTCTTCGAATTATCTACAGTTTCAGGTTTTTATTATCCTATTATCTTAAAAGTATTCATAGTACCTTACATCGCGAATCCAGAGTAGTATACTTCCAAAAGCCTTCTTTTGCCCATTTATTAACTCTTTCTACACTCCAGCTACTTGATGCCCCGGTCCTTTCTTCAAAGAATTGTTGGCTCAACGACCTTCCCTGCCTCCTTCCCTGCTCCTCACTTCGACGTCGGCCCCTTCGCAATATCCAGGATCCTAGTGCCCCATGCGATCAGTTTCGTGTCATCCGGAAATCTCTGCAACACCTCGTGAACGGTTACGGAAACCTTCCGCACCAAGTCCGGATCGGTATGCAGGACCATTGGCAAAAACTTGTAGAAGCCCTCGAATCCAGCACAGAGCAGCCAGGCGTCAGAAGTTAGAGATAGAGGAGGAGGGAGGTTGTTCGAAGACTACAAAAATTACTACATACATCTGAAATTAGGGCTCTTCTGAGATTACAAAAATACCCACACACATCTGCAATTAGTCCTTATCTGTTCTCAACAACAAATTGAGATCCAGCACTATCAACAAAAAAAGAGGCTAAAATTCCATAAGTTCAAATGCAACGTCATTGCATGTTGCACCTTATGCAGTAGCATTGCATGGTCAACCGCCGCCTTCTCTCGGATGATGTCCGGCCAATCCATAGAGGAAGCTAGAGCACGGATCGCTCTAGCCTGTAAAATCTTATCTTCGCTGTGACGGTCCATCAACAGCTGAAAGCAGGACGCACCTCCTAGAGAAACAAAGAGTTCCAAGCCTTCCATGCTCGTTGAGATAATACGCGCAATTGCTTCGATTGCTCCACGAGCAGCTGTTGTTGTAATGTTTGTGATTTTTACTTTCCCTTGATACTAGCACTGGAATGGAGTTGTCATGCTCGTCCTACAAGTACTAGGAAGGAGTATCAAATTTTTGAAGTTGAGTACTTATATAATGTGTGCTCGTGCTGTTTCAATTCATATTCTAAAAGGAACTTCATATAAGTCTGTCAAGATTCTAGAAGTACAGTGGTAATATAGTACCAACATGCGAAAGGCTTTTAGACTCTGATAGGTCTAGCATGAGTTGTGTCATCTGCAAGTTTCTCAGTGCGGAAGAAAAGTTTGCCCCATACTCTGTAGTTCCACAGGCTGCGCTGACTAAGGCACAAATACCCACAAAAACGGCTTCATGCCAACGACCGTCTGAAGAAGCTGTAGAGCAGTTGCAGATGAAGAGTTGATTTAAAGCATCAGCTGAGGAGTCCCTGAATGTTCTCAGGCCGTCGCCCTAACACCAGCTTAGCTACAAACTACAAACTAACAAGTATAGAAAAAGTAGCGTCTGCCTCCGACCCCCATGAGAGCATGGCGGGAGGAAATAACTAAGCAACAAAACAAGAACTGACTTTGCCGGCTTCACCTAAGCGGACGCGGCTACAAAAAGTAGACAGAGCCGCGCCACCGAGAGCAAGCCCCCCCGCGCCGACCCGTGGGCAAAGGCATCGGCTACGACGGCGCCCGCGAAAGCCAGACGAGCCACCCAAGGCAGGTGGCGGCGCTGAGTGTTGCGCCCTACCACTCTCAGAAAAGCGCCAAGCGTGGAGGCCTCGGGCGTTTAATTCATCTATTTGCCACCCGTAGAAGCTCCGCCAGCGCTGCGAATTTCCTGCACCTCGCAAGCCACCCCGCCGCAGATGTGGCAGACGGTGAATGCTGTGGACCCCTTTCAGCTTGCCGGCGAAGTCATTGCGTGCGCGAAAGCCCTCGCCGCTTCTACCAAGATGCTAGGTAGGCCATTTAACCGAGGCAAAGCCGACCCCACGCGCGCGCTTTGCCTTTGTTCTTCCCTAGTGGCTCATAAACACCGCCAAGACTGGAGGGAGCTTGGCCGCGACTGTCGTCGAGACTTCCTCGATTATGTGAGTGCGAGGCGGCAAAACCATCCAAGAGCAAGCCACTCGAGGCGCCACTACTGTCCTGACACCGGAGCGCCCGCCGTGCTAGTATCCGGCGCTTTGCCTTGCTTCGCTGTTGGCGGCGTAAGGCTGGCAGCTCGGAGACCTGCGGCCATTTTGTCCCCCTGGTGCTGCCTCCTGTTCTTCGCTGCTGCCCAGAGCACGGATGGGCGCACAGTGACGGGGTCGCGCAGAAACTGCCCACTTCTCCTCTGGACCACTGCCGGCTGCAGTGCGGACTTCGTCCCAAACTCCTGTCTTTCGTTCGCCTTCCGCCCGCACTGCATGGATTTGCCGGCCGAGCAACTAGATCGACACACGACAAAAAGAAGCGAGCAAGGCCAAGTCTCTCCGTAACGACTAAACACAATAAAAATTGCACGAGGATCGTAATACTCGAGGACTTTATGTTTAAAAGGCACTCCCCTGCACCTTCGTGCTCGTGATGATTGTGCCAGCTGCAGCCATAACACCCCACACGAAACCCCCCGGGGCGACCTTTGTCAGAAAATGCGAGAAAAGTGCTTTATTGGATTGCGCGCCTTCTCATGCGAATGCAGGCCGCGGCCCCGGTACTCGACGCCGCAATGTCTGCACGGTCTTCATTTCGAGGCTGTGCTCTCAGCTAAGCTTCTGCCACTCGCTCGCACTAGAGAGCAAAAAGATACAGCAAGGCCGTCCCGTTGGAGATCGCTGGCCCCTCACTCGTGAAGCTTGGCAATATTCCAGAGACCCTGGCGAAATCGGTACTAGGGGCGGAGTGGCCTCCGTTATTAACACGCTTCGTGTGTACAATTTCAGCCATAGCCGTGACGTGACCGGGATACCAATGACAGACCAGGATACTCCATAGGTTGGATAAGCAGCCCATGCGCTCTGTGCAATACATTGCCCACGTAATAGCGCCCGAAATGATCTGGAGAGCCAATTACCATACCAGAAGGCCTCGCCGCGCCCAGCCTCGTCTCTTTTGCAACCGTTTGAAAAGTATCACCGGCGCGCGAAGTCGGTAGAAGTGGAGGAGGCCGCGCCATGAAATTTCAGAAGTTCACGCATCCAAAGCCGCATGAACTGCGAACGCGTGCGCACTCTTCGAGTGCCCGGCGCTTCGTCTCACCCTTCGGGGTAACATCCCGCGGGCTATTTCGTGCGCTGGTCCTTCGTCTTGCTAGGCGTGCGCGCGGCCTCTGGGCTGGCTACCCAAAGCGCAAAGGCGCCAAAAAGTCGGCGCGCGCCCGCCCTCCTCATACGACTGCGGACCCAAGCCGCAGCAGCCGTGCCCCGTACCCAGCAAGACCCACAAGCCGACCCGGCCCGGCTCCTATGCTGCACAGGGCGCGCTACGCTCCAAATTAGGCGCCAGCTTTCATCCCTCCAGCAAACCCGACCCCCGCAACCGCATCCCGGTCGCCCTGCCTTGGTGAAAGTACGCGAATAGAACTAGAAAGCCGCCCCGTAGTTCGCCGAAGTGGTTGCCTGCTGGCAAACTGTCGCCACCAAGTCGCTCACTTTGCGCGTGGCCTTTCAAAGCCAGTAGCCCTGCTGAAATGCGAGCCGCGTCTACTCAAATCTAAGACCCATACGGTAGCGATATCGCGCCACCCTTATGGTGCTCGGAGTTGAGGGCGCCAGGCGTCCGCCTTCTAGCCGGCCGCCGGCTTTTTGGTGCGCTCTCATGCGTGTCTTTCGGGCCGCAGCCTTCTCACGAAGCTCCCGCGCTTGTTTCCTTGCGGCGCTTTTCCTGCAAGATGAGACGTTGGCCAGGCCAGGCATACCTCCAGAAAACAATAGAAGAGACAGCGCCACGGACCTTCCCCGGGCCCGTCTGCGCGGCCCGCTGCTCCCCTGTGGACAGAGCCACAGCGCCGACGCCCTGCGGCCAGGCCATGTCCTTAGGGTGGCCGCGATTTTTTGGATCGTGATCGCCATCGGAGCGCTGTCGCCTGCAAGGGTCGCACTGATGGCAAGCAGTTGGTAGAAAGGGTGGTTAGTGCTCCCTTCCATACGCGGCACCGTTCGGACAAGCGGGCCCCCATGCACTGCGCGGAGGCATGGCGCACGAGGTGCAGCCCTGCACGCCCAGCGTCCGCCCTGCGCGCCCAGTCGGCGCCACAAGTTCTTCCAGACGTCGGCCGGGCCTCACTTTTTTTCGCGTCGCCGCGAATGGCCCTGCGGGCAAGTAGCGCGCCGGAGCCTTTTGGACTTAGAAATGTCACAGCGTTGCCCGCCGTCGACGATGAAAAAAAGAAACAACTACCATGCGCCAAATTAGCGACCACTTCGTCTGCCAGTGTTTCGACTGTTAATGCTTCATTCTGGATTAGTGTTTCGACCAGAGACCAGTGAGCAAACGACTCCTCCTGCATCGGAGGTAGCGAACTTCGACTAGGATTCTCACTACTGGTGACACTCGTGCTGAAGACACGACCACGCGCCAACGCTAGGACACGTACCAGGAGGAAAGCTCGGTTATGCAGTAGAGCTGGGGGTAGCATTGTGGGGTCCGCTCGCTGTGCCCTCTCCGAAATGTCAGCGGTGCCGGTTATATTAGAGATTGAACTGCTCCTGAGATCAAACTACCATAGAAATCAACATCGACGAACAATGCTAGGCTACAGCAGCCATCCATAATCTCTTTCTCCTCCGCTTCCTCCGTCAGAATTCGCGCGATTGCCTCACTAGCTTTTTGGTGCAGGTAGTTATGCGTAGGAAACAGCGACATGGCGTTCAAAAGAGAAATGAGCAATGAGACACCGCCTGAGGCGGTGACCAGTTGTGCACATGACGGACCATCGTAAGCAAGATTGCAGACCTGTGACGGATCAAGTAGATCATCATTGTAGAATTGAAACAAGAGGAAAGACATGCATGTCCTGCTCGTTATAATATAGATTGATCGTCTAATCTTCTCACAAGAACACGACTGTACAGAAGACAAATCTGGTAGTACTGTTGTAGTTGCATTTCAAACACGGCCAAATATCACGTATCTCTATCTTCATACAGCAAGGAAAATCAAAATACACATCCTGCGACGAATCCGCTGAGTGAGCCATCTCCCAAGTCGTATTGCCGCATTATGTAATCTAATAAAACGACCACACGACCACCTTTTAAAGCCGCTTGTGCGTTGGACACCTTGTACACCAAAGAGGCTAGGCTTTTGAGCGACCTCGATAGCACACGCAAATACGTCTCGACATCAGGGGCGCAGGCGTCCTTGGCGTATTCTAAATGATTCAAGACACTTTCTATTAGCGGCTGCAAGCTGACCGATCTAGCTCGCATAATATCTAGCCTTATCCCCTTTGGAAAGGTCGTAGATATCCTCTGAGATCGGTCAACTTGCAACCCTTAATTCTACGTCGTCTTTGTCGACTACAGGTGCTTTGTCGAGAGGCTTGGACGGATCCATCGGTGGAAGCCTGCCTTCGTTTTTGGTGTCTCCTGGTCTAGAAGATGGAGTAGAAGAAATCGAACCCACTACTTGATGGTCTTTGTAGTTGCTAGGAGCTACTGGTCCTCTTCCTCCACCTACTCCTATTAGACCTTCCTCCCGGAATCCATCTTGAAGCTCATCCTGGGGCTGTTTTTCCCTTAAATGGATGCCTCCGGATGCTTTTCAAAATGGAAGATTCCCGGAAGCCTTAATCCTACACTGCCTGCGTGACCATGTCCTCCAGGTCCATATCCGTAAGGTGAAGGTCCACCTCCTCCACTAGTGTTGTAGTAATATTCCCCTCCACTGCCGTACCCGTAGCTCTCTGTCCCTCCCTCACTAGCACTGGTATCGAAACTTCTAGCCATAATCTCTAGCAAAGATGACTCTTGTTTCCTTCGTTAGAATCTGGTCGAGGATCCACCTCGATCCCTCCATCTACTTGGTACTTTTCTTTTCCCTCGTAATTGTACTGCTCTAATCTGTGGCAGCAAAAGCAAACCGAAGATTGGTTCCCTCGTACTCCAACTCCATGGGTATTAAACAAAGGGCGGCACCAAGAAAGATCCTGAGACGGATGGAAATCGAAATGGATCAACAAAGTTGCCTGAGGACCATAAGTTAGTTGCAGCAGATATTCCGCCAGTGTATCCCCTGCCATTCCTAAGTGTTTTCCTCCATCGCCTTTCCGCAGAGCGGTCTTGACTTCGCCGATTTCTGCCTGAACATCCACGATCTTCGTCGCGAAATCCATTTGCACTTCGGCTCCCATTTTGGATGAGCTTCTTAACTTAAATTACTGTTGAAGATGTGGTGCCGTGAGTACGAAGATTCTTTTATGAAGAACAGCTGTCGTCGCCTCCTGACGTCAGCTTTTATTTTTAGCGTGTCGTGGTTCTTCCACGTAGTTGAATGTCGTATCCTTGCCTGTAAAGCTCGTCGGCGGCAGGCACGCAGATCATGCGTAAAGCTCGTCAGAAGCCCTGCGCGTCGAGTCTCCGCTTTCCCTCGCGAGGAATAGAAACGCTATACATCTTTCTTCTCGTTTCTCTCTTTCTCTTCATCTATTAAGTAAGAAGTACTAACGTGCTCATATTAATGTAGCGTAGAAATAAGATGGTTCTGCGACTCGGCTGCAGATCTTTCGCGATGTCTGCACCATTTGGGAGGCATGATCAAGATCAAGATGAATCTTCACCAGTGTTGTATCCTATTTTCCGGTCGTCATCAACTGAAGCCCGCCGCCTTGGAACACATCTTCACATGAGTCTAGTGCCACAAAAGACAATGGGTGAAGAATCTAAAAACGGGAGGATTGCTGAAACTCACGCGAGGATGCATACTGCAGCAGAATGAGAATGAATGGGGCAACTGATCTTTGTCATCTTTTTTTTTCGGATCATGTACAAGAATAACATCATCACAATCCCAACACAGCCACAGTTACCCCTATCAGAAAACCGCATATGTCGATCAAAACGCTGTTATCGTCAACGCGAGATAACTGCTGAGCAGGCATGGCGTTGAGGCTACTCTTTTCTCCTCCGGTCATGTGGCATTCTTCTGGCAAAGGCAAATTTTTTCGAAAACACGCATCCCTTTTTTCGGCTAGGACGCCTTCCAAAAGCTGCGCTTGTAGTATCTCGCGGTAAGTTTCGTCGTGATGGACCGGAATGTTGGATGTCGATCCTTCAGAAGAAGAAGACGAGAGCGAAGCTGCTTGTTGTTCATCTTCATCAGAAGTTGTTTCACCTCGTCCTTCTCCCTCAATGACGTTCTTCCCAGATGAGGAAGATGAGTACTGAACCTTCCCTACATAGTTCCTCACTTGCAGCATCTCGTAAACGAAGAGTGGAGCAAAACAAGCCCATCCTAGAGGAATATAGACTCCAGGAAACACTGCGCATTGTCCAAAACCTCGTTTAAAAAGATAACCGCAAACAGCAAGGATCCCAGCATTCGTAGCCACCGCTGGTGGAGCGTTGAGGGGAGCAACGAACGGTGTAGATAGATAACTACTCCTGGCAGGAGTTGGAGATGTTGTTGAGGTTGTGGAAGTTCTTGTAGATGAATCGCTACAGAAGCCCGTACTACGAAGCAACGGCAGATGATCTCGATTGAGCATCACATTCGCTAAAACGGCCGAACCGACCGTCAAAGTGACAAGAAATCTATGCCCTCGCAATCGTTCTACGAACATGCCGGAAGCGAACAACGTAGAAGCGAAAAGACACTGCACTGGTAGCGGTTCAGCATAGCGAACGAAGTTGGCCAACACGGGGTCTCGCATAATTTGCATCAAGGTATGCGAGAAGTGTGAAACTTGAGAAAGCAGCTTGCTTTTCTTTTCTCCAGCATCAAGTGACCTGGCGAAGCCACCACCTCCACTTCCGTGATCGACTCTCGTCAACCGCCACCACCAAACCTGCATAGCCACAGTGGCCGCCACCGATAAGCCTAAAAGTGTCAAGGTGCCAAAAGGTATTGCGCCGTACGATGAGTTTGAATCTCCTTTTGGGTAGGCGAACAGCAACTCATTCTTTTTGGCCTCAGCATCGTCTTCTTGATGACCATTACTAGCGTCTTCTCGTCTCCAAGCCTCCAGTTGTTCTGCAGCCTGGTGTGAGTCCGCATCTCTTTCGCCTTTCGGTCGTACGACTACACACCTTCCAAGGGCTTCTCTTAGTGAACCGAAAGGAGTGGCGGCCTTTGGTGTGGCAGGAGATGGTGACGCATTGCTGGGAGCGAAATCGGCGAAAGAGAACAGGCGTTGCTGCTGTTCACGGAACAATGCATGGTTCCGATAGCTTGATTAGAGCTACCATCATCATCGCATCCTCGAGCGCAAATACGCTGCTGCACACTTCTTCTACTATCCAGACGACAAATGCATAGCGCTCGCGGCGGACGCTGTGGTCGAGGATGCGAGATGTGGTCGCTCTAATGACTTAATCTCATCCCGTTTGTAAACCCTTCGCACGAGGTCCACTCCCTGCTTCGAATAGAAGCGAGCCACCGCGAGTTTCGTGTCGCCCCTCTCGCTGGGGCACGACGGAGAGCTGTGGTCAGGCGATGTACGACGGCCATATTTTTTCTTAGTGAAAGTACTCTTCTAGTGTAACATGCTACCTTCTCTCTTCATCGATGTGTGTGATATTCCGATTATCAAAATTCAAATAGTGCCGCGTTCTATCGTTTTCTCGAGCGATTAGTGAAGAAAGATTTTGAAAGGCGAACAAAGAACGTTTTAACTTTGAGCAACGGCGGTTTTCATGGCTATCTTTGCCAAGCAAGCGTTTTTTCTCTGAGTAAACTTCCGGGATAAAGAAATTTGCGTGGTGTGAAAATAACATGTTTGAGTTTGCATCTTTTCTGCTGTAGCGCATATTCGGATGAGAGTGAGTGAGTCATTGCATCAAAACATTATCAAACATGCAGTTGTATGTCGTGAGGCATTATTTAATGCCATGGAAGATCTTCGCTCTTCTTTTAGCCGAACGTCCGAATTTCCTTCCGCCCACTCCGAAGGCACTTCTATCTGGCTTCTTAGTGCGTTTTCCCTTGTTGATCTTCCACAGTTTTCTGCCAGAGAGTGGCGGAAGTGTCTCCGGATCCGCAGAAGAGTCTAATCGCATGCTCTTCCTGGCCATCATCTCTTGCGTCACTACTGGTCGTCCTCCCTTTCGCTTGCCCATACTGTTCAGCGATCTCTCTCCTCCAAGTTGGCTCGCAAGTAGTTCGTCGTTGTAAAGGAGTCGTCGACGCTGTTTGTCGGAGAAGGAATTCTGAAGACTTCTAGCAACACCTGTGCTGCTCTGATCTCCATCTGCTTTGCTTTCGCGAACAGCCTTCGCGACTGGATCTTCAGCGCCGCCACAAGCACCGAGAGAACGAGGGACTAAGTACTCGGGAAGATACCTGGACGATTGGAAGGTGAGAAGATAGCACCAGTGAAGGATTCATTGATGAAAAAAAGCAGTTGCAGTATCTTTTCCTCGTCTTCGCAAGTACTTCTTATTCGAAAAAGTGTCGTCAAAAACAATAGAAATAACTCTAGTAGAACAGGTAGTACCTCAAATGGCTCTTCTTCGATTTATGCTTCAATTCTCGCTGACTTTTTCGCAAAGCCCTCAGATCCTGTGGGTTTTCGTCGAAGTATTTTTTCAGCCGTTGCGAGTTGACTGCTTCAGACTGCAGTTCGCGAAGTCGCATAGCGTTAACAGCCTTTTTAGTCACGGACCTCTCTACGTCCCTAACTCGGTACCGCAGTTGCTCGATGGAGGCCACCTCAAAAGGCAGTTTCTGGACGCCGGTGGAGAGAGGACCTGTTCAGGTGGGATAATATTGCATTGCGCCCACAGTTCACTTCGATAGAGGACGATTCGTAAACACGGAAGGGTGAGGAAGAACTTCCTACTTGTGCGTGTGGTCATGATACAACTTTAAGTATAAGATATAGTCACTTCACGATGTGTAATTCTTACCAAAGAGCTTATGCGTGTTTTGCGCCAAGGTGTGCATCATCTTGATCTGCGAGTTGGATTCTTCTTCGATGAGGGTTAAAGCAGTGCCGTCTTGTCCGCCTCTTGCCGTTCGTCCCACACGATGCACATACGATCTCAACGTTCTAGGAGCGTCGACGTTCAGAACGGTTCCTACATCCTTGAAATCAAGACCACGAGTAGCTGAGAACTGGGCTTTCTGCGAGGAAGCAAGGGCTGCTTTCTTTTCTTTACGAGATGGAGCCTTGTTTTGAGCGTCTTCCTCATCGTCGTCGTCTTCGAGCTCACCTTCGAAGTCCTCCTCATCTTCATCGTCCTCGTCTGATGCGGCTTCTTCTTCAAGCAACTTCTCGTCGTCTGTTTTTATTGATGAGAGGGCAATAGAATTCAGTCGTGCGTGTAATACTTGTAAACGTCGTAGTATTGAAAGAGATTTTTAACATGAGAGACTTCTTATAAGATGTTGCATCACAAAACAGGATAGTACTAGATCTAGTAACACACACAGTCACATCTAAAACTGAATATAGAGTACCATCTCCGTCCTCATCGACATCTGAGAAATCACTTCCGAAGCCATCATCGTTGTCTTTCTTAGAAGATTCTTTCTGTGACTTTGCTTTCGCCTTGTCCTTCTTGCTGCTCGCCTTCTTGTTCTCTTCAGCGTCAGATCCGTCAGAGTCTTCCTCGTCCTCCATATCCTCGTCGTCTGAGCCATCCTCGTCATCATCATCAGAGTCAAAATCATCATCGTCTGAATCATCCATGTCTTCCTTCTCCTTCTTCTTCCTCAGTGCTTCTGCGTGTTTTTTCCTTGCCAACTCCTTACGAGCATTTTCGTCTTTGAGTTTCTGGATCTTAGCACTCGGAACTTTGTTCCTGCCGATTTCTGGTGTGCCCAATTTGATGTGCGCGGTGCTGTTGGCTTTGGTCTTCTTCCTCTTACCTAGCAACGTGTCGTCTTCTTCTTCAGACGAAGAAGCAAAGCGTTCCTCCAAATCCAATTCCTCATCACTATAATCAGATTCAGAGAAGTCGTCTTCTTCGTCCTCCTCGCTATCTGAGCATTCTTTTCTGCTCGGCTTCTTCCCCTTCTTCTGCTGTTCTTGCTGCCTAGTATTCTTAATGGCTTTCACCTTCTTGCCGAATGTCCCAGCCTTAGCCAACACGTCGAACCCGTCGTCGCATGCGATCACCACGTTGGTCAGTCCCTGGTTGAACGTCTGGATCACGTTTTGTCTGGATTCAAAGCTCAACTCGTGGTTCAACACAGTCGACGCGAGCCCAAACTTGTCCAGAAAGAGCTTCAACTTGTAGGCGTTCTCTAACGACTTGACAAAGAGCAAGACTTTCCCACTGACGATCTTCAATCGCAGAAAACCGTAAATGACAAGCAATCGATCAGCTCGCTTAATCGGCAGGTAAAATTGCTTCAGCTTACTGTTACTTGCCAAGTCATCTTTGTCGTAATCGCCATCAAGACCGTCTAAATCTCCACCATTCCCTCCACCAGCAGTGCTACAAGTATCCACTCTAACCGGGTTATGCAACAAGACGGAATTCAATTCCTCAACTTCTTCGCTCAAAGTCGCAGAGCACAAGAGGGCTTGATAACGGTTGGGCAGAAACTCACGCACTTTTTCCATAGCTGAGTCGTAACCGTAGGTAACCATCAAGTCGGCTTCGTCGACGACTAGCATCAGCAAAGAATCCAGTCGCTCTTGTCGCATTTGGAGTAGCTCGGTCTGGAATTTTTGGTTGGAAAACGAAGTCGCAATTTGAGGATAGAGCGGAAAGTCGAGTAGATACAAAATAAATCAACATCATTTGTCAAAGAGAGTCGAACTAGAAAAAACATGAAACATCCTCCACACTAGCGAAAATCAATAATCTAAATGGAAATAATTAGGTACCAAAGTCGTCGGCGAGCAGACCAAGATCGTTGGCAATTCTGGCCTCGCAAACGGTTCTCCCGCCAACACTGCGGCTACGGAAATTTCAGTGTAGCAGAATTCTAGGAGTTTTTCTGCTTCTTGCGCGATCTGGACGCACAACTCCTTTGACGGTGCCAAGATAACGCCACGACAAGAGGAAGAGGAAGCTCCGGATGTTGACGCTGAGGATGCTGATGCGCCATTGGGAGTTGAAGAAGAAGTCGAATTTCCTGCACCTGAGGTTGTCAAAATTCGATTTATCATCGGCACCAAAAATGCCATGGTTTTTCCGCTTCCGGTCCGTGCATTACACAGCACGTCTTTCCCTTGCAGCGCAGGTGGAATCGTACGACGCTGAACGCCAGTCGGTCGTTCGTACAGCTTCTCCAGAGCACGCGTGACCCGGCGGTCCAAATATTCCTCACCAAAGGATGTCCAGGAAGTGTGGGAAGCATCTTGTTTTTGCTCCTCCTCCTCGTCGTCGTCGTCTGCGATGTTGGAGTCTTCTTCTTCTTCCATGTCCTCCTCTTCCTCCTCTAGTCCGCCATCAGAGTCTTCTTCCATGTCCTCGTCTTCGTCGACCTCCATCTCTTCATCCTTCTCAGCAGCTGCACTTCCTTCTTCCTCAGAAGAATCCTCTTCCTCCTCGTCATCTCCTGGAACGTCTTCGGACATGTCTTCATCCTCACCATCGCTATCTTCGCTGTCGTCCTTCACCTTCGCTTCCTTCTTCAAAGGCTTACTGCTTTTGACTGGTGCAATAGAGACCACAGGTTTCTTTTTTGATGTCGCAACTTTTTTGTTGGATTTTTTAGATGAAAGCTGCTCCTTCTTGCCGCTGCATTTCTCGACAACAGCAGGCGTTGGCGTTTCCTGCACCTGCTTCGGGACCTCCTCTACCTTCTTCGGCGCAGTCTTCTTGACGCCAGTCTTTGCTTTCTTTTTCACTCCCATTCTGAAGATATTCGTCTAAACTATATGGTGCAAAACAACAAGGTGAAAGTACTTACCACAGATAGTCCGAATGAATTCGGGATCAAACTACTCAGTACTTCTACTCTGTTGTATTCAGTACTTACCTGAAAAAATTTATAACACCCCTCCTGATTAGACGAGTTGTAGATACAAAGTAAAGGTACTAGCGACAAAGGTGAATGTGATACGTACGTGTCAGCATGCATGACGGTAGTTGCATGAAAAGCCAGATCTTCGCAACCATTGAAACCTGAAAGAGAGATCTTGATCTTCTTTCTTGTAACAATTGAAACATGAAAGAGAGATCTTTTTAATTTGCTTTCTTGTAAGCTTCTTTTGATCTTCTTCCATCTGTTCGTGTGATTACTCAAGTTCTTCCCTTGCTGTGGATCTTCGTACATCTCAAGATCAGTACCTGATATCAAGGACAAGCGGATCATCAAACTCAATCAACATCTCAATCTTTTTTGTATGAGGATCCTTTTGCTTCGTTGAGCAGATGAACCTCCAGCGATTACCTCTCTAGAAGAGATGATCAGGTCGCTTCTTCTTTTGAGAGCATTCATTCTGGAATGTTTCATGATCCTCACGTGTTGATTGGTAACGAGAGGCGGATATGTCCTCTGAATGCAATCATAATCAATCGATTAATTTGACGACCGAGCTAGCACTGTGGAAAAAACATAATGGAAAAAAGATCATGAAGGTCAATATTTTCTGTGCATGTTGACGTTCTTGAGAGTGTGCGAATATTAATTCACGACATCCTCGTGCAGTACCCTATCTTTGTCGTGGAAAATAACAACATCAATCTCCATCACCAACTCCAACATCTATGTATAACATTTTGAAATATAAATATATCTGATGATCAGAGCTAGAGCTACACTATCTCCTTTCTCTTCTCTAAAAACGACTCCACCATACTACCATCTACTTCTTCGATGTCCGCGGCAACGGAAATGCTCTCAATGCCGGAATCGTTGTCGCCACGCGAGATACGGAAGAAACCTTCTGTTAGAGTGTTGACGACGCTGTAATTTTACATAACTAAGCACGTGAGATACGGAAGAAGCCTTTTCTTAGAGACATAGCGTGGTGAAAGTGATCGTAGGTCGTTGTAGTTTACGTAGAAGGTATTTCTGGTCAAAGTCAAATGGTACGTAGTATCGAATCAAAAGTAAGTAAGTGCGACGGAAGAAGGATCGAGTGGTTGTTGTTGTAGCACATGTGAAATTTCAAGTAAAGTTTACTTAATCAAGAGGTCGAACCTTAACTTTTCTCCCCACTCGTCACCCCAGGAGTTTTGCACTTTCCAGAATTTCTGCCCAGCTTCATCCTCACCGTAGCCGAATCTTAGAGACATGAGAACGACACGAAAGATCATAGAAGTGAAACTTTCGGCTAGTTGTTATTGTTCTAAGTAAGTAAATCCACCTCGTATGACATGATACTACTTACGTACAGGCTGATAAAAGAGCCCCATCGCTCTATTAATTTCTCTCCATAAGACCAAAAGAACTGCATGGTCAACTTTTTCCCACTCCTGGTGGATGCGCTCGCTAGACGACTGGTATACACCACTTTGGTAGTACCTGGGATGATAAGTATTCATGATCTGGTTGGAGTGGATGACTGGTGTAAGCATAATGGAGGCAGGGGGTGGGGGTATCCCCTCGCGCCGAGGCTCACTACGCCTCCAGCGTACAGCTTCGCGGCATTGCTCAGCACTGAAGCCCCCCCTCTGATGGCCCACACCAGTCTAAACAGCCGCCCCCCCCCGCGCGCGCTCCATGTTTCTCGCCCTGCAAACAGTTCAGAGATGTCAAACAAGATAAGCACTAGTAGCTTGTTACATGAAGTCATCCTTTGGCTCGAAAGAGACGACAAGTGGTCCGTTTAGCGCAAGCTCTTCCATGATATCCTGTTCGTCGGAGCCGCCATAGTATCCTCCGATATAACGATGGTTCACAGCTCGGAAAGACCGACCCGCACTTTTGACGCACTCCAACGAAATATCGTCAGTGCAGCTGGCGCCAGCGTTGGATCCTTAGAAAAAGAAAACTATCTCTACCAACAACTCGCACTTCTTTAGCAATGCCGCGTGATACAGATTCATTAGGTACAGTGATACTTGTTCCTAAGCGTGAGTGTCATTGAAGAGGTAAAAATCACTGTACTAGAGTATAAGCCATCTTGCATAATACGGAAAGCATTTTGCTGGAATGAGACCCACGTCCTCTGACCATTTGCTCTGCAGGAATGCGTAACCACCATTGCAGCCTTGATTGTATTCACTGCAGTGCAGCGGAAAAGTTAGAAAATGAGAAGCTTATCGTGAGTCATGTTTGTTGCGCTGATATCGCCTTTCGTGACGACCGTAGGGTATAAGTCTGCAACTGGTCACAGTCGAGACCGCGACCGTATGCATGCGGTTGTCCCTGTTATCACCGTTCATGGTGACCGTAGAGACGTGGTCTGACAGTGATACTTCTACTTGAGCCGTAAAAAAGAGATCGAAAACGGCTCCAAACTGTTATCGGAGTGCTTGACGCGGTTACGTGCACTGAGCATCCGCGTTGTCGCAACGGTAAAACAGGAGCCGCAGTCTCCTTGGTTTACTACTTCATCTAAGACTCCTTGTTCACTCCAGTCGACGCTTCGCGGAAGTTGGACCTTCGTCTTCGTTTTTCCTACTCTGGAAGCCGCTGTGGAAGTCTGGAGAAACGAAGACGAGGCGTGGCTTCTCTGGTGGTCCCTTCGTGACCGGAGTATGAAAGCAAAAGCATCGCGGAATAGAAAAACTTCATAAACAAAACTTCCACTTTTCTAAGGTCAACAAACTACAACTGATCAGTAGGTACTTGAATCAGAGCAGTAATCTCGATATTAAGCACAACTCACATTTTTGTCTCACCAGTCATATTCAACCGATGCTGGTTGCGATGAGCAGCTGATAGTGGCAAGCGGCGCTTAATACCCGCCAATCTGTTCAACTCGGCGCGCGTCTTCCCTACCATGCTCTGATACACCTTGGCTTTCCAGCGTCTCTTGCTGGATGAAGATTTGCCAGATGTACTACTAGAAGAAGTCATCTTTGCAGATGCTCCCCTCTCTTCAGTGGTTTCTTGCAGCAACGCAGCGCCAGAACTATGATCTTCCTCATGATCTCCAGTACTGGATTCTCTAGGAAAAAAGCCTGTGGCATGACTATACTCTCCAAACACGTTGGAGAGATCGTCGAGCCCAATATTGCGAGACTCAGACGGCGACTGCTCCCGATCGCCTGTTAGAGGTAGGGTTTTTTTTTTCGCTTACCCCGTTTAAGCGCTACTCTTCCCTCTTGGGAGAGTCAAAGCAAGTGGCAACACGAACACCTAAAACCTACACATAAGTCTGAATGGTCTTCGTTAAGTCGATCGACTACACCTCGATGAAACTCCGCAGACAGGATTGGGTCTTCTTGTTGATGTGCATCGGAACTGGAGGAAAGAGCGGTTGCCCAAGCATTGGCTCTGCTGTTGAAGTCCAGGTCGGGGGCAAATGATGTTAGACGATGAATTTTCAGTATCATATGTTGTGAAAACGTGGATATCATTGAAGTCCGAAAAATAGTTTCCAAGCGTAACTGTTGCGTAGAAGCCGGTACTGACGACCGAGAAGGACTGCTCTGTTTCCGTCCAAAGTAGCATCCATAGTTGCCACCGTTGGCATCGTGGTACCAACCCGTGAGAGTTTCGTCGCAGTGGGTCTCGTTTCTGCCGGTTGAGTCGAGGTCGAAACGCGAGAAGGCGAAAAAAACCTTGCCGTCAACTGCTACCTCCCAGCCTTCGTCGTTGGACATGAAAGCCGATGGGATGGTTTTTCACTTGAGGTTGATCATGTATCATCTAGCTGCCCTCGCGCATTTTTAGGTCTAGTTGTGCACGATCATAAACAGTAAAAATAGTAACCCAGTTGTGAACGATAAACTGCTCAAAGTCTAAATGGAACGGACATCGCTCATGTATCTAAGAGACTAGTACCTTGTACTAAATATCTGTGACAAGAGCGAGAGTGAAGGGCGGTCTGGACCTCTCCTGTAGCTATTATTGTCTACTGGTGAGGCTCAACGGCAATGAAAAGCTACAGACTTAAACTACCTACAACTTCAACTTCTCCACTGTTTCCTTTTTTTTCAACTACCTACAACTTCTCCACTTTTTCATACAGATCATGGTGAAGGTGCCTGCAACATCGGTCTCGGTCTGAGCGCGATTCGGCATCGACAGGGAAACTTTCATAGAGGTGGTCGGACCATCGTCTAGTTGGTATCTGATTAGCGCTGTACTATACGAGGCATAGTCCTCTGGTATAAAGAAACCAATTCCTAGCTTGAAAAGATGTAATATCGCCATGATACTGAGAAAAGCATTTGTTCTCTAAATTATACTTTGAAACCAAGAATTGAAGAAACTACTTGTTGTACTTCTTAATCGAAATCTTCAACAACCGACCTCATAACAAACTCGGTTCTCTTCTTTCATTGTCAGGTCTCTCGTGTCCGCAGGAACTCCTCTCCGGACTAGGCCTGCTGAGTGTGAACTCCCACTCACCCTCGATCTGGTGTCGTAGACAATGCACTGGCAAGTCGGCTGAGACTGGCAGGGCAGACCACGACAGGAAAGCAACTACGGAGGAGAGCAAGGAGAGCTGCGACATTATTTCTTCAGTGACGGTTGTAGTGATGAAAGACTAAATAATAGATACTAGACTTTTCAGAGCTTGTTTACATGTGTCCTCGACCACGTTGGCCACTTATAGATACTAACGCCGTCGTCCTCAGACGAACTGTGGCCCTACATGTACACACACACAGGATTTTCAGGCTTGAGCGTGGGACGCTTTGATGAATTCTCTCAATCTGTTTCGACGCTCCATGGATCTTTTTTGATTTACAGCCACTTCGGCTTTCTCGCTGTCTTTCACTTGTGCTGTAAGAAGGCGTGTATATTATCCGACAGAAGAAAACTTCTCTTCCACGGTCACCAAGAACAACAAGAGTCGTGGTAAGCATGAGACAAGAAGAAGAACTACATAATTGACGCCATTAATAAATAGCAGCACATCCAGAATTACCTTCGCCTTTCAAAGAAATTGTTTAAGTGCTTTTTCAGTCTGTTCTTCTATGCCTCCTCCATCAGTTCCACCACTATCTTCTACAGACGCCACCTCATGACCACCACGTCCTGTAATCTGATTTACCTCCCGCAACTTATTTGCGATCGTATTTACGCTCTTGGAAACACGTTCTAACGCAGCCTCTAAATTGTCTAAGTTGCCACGCATTTTGTCATCCAGCACTAGTTTCAACCCTATAACCTGGTCTCTCCGCTTTGCTGCTAGGGATTCGCTGGGGGCGCTGACCAGCTGGAGTTGCTTTTTTAGCCATGTTCTCGTTCTCTTCACCTCATCAAGTGCAAGGGTACCATCTTCAAGGCGGACAGGGGCTGTGGGCGTAGAGGAAGAGGATTTTTCATCTGCACTAGAACCAGACGCTGATGAAGAGGAATCTCCGAAGCCAAAAAATTTTGGCAAAAATGAAGTTCCCACCTTTCTCCCCAGAGTACTAGAGCTCGAGCTCGATCCTCCACTGTGGAGGTAGTCGTGGGAGTTCTCAAGCCCGCTAGATGCAAAATGTTAAAGCTCAGCAGTCAGTGGTCACTGACCCTGAACGGAAGAGACCCTCTTCAAAGCTCTCCCCTTAGTTTTCCCCTGTTCTCCTCTCCAGGGAAGGTCGCCTCTTCGATTTCAGTGACTCCAATCTAAATGGTGACCATTGAAAGTTGAGCCTTAAAAATAAGCACCAGTAGTTGTCCGAACCAACATCCTGCTCAATCTTCTGCAGCTGTGCTTCCTCCTCCAAGACTTTGTAGTCCTTCGTTGATCTGTGAGACTATTTGTTGCAATTTTCTGTGCTTGTCTGTAAAAGTGTTCAGAAAATCCTTCAGGCCTTTCCACTTTTCCGCAAACGCTGAGGCAGACTGTTTGAAAGACGAACGTGCTTCTGCGGCTCGTTGGAGATTAGAACTAAATAAATTTTCGAGGCGTGTGGATTGTCCTATCATGCCGGAACTTTGGTCAACAACTCTTGATGCATGAGAAGAAAAGCAATGTGGATGAAAGGGCTCAACTAATAATATTCAGCATATCTTATAAGTAGTTATAGTACATGGTTGTTTTGTGAAAAAAGATGTCGTCAACTACCCTTAACTTTTTCAGTCGCGTCAGGTAGGTTTTCGCGATATTCTTGGACGTCTTTTCGCACTTGGTTGAACAGGTTGTCAAAACTATTCGTAAACCCCTTTCCTACCTCCTTCCAACGAGCCCCTTTATCCTCGACCACAAAAGCTGTAGCTCTCGCTCCTCCAATGGGTGCTGATGTGCCAGCACTTGTCTTTCTTGTCGTGGTCGGTATCGAAAGCGAATGTGAGTGGTCGCTGATATAATCGTACACGTCGTAGAGATCCTCGTCGTGGCCGCCACTTAGGTGTAAGTGGTTCCACAGATGCTGGAAGAGCATATTGTTGATCTTCTTTCAGGATTCATTTATCAATTTTTGTAACCTAATACTTATTAATTGAGAAGATATGAAATCGAAAAACAAGGTCACTTACGAAAACGCAGTTCTGGTAGCTGAACCGGTGTGGCATTTGGGAGAGGGGCTGGTATTGTTCTGAAAGCTAATATTTCGATTGTTGATACCGATTGATTTCGATTGTTGTTCTAAAAGCTAATACTTCTAGTAGCACAACAGTAGACATACAGCAGATGTTCCGACTGGTGATACCGATTGACAGCAGTCAATGTGAGAAGATCATGTTGTAGGATCGTGAATTAGAAACCGACATTAAGATGGTCCAAACGACTTTGCTTACAACAGAGGAACCGATAAAGATGGAACATGCGAAGTGTTTCTCGTTCTCAACATAACGCAGCGATTCATCTGCTTCTAGAACACCTCTTGTTCTACTCGCCTGCGACATACCGAACCGATTCATCTTTACTCCTAGAACACTTCTTTTTTCTTTCTGTCTGTTTATAATATATCAGCAGCATCCAAGAAGAATCCGGAGCTTTGGTGTAATCTTCTGCTGGTGCGAAGAATCAGTAAATCAGTCTTCTTCCTCGTTAGTGAGGTTTGAATTATAGTATAAGAACATAAGTTAAGCAGACAACTCCATGGCTGGGAAGAACATGAATATCTATGGTGGAGCAGAAAGACCTAACTAGGAAAAAAACAAGGAAAATCTAGAAAAGCAAAGGAAGAACATGAATAAATATCAATATTTTTACTGACAGCCCCAAAAACCTGCCGACCGAGGCCGCCAGAGCGGGGCCGCAGAAAATTTTTTGTAAGCAGTTGGAGAGGAATGAATTCTTCAAATTGAACCTAGTAATACAGCAAAGTTGTATGTCGTGGTCGTTTTGTTCTAGTAGAAGTAGTATGGCTGGCAAATTTTACTCATACATGGGGAATAGCATCAACATCAACGTATCCATCTATATTCCCACGATTCGGACACAGTCCACTACACGTGAACACTACGCCGTAAATTTGTATTAAAACTTCATAGACATAGGGTAGAGCTGTAAAGGCAAAGGAATTCCCGTGCGCGGGAAGAGGGCATGTAGTTACTCTTTTGGCAGTTCATGCTTATGGTTTGTTTGTAATATATCGATCTTGTCGTTCTGCGACTCAACATTGAATGCACGATATCATCAAATCCAGCCTCTTATGTTTGCTCCAACCTCTGACTGGCGACGGGCAGCCAGGAGGAACCAGCGGGCAACCACGGCACTATAATGTAAGTAAAAAATTCAACACGGTTAGCCCAGGCATTCCTGGAGCCGTCCTCTCACTTCACAAGAGTCTCATAGCTCCAGATCTCCTGGTGGACTGCAATTGATCTAGTTGTAGTCCTTTCTATTACAACACAAATCTACGTGACACGAGGATAGGTCTTGTTTAAGCCTAACTTGATCTTGTTCTTCTGAGCCGCAGTATAACAAATGACCTACAAAGTTCGGACGACCACAATATTCTTACCCATACAACATAAGCAGGAATCTAGTGCCCTTTCGCTTAAGAGTTTTCGCGATTCAGGTGAGGGCAGACAGGGAGGCACTAGCAATAGCAGTAGTGCTTCAATCAACTTCATTCTCACTCATTTTTCATCTCCCTGTTGAACACATCTGAGGAACTACACGTAAATCCAAATCAGACACAACAGACAAGATGAATGGGCAATGCGAACATGGAGACAAACGCTGTCAGTATGAAGAAAATACCATGGTGAAGAAATAACTATGATAGACATGCTTGGTGAAGCTAGACTAATCATGTGCTTTCAAAATGTGCTTGTAGATCTTCGTTGTTCGTCCTAACTAAAAAACCCTTGACTTATAAATATAATAAACCGATAAGAATAACTTTTTTTGCGGCCCTCTTAAAGAATTTCATCTACCACTTCCACTTGTGCAAGTACTTAGTTATAATACACGCCTACGTTCTTGTAATCACAGACCTCCTGCACCGACCTCGCGGATTTAGACTTCGGTTTAGCGCGGCTTCCATCTCAGCCCTGCGCTTCGCGGAGCCGTCCCCGGGGTGGAAAAGTAGTAAGTACATATATTCTTGGAACATTAGATTCTTGCTCTACTACAGCTCCACGCGCGATAGTAGAGTACGCCGGCCTATCGCCCACAGTCAACCGAGGGCAACATAGGTTCGTTCAACACGACGCTTCTAGCAAAATACAGTAGAACTACGTAGCATCGAATTTCATCAATACAACGACATCAACCCATCCGAAGTTTGTTTCACATGTGAAGGGCATTCACCTTCCTCTTCCAATTGTTCCACAAGGGTAGTATTAAGGAATCATACAAACAGTGTGGTAATAAGTGTAATCCGGCAGACCTTAGACAAAAAAAGAATTGCATTTGCTCTCTAGAACAACAGATGACGTTTTTTCACTTCTGCAACAACGATCCGGATCGGCTTCGACGGAGAAGAGACCACGGGAAGTAGTTTTCATCGGTCTGACCTACAAGTGGCGCTCTGAGTGATCCCCTGGGTTTCCACCAAAATGCCTTCCCAAAGAGTAGAATTCGCCACGCAGGACTGAAACTACTAGAAAGTAATGAAAATCAACACGATCATGTATGATACCAGCCTCAGCATCATGAGGCTCCACCGTGGTCTTTGTTCGAGCCCCACGTGTGGGTTTCAAGTTCAACAAACCAGCCTCTATCTATCAAGAGATATGTTCACGCGAGCTCAAAGATGACATAAACAGTTCTTGAAATAGAATTTGTTTGTCAACAAAAAGCTTAGACCAGCAGAAAGAATTCTCCAAACCAGCATAAGTGTTTATTCCGGTAAAGGGGAACTGCAATCTGACTCGTCATCATGAGTGCTTGATGTTGAAAAAATTGAAATACCTAATACGACGAACTAATAGAGTGAGCAGACATTGATTACCTCTCGTTCTGGACGACGTGGACAATGAATACTGTACCGTTCTTTTATTTACATCTGTTTGACGTAGATAGTTCGTTGTGATCATCTAAACCACATAAATTTTTCACATAGTATACACCTGTAGTAATACGTTTAGTTGTCTTAGTTGTTAAATCTAAAAACCATAATCTTCATGCTACCGGGATTATAACCGAATAGCGTTGCAGCTGGGTGTCGCTGCTCCTGCCCGGTTGTATGGGCATCATCTATTGCCCTGTTGTTCCTTGCTACACCAAATGCCAACAACATGTAGCTATGTATTTCCATCTATTATGCTGTATTTCGCTCTTCGTCGTATTCTTGATTGGGGTAGTAAGAATTCTTTAAACCATATTCATATTGTGTTTATTCGAAAAGTACATATATGTGTGACGTATTCGAAAAATGCGATATGAGAAAGATCGACCAAAAATAGAATAACGGAGGTTACTCGTTGTTAGTACGTCAAGTCTCTTTTTTTCCCAGTTTCGACACTTACATTTTTTACGAAATTAATACTAATACGAGTATCCAAAGGTACGAAAACGAAATTCAATTAAACATCAATGGAATTATACCCACTAGGGAAACTTCTGCACACAGCACGTGGACTTTTTGTCATGTCATGGTACCTCTTTTGCAGCATTTCGCGTCTACTTATGAGGCCACTCAATGTACAGGTACCTCCGAATGAGAGTCTTCTATCCACCGATATATATTTTCTTCTAGTATTTCGTTCGTGACATTCATCTATCATGTTCTAGAGGACTCGAGCGGATGATATGATTGGGGATCATTTTCCTCTTAGTTCTTCTGAAGGAGACTAATAACATGTGCCAAATTCCACTACTGCGCAACCATATGTCATGTCAGGTGTATGTCAGGTGTGATCTACCAACAAGTCACGCCGGTTATCGTCCTTGATATTTGCCCGATCCTGGCTGTAGAAAAATGATAGTCGCGTTATTGCTGGCTTGTTGTCGGATCAGAAAAAACTCTGGAAAGTGTTGCAGATACTTGCTCCAACTGTCGCACGTTACGTTAGAGCTCAAACAATTCACTTCTTGCCTACATTTCTCCCAATCCTAAGAATGAGCGAGTGAATGAGTGAGTGAATGAGTGAGTGAATGAGTGAGTGAATGAGTGAGTGAATGAGTGAGTGAATGAGTGAGTGAATGAGTGAGTGAATGAGTGAGTGAATGAGTGAGTGAATGAGTGAGTGAATGAGTGAGTGAATGAGTGAGTGAATGAGTGAGTGAATGAGTGAGTGAATGAGTGAATGAATGTACCAACTCCAGGGGTATAGAAGACTACTTCACTACTACTTCTTCTTGCATTTTGCCTAGAAGGAAATAGGGAGAAAAAGCTTGTAGAAATGAATGGTATTGAGCCTTAATTGCGGGTGCGCTCAGATACAGCGGCATCAATCCGTTTTCCACTAGCTTTCCCAGCAGTTGCCCTTTGTAGTTACTCCGATGCGCATACGCTTGAGATAAAATAGTCATCGGCTCTGTGATCCCGCGATCGGTAACGCCGTGGAGGACGCCGTAAGCTGTAGATGGGAGAAAAGGAGGCTGTTTTGATTGGAACATCTACACCAAGGTAGTATCTATGTACGCGATGAGATGAGTATTCGAAAACTCAAAATAACCGAGTTACTGACTGAAATAAGGGAGGTAGCTTAACGCCAAGCCGAAGGCTACTCTTCCTTCTCATCAGTATCTCGAAAATTCTGATCAGTTACTTGCATATTTCAGTTTTTCGAATTACTTACTATCTTATTTGCCACAGGAGATGAATACGCATCACAAGGATGTAAAAGAGTACCGATCAGCCATAGCACATGAAAGTCCCATTCTGTGACCCAGGAACGGAAATCTTGATTTGTGATTTCCATTTCACCCAGGTTTGCCTCGTCTGAGCGGTCCACTCTACGTCTTTCTGCCAAGAAGTCTTCCCTTCGTGCCGCTAGCAACGATTTGCTCATGGGGTGGGTCCATGATGAATTGCTGCCAGTGTCCAACAAGTCTGGCGTGTTTACTTCAGGAAAGTAATTTGGGTTGATCTTAAAACGGAGATTGTTCAGTTGATGATGGGACAGGGAAGAAGAAGTTGTAGCTGCTCCTGCTGTGGTACTACTATTGTCCACCTCCTGCATCGAAGAAGTAGCAGTAGCTGTTGTTGTACTACTAGTCGTGTCCACCTCCTGCACAGTAGTGGACATAGAATTTGACCTCGCGGAGACATCAGTTGTAGAAGAAGCAGGAGCAGCTGTAGTACCGAAGAAGGTGGTTTCACCTCGTAGTAACGCAGATATTGGCGAAAAGAAACCTCCAGCAGAGGGCTGGTGTCCTTTCGACGACCCAGAGGGCTGTTGTTGTTGTTGTCCTTGCTGGTCACTGGAAGTCGAGGTGTCGTTTATAATCTTCGGGGTGCAACTAGAACTACTTCTAGGATCTACTTCACCTTCGTGGCTATTTTTGGGGGTACTGCAATTATCTGTCTGGTCACCATAAGCATTATGCACTTGATCTCCTCCGTGAAGGCCAAACACGCGTGGTCCTCCTGGTCCCTGACCCCTCTTTTTTGGTGCTCCCAAGCAAGAGAGTAGGCTGTTGTTCCATTTTGCAAAGGAATCGGGCCAGGAAATCTTTTCCATGATACTAGGAGCTTTAAATTGTCTAGCGAATTGCTTTGGCAATAGCTGAAACAGTTTCCGACGCCAAAAGTGTAGGTCTCCTCCTGGGGCAGCAGACCGCTCCACAGGCCAAGAAACTAAGCGACCGTCGACCGTCCAAGCTCGCTTTTCCCCGTTGGCATCTGGCAAGAAGACCGGCTTCTCGGCCTTTTTTTCGCCCTGAAAGGGCCGTCCTCTGGGAATTCTCTTGCCATCTCGGTAGTTGGACATTTGTTTACTGTTGTTCGTATGCTTGTTGGTGTCCTTGACCTTGTGTGTTGTTTGTTGTTGTTCAGGCGTGGATGAAGTGCCAGAGCAGGCTGGTGTATTTCGACTGCTGCTCACCGCGGTGGTCGCTGTATCCATGGAAGCGCCGGCAGTTGAGTCCGTATTTTTCGTCTGTTGTTGTGATCCTTTTCCTTGTCCCTGCAGCGCTTCTAGAAGAGGTCCCTTTTTGCCGCTGATCATCTGAGGAGAGTTAGTTGACGAGGACCCTCCGTCTCCCTTGTAGTTCTTGGTATTTCCATTTGTAGGCTGTTGTAGAGGCTGTTGTAGAGGAGATTGATGGCAGAGTTCCGTAGGGTGAAGATGTGGGCTGCGATGAGGAGTGGTTTGCTCAGGAGTGTGATGTGCGGATTGTTGATAATGTTGCTGTTCTCGTCCTTGCGCCTTCTCCTGCTTCTCCTCACCATGATAGTATTCTCCTCCTCCTGGTCGTCGAACTGATGTCCTGTCTAGTGCACCTGCTCGCGTTATCGAAGAGGAACAACAACTATCAATACTTTTACTATGACCTTTACCTCCACTACGTGTAGTAATAAAAGGCTCTACTGGAGGGTCAGAAGGCAAATTATGGTGATGCTCGTGCCTTTCTCCATTATCAACACAGGCGGACGACCACGACGCAGAGGATCCATGTCTGTAATTATCGAACGCGGGAGCACTGTGATGACCACCATGCAAAAATCGTTCGTGTACCCGCTCCTCTCTAAATGTTGGCTTTCTACTGTCCACCTGGTGTTCATCTTCGCCATAAAAACGATCATTTCGTGGACGATCATTTCTCCCACCAGCATGCGAGTCGCCAGTATAGAAGTTGTGGTTGTAATCTTGATTGTTCTCCCGAAGAGCACGACCTCCGGATCTCACACCTGATGCACTTGCACTACTGCGACTATCGCTTGGAGTCAAGTGGTACTTATCATAGTAATTGCCGTTCCTGGGTGGACCATCTTGATGAAAATTGTCGTCAATCATGTCAGCCTCCCACTCCCTGGTCGGAGGATAATAGAGATGATCGTCTCTACCTCCGTTCTTTTGTTGCTCAAAATTTTCTCCGAAAGGGTCCCAGTGCGGAAGCGGATGTGAAGATGGCGGGCGTGGCGGTGGGGGTGATGGTGGAGTGGTCGGCGGTCCTTTCATGTTCAACTTCAAATTCTTGCTAGAAATGGAGGTAGTACTATTTCCATTTTGATTTTTGCCACTTTTTGATGTTCCGTAGAGACCACCAGTGCTGTTAGTTGCAGTGCTGGTTTTCCAACAAAGATCATCGTAAATTGTACTAAGAGAAGCAAAAGGGGGAAGCGGTCTTACGCCGTAGTGGTCACTATCATGATTCGCAGTTGTGCAGTAGCTCTCAGCAGGTCTTGATCTACTTCCATAGTCGTTGTAATCTTCAGCGGCATCAAACCTGGCACTGCCCCGTTCATTTCTCCAATTCATATCGAAATCTTGCTCGTAGTCTCTACTACCCATACTACCAGGTCCGATATAAGACGTTGACTCCCAGCCTTTACCAACATTGCAGTCGTTTTCGCAGCCAGGTTTTCTTCCATCTTTACCCTTGCGGCCTTGCTTCGCTGCAACTCCTTGCCCTTTAGAAGTGACCGTGGTAATCGTCGCATTTCTTGTTCCTTCGCCATTTCGATACGAGTCAACTTGGCGCGAAGCACGATTTCTTTGCGCCGATGTTCTAGTACTACCACTTCTATTGGAAAAAATTGAGTTAGCACCTGAAAGAACAGCAGAAGAAAGACCAGGGGGCGTCATACTTCTTCCATTCGTTCTTGCAGGTCTTCTTGTTCGACTACAACTTCTTCTAGACGCTGCGGCTGAAAATGAAGGAGCCGCGTTACAGATGTTGACGTTGTCATACCTAGACCTAGGACAGAATGCAGAAAATGAACTATAATGATCTCGCATCTGCATCTCTGCAGCTTTTTCTGGCTGCTGCTTCCTACTCAAAAATTCTCTAGAGTCGTCGCGCAGAGTCTCTGGTGTACGTGCTTTTGATAGCTGGCTCTTTCTTGGTGTCGTTAAATTCAAATTTTCATCTTCTTCTACTAGACGTCCTCGTGGTGCTGCTGTCATCGAGGGTTCCGCTTCTTCTAGACTCAACCCAGGTGGTGGTTGGATCCGTGGCACATTAAGATCACGTGGCTCCATTTGTAGTTGTACAAGTGGCGGACAACTATTCAGATTTTTACTGCTATCTTCTACTTGAAAAGAATGTTGTTCTGGTACTGGTGGAGGTTGAACACGACGAAGATGTCTTGGAAGATGCGTTGCAGGCGACTCCTGTAGTCGTGCTTCCATTATTTCTCTAGCCGTCACTTCATCCTGCTGTAAGCGTCGATAACAGCGCTTGTACTCCTTCCGAATAACATAGTCGAAAACCAACTGGCCTTCGACACTCATATGCAAAATGCTAGATGGATCTTCCACGAGAACGTCTCGATCACTACTATGCTGCACATGGTATTCTTGGTGATTGTTCCTGTCACTTCGCTCATCTCCGAGAAAAGTCTGCGAGACAGCAAGTACGGGAAATCTCTTCTCTTCACTACTATCTTGAGAGAAAAAAGCGGAAGAAGATGTCTGCTGCTTGCACTGACCAGACCCAACGACGTAGTCCAAAACATCCCATTGAGGGACAAATTTGAATACTCCACCACGTTGTAGTCTTGTTGATGAACTATCGATATGATTCTGGTCTGCGACGGAGGACAAACCGCCAACAGAAGACGAGGCTGAAGAGAATGTCCTCGTCTTTGCTCCCTGTTTAATATAACCTTGTAAAGAATCACCTTGGCAAGACGATAAAAGTGGGTCTCCTCCTGATGCAGCAAAACTATGGACCAATCCGCCACACTCCACACCTCGGCCGAACACTTCCCGTGTTTGCTCAACTAGCTGCGCTCGTGTGGCCTCGCGAGACGACAGGGCTTGTCGGACTTGTTGGTTTAGAGGAACCCTATTGTGTCTTGAAGCGCCGTAAAATTCAAGAAAGCCTAGCCACAAGCGAACTAGTGACAGACCCTCTGTTATGCCATTCTTTTCCGTTTCGGTGGACTTTGAGCTGATTTTCCAAGGAAGCACAGCGATCTTCTGAAGAAAAAAAATCAACATCAACAAGTATCCATGAGCGGGAAGGAGACCTGTAGTCGTGGAAAGAATGTTGTTGTTGTTGTTGTTGTTGTTGTCTTGTAGTTCTAATTCATTGTGTTGGTAGGTGACGTCCATGCTTGTCGCAGTAAAAAATAGGCTGGCGTCTAATTGCCATCCCAAATTCAATTCACAACCACATACATCAAACCAAAAAAGTAAAACTCAAATACTACCTTTATCCACCTCCGTCATGCTTGAGTAATCGTCCTCGTCTTCGTCGATTGAGCCTCCAGAAGCTAGGTTGTTTTCCCTTACAAAACCGTTCAAAATTGTAGCAAGAGCTTGACAGTACGGATTGGCAGAGAAAGGGCGCATCAGTCGCGCCACTTGCACTTGTAACGTCTCATTGATGCGGACAGTGGTTAGAGGGGAATCGATTTGATAGGTGAGTCAGTGTAAAAGTGGTCTAGGATGTTAGAGTATTATACAGAAGATGATGACATAAGCCCAAAAAACTCACATGTGCTCTTTACAGGAGCGACAGACGCAAGACCTGATAGTCAAAGACAGGATCAGAAGAAGTTACTAGTAGTATTGTTTTTTTGCAAGAAGAAATAGCCTAAAAATACATAGAAAGAGGAAAACAAGCCGGCTGTTTACTTATATATTTGAGAAGTTACTAGTAGTATTAACTCTAAAGTAGAGGAGTAATCGTGTCTCATAATCGAAGTGGTATCGACCGGCCTCCATTGAACATCATGCGGCAATGCAGTGTATTCCCTTGTATCCTACATTTCCGGTATAGCTCGGGATAATCTGGTGTGAAGATCGTGTTGATAATCTGAGAAGAAGATGGAGACGCCTTTCTAAAGACGGCAATGCAGTGTATTCCCTTCCCCTTGTATCCTACATCTTCGTGAAATCCTACGTCGTCCTAGACAACTCAAAAACGAAGAAATACCAAGTAGTTCTTGCCGTAGTGCTTCCAGTCGGGTTGCTTCTTCCAGTGGTACAACACTACACTCAAACGAGGCATCCAAACCAGAGTTCTCATGCGCAAAGCCATTCGCTGAAAAACCAAAAAAAGCGATGCGCTGCGGATACTCAAATTTTCCGGAATGGTGGCGCATTAGAGGTGGTTTAGTGTTAATGGAGTAAAGGGGTTTGCGCTCTACAGCGACGAAATACGATAGCCACTGCGATCGAGCGCTTACTTCGCGACTTCTGAGCGCTATGATTTGAAAGAGAGAGAGGGAACCACACCCACCCGCGCCGGCTATGGCCAACGCGTTGCAAGTGGCGAGCATGGTAAGGCTGCCCGAAGGCGGTGCCCGAAGCCCTGAGGACAGTGCCCCAGATTCCGAAAGAGAAAGAGAGAGAGAACCACACCCACCCGCGCCGACTATGGCCAACGCGTTGCAAATGGCGAGCATGGTAAGGCTGCCCGAAGGCGGTGCCCGAAGCCGTGAGGACAGTGCCCCAGATTCCGAAAGAAAGAGAGAGAGAGAACCACACCCACCCGCGCCGACTATGGCCAACGCGTTGCAAATGGTGAGCATGGCAAGGCTGCCCGAAGGCGGCGCCCGAAGGCGTGAGGACAGTGCCCCAGACTCCGAAAGAGAAAGAGAGAGAGAACCACACCCACCCGCGCCGACTATGGCCAACGCGTTGCAAATGGTGAGCATGGTAAGGCCGCCCGAAGGCGGTGCCCGAAGGCGTGAGGACAGTGCCCCGGACTCCGAAAGAGAGAGAGAGAGAGAACCACACCCACCCGCGCCGACCAAGGCCAACGCGTTGCAAATAGTGAGCATGGTAAGGCTGCCCGAAGGCGGTGCCCGAAGGCGTGAGGACAGTGCCCCAGATTCTGAAAGAGGTGAAGACCATGGACGCCCGCCCCGACTATGGCCGAGGCGTTGAAGCTGGCGCCAATGGTTTACCGTGTTCGCCTGGCGATCTGGGTCATTTGATTGCACTGGTTAGGATTTTCAGTCCTTGGACCTTGATCATTATCTTATCATCATCGACCATCTTATTCATGTTCCAGCGACATACTGCAACTATGAATGAATAAGCACTAACAAGTGTTAGTCCTTGTCCTTGTACTTCATCTGCCTTGTTACCAAAAAAAAATTCTGATGATGCGAATCTATTCGGCAACTTACCCTTAGCAAAAACCAATTCTGATTCATTCAAAATCATAACAGCTGCTGTTCTCCTGTCCCTCTGCACGAGGTTCTCGACGTTCTGTTGGCAGAGAGCCAATCCTGCTGGAGGGCGAAAGCAGCTTCGGTCAGGAAATCCTTGTGGAGACGAGTTCGATTCTCCCGCCTCTCCAAATCCTCACGCCATACGAGATCACACGTCATTTTGATGATCGTTTTTTGTTATGCTAGTAAAAAAACTAAATTTTAGCCGGCGACTTGTAATCTAGTACGTACTTAACCAAAGCGTAGTAATAATTAACGTTGAAGAGTACATGGATAGTTCAAACAATCATTGCAGACGTGTAAAGAAGATGTTAATAGTTAAGGTCTAATACGAGATGATAGCAGTCAGAAGTAGTTGAGGTAGCATACCGATAAGATGAACATGTTGAACAAAGAACATAGAAACGAGTGGATACAGCAGCACACCATAAACAGATACTAATCCCGCATCAAGAAAACGACGCCACCTACTCGTAGTTTGTACCTACCTACGTACTTACACAAAAGAAATAACGAACACCGTGGACGTGGCTGAAGACATTTAAATGCAGATATCAAAATCCAACCAGCAGACACCAGTGCTCCTCTAGTATCTACTTCCCCTGATCAGCAACGGCTTGAGAGATCTATAGATGGCCGAGAGTCAACTACTTCTTCTTTCTGCTTGCTTTATCCCCGACTCGTCATGGAAATCTAGTAGACGGAAATGCTGCAGATCAACACAGTACTAAAAGCTCGTGAAAAACTCCCTCCTTATAAAAATCAATCTTTCTAGTATAAAGAAAATCAAGAGACAATCGAGGCGCGGGGAGGTGGTGAAGTTAACAAGTATTGAAGTTATAACAGTAGGAGAAGGTCGTGAAGTTAACAAGTAGATAAATGCGATAGAGGACGATAGTACGAATCCATATACTCAATTATCAACTAAGACTTGAAAGTTAGTGCACTGACTATATCCCGTACCGGTAAGGGAACCGTCTACTGTGCTCTGTTATCAAGATGATGAAGTTAACTAGTAGTAGTAAGCCTTTGATGAAGCTTCAAGGTTTATCAGGGTCCACAACCTTTTTTTTGTCGTCTGGAGCTGCTGAAAGAACAAGATTAACGTGCTTACAATACAACGAGACGAGACATCAAGACACGAAAAGAACCACAAAAAGAAAAAGCATACACGATCAGTATGTCCTAAAATCGAATATCTACTGCCTTGGATACTCTTGTTCTATCATTGGAGTGAAGCTAGTTTTAGTTGTACACCAATAAGACAGGTTTGAAGTAAAGAACGTCCTTCAATAGACGTAGGAAAGAACATGTGGCATCAGTTGTAATCACAAATCTCGCGAATAGTTCTACATCTCTTGTTCTTGTGGGTCGTTCAAAAAAAAAAAACCTGAAACTACAAATTTATCACCTTCTCATTTGCTGTCCATGCCTAACTAACAGCAGGAAAAAATATTACAACTACTAACTTAGCCAAACTTGTATGTATGAAAATTGACACAAGTAGTTCACGGTAGAAGACCCACACGAATAGGCGAAAGCCCCCATTTACGACACTCCTGCCTGGTGGTTTTTGGATGGTGGAAAATGAATGGTCGCGGTGAGGACGAGCAACATCTTGAGAACATGATGAAGACGTAAGAACCACGAGGACTGTCACTGCTTCATATCTTCGGCTGTACCTACGTGTAAAATTTCTCCATCTCCTGCTTCTGATGTAAGTATGTTGTACTTCCCAAGCTTTCATTCCATTACATTCCCAAGCTTTCCTTCCATTGATCCAGCAAACGATCCATGCGTCATACTCATTGAACTATCATCACCTGGAACTATCTTATCGGAAGCGCATCATCGTCTTTTCGGATTTTTGGATGAGATTCTGTGGAATTTTCGACGGATGTTTCAGAACTGGCATGTGGTGTATTGAACAATAATTACGGGAAGAACAAGAAAAGGACCAACTAGTACTAGATGTCGCCACACAAATAGCACTGTGTGACTGTTGAGAACACGATCACTGGGATCCTGCATAAAGAGTCCTCGGTCCCGAGAACCATGGCGGTCAAAATTTACAATCGACAGACTGAAAGAACATTTTGAATCTTGGTTGACCATTAAATCGTTGAATCGAGACCTCCTAATATCAGATGAGATCAGATGTCATGAACAACAACAGTGACATAAGTAGATGATACAGATGTGACTTACTAGGTTCGATGCTGAACCACGTGAAAATGAGAAAAGTAAGTAGACCTGACTTGTGCTCAAAAATGTAGTCTTTTCAACATTATTCCCCATCCCCACCTTGGTGCGGCACCCTTTCTAAGTACAGCTACCTTCCGCGGTCATTTTTTCGTAAACGAAAATTCATCTTCGTAGTCTTCCAAACCGTGCTTCTCCCGCGTTGGTGGACACATTTGCCCGTAGTCGCTTGCCCGCTTTAGGATCTGCGAGTACGACACCTCATCGCAAAAATTGTCCTTCTCCCACAGCTTGGTAAACGATTGAAAACCGTTCTGGGAAAGGCTCTGGCTAGTTTCTTTCAAGAGGTTCAGGTCGGCGGCAGGATTAGATGTTGTGACTTGAGGATATATAATGAGTACTCTCTTAATATTCAAACCATGATCATCCCAGTGCCCAGAAATCATGCTTACAGTTATAGTATAATCTAATTGTATGCTATTTAGTAAGAAGCCTTAACATTCAAAACATCGTGTTCCAAATTTTTCATCCTCGAATCTTTGTGCAGGTTGCGACCAGCTAGGTACGGAATCGCAAGACAAAAGTCTGGATTTTCATATTCGCCGCCGTTAAACCGCGAAAGCAGGTCCAGTGATTCTCTTGGGCACGGTATTCCCCTATCAAACAGCGTACATCTAGAAAGCGGCAAAAGGTAGTCTCTGAGTGGCACAAATCCTCCCCAGGACTGAAACACCGGCATGTCTCCTAAATAACACAGCGGATTGATCCCCACTGGCAAAGCAGATGCAGAACTACGTCTTGATATTGTTTTTCCATCTCCTCGCGGAGGAGGCAAGGTTCTTTCAGTGTTCTTGTTAGTACTCTCCTGTCCACCTCTGCTTAGAGCTTACAACAATTCATCTTGGAAGTCATCTTTGACGTATTTCCCCCTTGAAAACGTGTCAGGGGTGCCTTTTAAGATGAATTACGGCAAGTCTTAATCTGCCACTCATTTTTTTCTTCCGTCTCCTTCGTTTCTGATAGTCCTCCAAGTATCGAGGCACTGGCCCAGTGCCTCGACGCAGTGTCCAAGGATTCACATTGAAGATTTTGGTTCCATGTCGTGCCTCGATTGCATCTTTTATTGATAATGTAATTTGATGTTCAGAGGTGCTAGAAGGAGTTGTAGTAGTTTCCCTATCGTCCTGCTCTTGTTCCACGACTAGAAGTTTTCGTGCTTTTTCCTCTTCTGCTACTCTTTTCACCCTAAGCTTTTCGATGAAAAATTCCTTTTTAGCCGTATACTGGTCTGCAGAGCACCATGGCGAATAGCCTGTGCCACCCATTCTGAAAATGTAGCCGAAATTCAACCTTTCTTCCTTCACGTAGCTCCTCAGTTCGACTCCTATGGCGTAAGGCTTGTACCATCCACAGGCAAGTAAATCTTGTCTGACGTAATTACTCCAGAATTGATTTTTTTGATGCAATGAGTACGTTTGATGACACATTTTGGCGCCGTGTCTTTGCGTAAAAGCCTGGCTGAGTTCCGCACTCACGTCGAGCCACTCGTCTTCACTGCCCAAGCCGATCATGAACTCCAAATCGTCGTCTATCACATCCCAGCGATTCTCACCAGTCAACTGTCCAGCTATTTTGCCCCATCGCATAGCCCCAATCATAGTTCCCCCTGCAGGCCAAAACTCTAGATTCAACCTTTCCAATCCATCTTAGAGCCATCCATAATTCATCTTGCAATTGCATCTCTGAAGAGTATGAAGAATATTGCAGGGAAAACCTAGTGTCTCGTCATACTTTTCAGGAATGCACAAGAACTCAAAGATGAGTTAAACCGATAGCCTTAATCATCAACCACTGAGTTGAAGATCTCCTTCATCTGCACATCGTATTCCTCAGGTACAATGGTAGTTAGACAATGTCCTTCCTCTTGGCAGATGTCTCGCCTTTCGTCCGCACGATTGATCTTCTGGCCGTACAAAATGTCCTTCTTGCTCATCATACGATTTTCAGCTAAACGCATCAACCCTACCCAATCGATATTGACTCCACCTGCGACCCATCGCTGCCAGTTTGGTAAGGCGAATTTGTTCCGCGCTGGTAGGTAGACGCGGTTTGTGGTATGAAACTAGGAGAGAGGAAGGGAGGAAGATGGGTGCTGTAAATATTGCTGCATGGGATAAGTCTAAGTTTTGGAGGTAAAAACGAACCGGTTGTTTTATTATGGGTGCTATAAATATTTACTTTTTCTCACTGCCCCACATCTTTTGCAGGTAAGAAAATATTTATTTGACGCTAATTTTGATGGACTAAGGAACAGCCCCATCTCGTAAATCAAATGATGCGCGTACTGCAAAAAATGCGACCATCCTGCTAAAGGTTCGTTCCGTAGCATAGCCTGAATCGACTCCTCAAATAGCTTGTTGATGTAGACCAAAAGGGCCAAAAGCACAGCCGGAGTGCATGCAGGGAACGTGAAACTCGGATCGGTCATCAGTAAGTAGTGAACCATGCGGTTGACGTTCACTAGTTCTGTTTTTTCAGATTCCTCCTCTGGTGCCACTTCTTCTACTTGTGCTCCTTTTCCTACAGCGTCAGAGAGAGACTTCTCTCCTTCTCCTTCTCCACTTCCCGTTTCTCCACCAGCTCCCTCTTCATTTTTCAGCCTCATTGCCCTCGCTACCGTTGGATCCATCTGCGTTACTGGTTTGCCCAACAATTCCGCCACCCCTTCCCTAAACAACCGGTAGAAGTTCCACTTCTTGCCCTTCTCATAGGTAAACATCGTCTCAGTCCTGTCTAGGCACTCTTCGCCCGGCTTGTCTAACTGCTTTTGGACTAGTTCCATGTTGTCAATGGGCAAGACGTGATAAACCCACTTCGCATGATTCACGGTCCAGAGGCGTACTAGGTGTTTTCGCATGGTGACGAAGCGGGAGTAGGCGGAGTATGAAAGAGGAGGAGGAGTGTGTCAAAAATGAGTATGAGCGTCAGTTTCATCAGTTATAACTCGAAAAGCTCTAATCACATAGAGAAGTTGCAGAAGATCGCTACATGGTCAACATAACTTCAATATCGTCGGCGCCAGCATTTCCCTTGCTTCGAAGTGAGGACTCTCTTGCAGCGACATCAGCATGCGCCGCAATCCTGGAATTGCTGCTGGATGGAGGCTGAAAAACAACTGTTTCGGTATTCGCGTCATGTCTACGACATATTCTTCCTGCTGACCACTCTTTTCCTCTGCCGTTCCAGACTTCCATGCTTTAGTTTCAGCAAGTTCGCGATAAAAAATGGATTCCTCTCCCGTTTCCAAAAAGCTGACCGCGATCTGTTGAAACACTTGTTGTACACGTTGCCACGTTCCTTCATCCATTATCACCAGTTCTCTCCTACTCTGTACATAGTCGTACTGCGCAATCCCTATCTTAGACGAGCTTCCCCATATTTATTAGGGGTGGACCCAACCTAACTATCAGAACTCCACGGGTAGAAAAAGACCACTACAGAGACGACCTTCCCTATATTAGATCATGTGCTAACAGAGCGCATCCTTGACCGCCCGCTTTCCCCCTTAAAAATGCGTCAAAGAAGATGAATCTTAAGATGAATTTGTGTATATGTGTTTAAGACTTAACTATTGCTTTCACTATATGCATCAGGAAGGCCATCGGACGACAGTGCTTCTCCAAAGCCTGGATCTGGTGGAGCAAAAAATTCTGGACCACACTCAACTCATTGGAGAAGAAGTCGTCGTCGAAAAACCGCGCCAATTCCACCAGGAAAACGCCGTAGATGCTTCGGTCACGGAGTACTCTTTGCGCAGAGGAGCCAAAACGTTCTAATTGATTGACAATTTCTGATTCTGCAGGATCGCATCGGAGGTTCTTTGGAGGTCTGTTTCGTATAAAGAAACGCAGTTTACTAAGGGCATTGGTGGTGTTCACGTCTGGATGCTCCGCGAAGTTGATATTAGAGGTAGGTTTTTGGTGCTCGCTTAATACCCCGCTTGTTAAATGCCTTTCCCCCTTAGGAGAGGCATAAAAAGCGGTGAGAAAAGCACCTTTAACCTACTCTTAATGATAATATGGGCTTCGTTGTAAGCGCTGACAAATAGAAGATGGGACGAGTGCTGCAGTACTAGTTCGAGGAGACCGTACATGAGGATGACGAAGAGAACTGCCAGAATCGGATTCAGCACCGCAGGCCCAGTCGTTAGGATGTTCGCTCGTTCAAAACGCCGACCCACTATGGAGACCTTGCTCTTACGCTCACCGTGTATCTTCATACACATTGAGCGTGTCTCCACCCCCGTCGGCATCCTCCTGCATGCACCCAACATCACGTGCTTGCAGGCAAAAACGACGCTGTTACCTTCCGAACTCATCTCCATTTTCGCCCACTGACTCTGCTTCCTGGGCCACTAAAGCTCCTCCGAGCTAATTCTTACGTCAGCAGTGTCTTTTCGCCTACATGGCTCCACAGTAGGCGTTGCGCGCATGCAGCCTTCATCGCGCGCTCGAAAAGCTACGAGCAGAAGGGAGACGACGCTGGCTAGGACGTTTTTGAGCCCCCTAATGCAGCATTATGTTGTGAATGAGTCGACATTTTGAACTCCATTCTCGCACCATCTTTTGATTGCGTGGCAACAGTGTTTGAAAATGCACTCTACGGCGGGACACGGGTTTGAGTTTGTCTCCCAGTGACAAGTTAGTTTACCGATAGAGCAGCAGACAGAAAATCTATAGGATTCTGCTGATTGAAGGCTGCTACGAAAATTCTAAAGACAGACTACCGATACATCAGAGTAGATCGTGAATGTCATCATCTTACATTTTTTTCCCTCAGACGCGCTCCTCTTCGCTCTGGAAATCACACAACATCGATGATACAACACCCATTGCCAGGGAAGAGAGATCCTCCGACAGTCGATCCGGTAAGAAGATGAGCGGACCACTCATCCGGATCGTTCCACTGCGTTCACAATCTCATGGAATGGGGTAAGTACCTACGTCCGTAGTGTCGGACAAAGAAATGGGAGAAGAAATGTTACAGTGTTTATCGTTGGAACGGGGTATGAAGATCTTGATCACGACTTGAGATGTGACTGTGTTAAAATCGATCCGGTCCTCTCGGCGATGGCATCGCATAAGAACCAGACGGACCTCCTGATGGTTCTGGTGGTAAAGCCAAGAAGCTCTGCATGACCATTTTATCCTCTTCTCGTTTCTTCTCACGTGCTATAATATCGTCTGCGTTTTTGATGATGTCTAGAGAAGCAGAAGCGAGAGGATCCGTTGTACGACTCGTCGCGTTCTTTCCTCCGTAGCTGTACATATCTCCTAGGGCTAGAGAAGATGTTCCTCCGGACGGCAATGCCATGTTTATCTTGTCCATTTTCACAGCCGTCTCGGTTACTTTTTTCCTCAATTCCTGCAGTAGCTTCTCCGTTGCAGCTTCGTCTAATCTGCCTCGTTTGCTGGGACTGCGCACAGAGCGAAGCTCCAGGGCCACGCGCTCCACAAACGATTTGCCTGCGCCTGCCGCTCCACCTATTTCTCTCCCTCTAGGAGGGGACTTGTCCCTAGAGTGCAAAGCTTTTCGAGCGGAGGTCTTGGATGGAGACGCGCTTTTAGTGGGGGATAACGGAGGCGTCGCGCGGGAACTGAAACTGTCGCTGCGAGGCTGTGGTTATTGGAGAAAGTTTTCGTACTTGGAGGTTTTTGCATTTCCATTCCTCTAAATTCGAAAGAACCATACGCATGATTGAGTACAGATTCAACATAACAAATACCTTAGTCAGCGGTGGCGGCTTGATCTGCGACGCAAGCGCTTTCGAGGCAACTCCAAGATTTTCTTTGTTGTCTCTCGGCGTCCTGCTTGAAGATGGCAATTGCTTCTGACCTCCTAGTACTCCTTTTAGAGCATCTTGACCCTCTGGACTCGCTGTGCTGTACGGACTTGCTATACTGCGAGCCACGTCTTTCTTGTACTGTATCTCTGCTTTTCTTTCCGGAGATAGAAGTCGCGACTTCGGTTTCAAGATGGAACCAGGGTTGCGCAACTTGACATCTAAACATCGTTCTTTTTTCTTCAAAAACCGCTCAAAGCGCTTGTCCTTGCCAGCTGCTCGTTGTAGAAAGAGCATCTCGCGGCGGGCGCTAATGACCTGTATTTGTTTGACGGAACCTCTTCAGCGATGTAGTGCTAGTGATGTCATGCAGCGAGCTGTATCAAGGACGAAACTACAAAGATAAGCCTATCATCCCCAACTTTCGACCTCATCCACAGAAAAAATACCGCTTTCCTCAGCGCATGTTCCTGACGATCCCTGCTTTGCAACCTCCGCTGATCGTCTAGCGAGATGCTGTCTTCGCCAAAACGGCAGTACCACATCTTTGCGACTTCTGTAAAGTTCTAGTTCTACACAGTAGTGTTTTTAATGTAGTCTCAGAAAGGACTCACTTCTAGGTTATCGAATCTGCTACAGTCACACGAAATGTGTTTGACGTGCATGAGATCTTCATAGTTCAAAGCCCCTCCAAAAATTGTGAGAGTTTCTCAAATCACGCATTTCTCAAAGTTGCACCTTCGAGGAAGTTGCGGCAAGAATAGGAATCAACGAGCACGACAGCGAGCTTTTTCAAGCTGAAACTTCAGTCCAAACGATGGATACGATTTTCCAAAAAATCGCTCCAGTCTGTTACCAGACGACGAGAGCAAAGACTTCTTGTGCCGCAGTGCAACATGCAAGCAGCTGACATCAGTAGTCGTAAATAAAGGGATTCAAACGAGAGTCATGTAGCGAGTGTCACAAAAATTACGAATCGAATCATGGCGGCGAGAAATTCATCCATACTTTCTTAACTCTATTTCACAACACAATATCCCCACCCAAGCATCTCGAAAGACCCATGGCGCCTACTCCCTCGTTCTTCTTCCTAATCGTGATAAAAACTAAACACCCTATCGTCCACAACCAAATGTATACCAGAGAAGTCGTCAGGCACATCAACGAAATGCTCTTGGCTCGACGATGGTCTGGTGAAGAAGTCCTCTTGGAAGACTTCATCGAGACTCTGGATTTTTTTCTGTCCTCTGTTCCAGCGATTACGTCTACCAGGATCTGCCTCCACATCGGTTGCGTAGACACGAAGAAGGAGGCTTTGTCGAGGATGTAATTCTTGAGTGCTGTTTTTATTTCCAGGGGTTGTGCTTGGTGTCGTTGTACTGTCAATTCCTATTCGACCGGAAACTACAGAACCTTCGCAAAGTGCTAGCGCGTCGCTTGCTTGCTCGATTGAATCGAAGTTCGTGATAGGACTCGCACTACTAACACTTTAGAAGCAAATCAATACCACTAAACCTAGGGGCTCTGCAATATTTTGACCCAGCCGCTAGTGGTATTGATTTGTTCATAAACACTACCACCCCAACCATCAGGCCCCTCAGCCAAAAAGGCCGCGATTTGTTCGAAGGCAGCTGTGCTATCTACATACTCTTCTAGAAAGCGGAGAGCTGACAGGACTTTGGCAGAAAGGGCTGTGGCGGGAGTTGTCGAGAAGAAGTCTGCTAGTCTGGAAGCGCCAAGGTAGGATACCTGCAAGCAGGAAATATCATGGACTTCGTGGAGAGAGGAGTAGACCTCTTCAAGGAGATATGAAGGAGGGTCTTGGGAAGTTCTGGGTGGGAAGTGAGGTAAGATTGAGCGAAAATCATAAGTCTGTAAAACTCAATCTCAAGCTCTACTAGTAAACAAGCTCAAGCTCTAGTTGTGACCATCGTTCCCCCTGTTGCTCTTTTTCGATGCAAGTACCACATCGGGGACATGCTCCGTTCGTTGAACCCCTCCATAACACATGAAAACTGTTGAGCCACATGCACTTTTTGAGCCCTGTCCTTGTCCGCGCTGTCCAGAACTGAATGCCGCATTCGTTGTCGTTGACTGAGAATCTTGAGACTTCTGCAAACTGAATTCCCGCATGCATCTGGATCATTTTGTCTTCAACGTTGTGGTATGTTGACGAAAATTCTCCTCCAGGGTCCGAACAAGCGCTTGTCGAAGCAGAAGAACCACCGCCTACACCTACCGCGGAAGCCGCTTCAGAAGAAGATGCACAATCCGCTTCCTCAGTAGTTGCATCGCAATCTCCCTTGTTATCCTCTTCTGAACTACCTGTCGCCCCACACATTACTGTAATCGGCAACGACACAAATGCATCTTCCACCTCTTCAACGGCCACATGCTTTGGAAAGCGAATCCTCACCGCAGGAGACAAAAAGTGCTCCTCTCTAGTAGGGACTATTTGCGCTATGTGGTGTTCATCTCCGTGGTCCTCTAAAGCAGGTTCTGCTGCTGAGAAGTCTTCTTCGCTTAGTACACCATCTCCCATATGATTGTACTCCACCACAAGATCCGCAGTGTTCATTTCCTGCCTTCCCGCTAACCTACAGTAGGGCGTCACCAAGCGGAGCAGCTGCGCCTCGGCCGCCTGCGGTAAGACTGGGGGAATAGGTCTATGAATTGATGTATGGTCTTCATTTCCACAACCATGATATCCACCTTCTGGTCCTAGGAGCTCTTCTTTTCTCACCTGTAGAACAAGCGTTTCGTGTCGCGCCCGCTGTGTTTCGGTGCTTGTGCTTCTTTGCGGACCTTCTGTCAGTGCCACCTTGTTTCTGATCTGCCGTGGCGAGGGTGCACCGGTCCGCGACGCAAAGCGCGCGGGACCGAGATGCGTGACTTTCACGACCATGATCTTATTCGGAAAAAAACGCTCAATTAGCGCTGTGCTGCGTTCAATAGTTACATCGAAGTATTTATCGTGTCTATGAGTAATGCCTCGACGTGCTGTTGAGCAAAGCATTGAACTCTATTTTGTTCTGCCGTTTTCAGTGTCGATTGGAAATTTTTGAATCCAGAAGATTCATGCTACACCTTTTTTTCCGCTTTGCCCGATATTTCTCTCAGTCCCTCACTTTTGTTCTGGCTGCCCGAAAAAACAAGCGAGTCACACAAAGTCAAAACTGACTTGTAGATGCACTTGATGCACCATGCTTTTCACGCACTCTAAGAGTACAAAACAAGGCCATTCGAAAGATGTCACCCCGTTGAAACATCATCACAAACTACACAGACGCCCAACATCCTTCACATCCACATTTCCAGCATTTGACACCACCATTATTCAGTAACCTCGTAACATGCGCGTTTGGTGGATGCGTATGCGCAGTTGAGTATATTCCCACTTGTTTCCTCGTACCCCAGTTCCAATTCTCTAAGGATCGTCTGACGCCCAGTCTTTCCACTAGTCTTGGAGCATGCTTCTCGTAGAATTTCGTCATGGCTTCCCTCGTATCGACCCGAGCGCGGCAGCCTTGGCACACAAGAGAGGTTATACTCCCGACACGCACAGTGGACGGGGCGCCCATCTTGTTGTTCTTGTGGTGTTTGTCTGAAGATAAGAAGTGCTTCTCTTGTTATACTCGCGTCGACATCTTAGTCATTCGCTTCATCATAATTATTCTTTGTTAAGCTATCGAACGAGTTATTTTGTCAACATTTCGTTTTTTCTGTAATTCAAGAAATCGAAGTGAATAGATACCAGAAAAGCAAACTACTCGCCTCACTCATGAATATCCAGCGCCTGGCATCTGCAGTAGCAGCTGCAAAATCATGCCTTCAGCAATTGACGATTTCTTCTGTACAAAAGGAGATTGTGATGTCCGCTTGACAAAATGTTCATCTGAAAAGTGTTGATGAATTGACGAAACGCAGGCATGGGCATGATGAAATGACTATTTGATTACCTAGATGCTTGATATCTCACGGGAAACTCGAAGTCCCGACTTCAACTCACTGCCCATACATGTACATTCGAATATGCTTATGAATGAGTACAGAGTCATGCCAATATGAGAAGCCAACATCTACTGTGCAACAAATCGTGCTATACAAATCTTCCCGGATATATGTTTATGCTTGCAACCGACGGAAACCGTCTACTGCGTATGCGTATGGGTACATTTTTCTTCTAGGAAATCGCAGCAAACTGAAACTGAAACAAACTACACCAAGTCACATCGCTATTTTCAACTGCTTACTAGGATTGTCATTGTCACATTGTTTGAAACTCTATCTCTATAATCTTCCCATAAAACTGTCACATTGTTCAAAACTTCATCTTCTATCTCTAGGATTTTGGATTGTCACATTGTTTGAAACTTAGTCCATCTATCGGAAAGTAATGGTATTTTTTTCTTCTGCTATGAAATTCTTGAGATATTCGTCGTCACGCGCCACATTGTCCTCCCCACACCTCTACCTCACGTGTTTTCCTCCTTCATCTATCCCTGAAACTCCCCCCTATCTTCTGGCGGGCACTCGTTTACTTTGTCTGGGATTTGAAAGATGGTGCGCTCTTCTTCTTTGATTTCGCGCCCTGTGCTAGACCACTGAGGTTTGGATTGATCATCAGACAGCTTGTACATCTCCTCAAACCAGTTCGGCGCGTCGTGGGCGTGCCAGACGCAGTCAGGTCGTTCCAGAGTGCGGAGGGCCATGAGGAATTAGAGGACTGCGTAGCTACGTAGACGCGTCCCAGATTGACAAGCTGCTCTTCTTGCCTACAACATCAACTTAACATAAAAATAAGCTAGTTGTAAAAGTGATCTCCTCATCACCCACCATAACAATACGTCCTATTTTGCCCTCTCGACGTGCAGGTCTCTTGCAGATTCGCACGCGTCTTTCCTGTCCCGCGACGATAAGAGCGTCCGCAGACATTGGCTCTACAAACTGGCTTTGGCTCAAGTCCGGCACCGGTCTGCCACTCGCATCTTCCGTCTACACAGGTGTAACTTGGATTAGAACAAAGAGGGAGATCATTAGTTTTCTACAGTACAAAAACTCTCACATCTTCTGTCTAACAGTTACAGTGTAGACAGTCATTCTATTTCGACACTAGACTTTCATACGAACCCACAACCAACTCTCATAATGGTAGGACACTCCACGTGCTCACAGCGGATCTCCGATAGACTTTGCGGACTCTCGAAAGGTACGCGGACGTAGGTTGTGTTGCCATCCCGTACTACTTTGATCAGCACAGTGTCCGGAAGCGTCGGCGGCGGGTGCATCACAGACCCTGGAGGAGCTTTTGTTAGAGAACAGCGCTAGCTTATTCAAAGAGTTGGGACGAGTTCCTTGCCTATTATAGGATTTAATTCGAGATCTTGCTAATTTGATTGCCGTGTGATCAAATTTAACTATTCTTCTTATAGATGTGCTAGCATGAGGAGTATAGGATGATGAAGAAAGCTGCGCTAGCATTCTTGTTCTAAACGAGTGATGCCGTCACCTGTTGATGTGGTCCGGTGTAGAACTGTAACTAGTATGTCCTACATTCAAATCCAGTATCGGCGAAGACGAGACATCATGCAGACCATATGGGTCCAACCGATGTCTTCTTTTGAGTGCCCGTCTATATTGCAGTTCTCGTTCGCGCTTGCTCTCGATTAGGTGCTGAGAGGCTGCGTTTCCGTTTGTTCGCACTTTTCGTCTCCTGTTCATCCACTTCATGCTTGATCTCAGGAAGTCTGTGCTTGGATTTTTCCAATGCGCAGCTTCGATGTCAGGATCTTTTTCTTCTATTAGGGGTTGAAAGTTGGCATCTCTAGCTCGCATATCTGTGGCTTTCCTACTTGAAGAAGACATAGAGACGCGCATAGAGATGTCAACTCCCAAGCCTTAATTCTATCCCCAACTGTCCCGCATCCATTCCCTCTACACCCTCTTCTTTTAGCGGCATCTCGGACTCAAGAGGACGCTTCAGGAGCGACCGCAACAGCATTTCACTAGCGTGCGGAAGCCTTCGTTCATCCTCCTCGTCTGTGGATGTACCATCGTCTTGGACAGCGGTCTCACTCTGCCTCTTGCCACTAGGGTCTAGGGATCTTCCTAGACTAGAATTAGAAGAATAGGTCGCTCTACAGCTTTAGTTTGCTTGTTTCCCATTTACTTTTGTCATGCAAGCATATAGGCGGTGTGGATGAAAAGAATCGTCCAAAAAGTCCTGGAACGAGAATCATAACAAGACCAAGGACCCCACTGAGATCGCACCCCATCAAGCCCGTCCCAGCACAGCCAACCTGATCTAGCAAAATGAAAATCCGTTTCTCGTTGGTAATTTGGTGGACCATTGGTGTCCCTGTCTTGAGGTCAAATGCCGCTACCCAACCGTCGGTAGTCTTCAGGTACACCTGTCTCAACCCCGCCTCCTTACCACTAGAATCCTTTCCATTCGCGGCAGAAGAACTAATACTAAAGCTAGCTGTTGCAGAGGCTGCAGAGGAGACTCTCCGCTTGGAACTAGAAGTTGTACTTTTTGTATTAAAGCTCCTACCACTACTACTTCTACTCTTCCTCTCCGCCAACCCCACGCCCGCTGCTCTATCCTCGCTGGCTATTGATCCGGCTGCTTGGTCCTCCTCTGATCCAGCACCTGGTTTCCCGCTTGCAACCAATGTATTAGCTACGTTTTCGCCATCGCTAAAGCCGTTGACATCGTCTCCGTGCTCATCGCGGGAAGCTCCAGCTCCACTCGGAATGATTTCCTTACTCTCTCCTACGTAGAAAAACTCGCCACCGTAAAAATGGGAAGTGTCGCCCCTTGAGGAGGGATTAGAAGGAAAAAAATTGGACTTGAAGGTTAGAAAAAAAGACGCAACATCTTCATCATCATCTAAAAATTCCTCCTCCCCATCATAACTCCCGCACCCCCCTCTCCGCTACCATGAGAGGGTCGCTTTTCGGGTGAAGTCATCACTTGCACTTTGCACAGGTGCAATCTAGATTTGGCGTCGTAGCTGGCCGTCCCTGGAGGAATGACTAGTGAGATATTGCCATGAACGACGCGATTGATAGGTATGGAGATGTAGTCTTTACCCTCCTTCGTTGATGGAAGAACTCCTGCTGCAAGGGGATCACGGTCATTCAGAAGTAGTAAGTTCTCTATGAAGTCCTGCCTGGTGTGACTTGATGCTGTTCCTGGTTGTCTTTTCGTATTTTCAACATCAGGAGAAACACGATCAGAAAAAGAAGATGCCTTGTTCATCATCATGTTAACATCATTAACGGTTATGTTATTGTCATCGGCATCTTCTTGTTCTCCTCCAGCTTGTTGGTCTCCTCTGTCTTCATCTTCTTGGGTTGATGAAGGAGCTGCTGGAGCGACTCTAGTGGGTTCTGCGCCATCTTCTTCAGTAGAGTCAGAATCTGTGGTCTCAGCTTCGTCCTCTGCCTCCGAAGTTCTCTTCTTGTGTTTCTTAAAGCTCAGCCTTCAATGGTCATCATGACTCTGAACGGAAGGGACCCCCTTCAAGGCTCTCCCCTTTCCCTTTTCCCTTCTCCCCTTTTCCCTCTCAAGGGGAGGCCGCCTCTTCGATCTCAGTGACCCCAATCTCAATGGTGACCCCAATCTCAATGGTGAGCCTTAAGTGTAGATATTTCTTCATGCTCTGTATCTGCATCACCGGTTTCTTCTCCTTCATCCTCACTACTTCTGGCACTATCGTCGACAGGCTCTTCTTCCTCCTCCTCGTCATCGGCATCACCGGTTTCTTCTCCTTCCTCATCATCTAGTTCACGCATCTCCCGTTGACTCTTGCGAGCCAAGGTGACCCCGCCACGAGGGCCGGCATTGCTACTAAGGTCCCGCAAAGATGGAGAGCCGCGTCCTCCAATATCATTTCTACTACTCCTATCAGGCGGCGGAATACCTCCAACTACCACACTTTTCTTGTCCGCAGATGAAGTGCTCTTGATGTTCCTGCTGACAAGCGTGCTACTGTCTCGGTCATCCTTCTGTTTTTGGGGATCATTCCTCCACAGAGCAGTAGCCTCATCAGAAGAAGCATTTTCGTCATTCGCGACTTTACTTATGTCGTACTGCTCTAATTCCCACTCCACTGCGGCTAAAGCTGCGCGATACTCCGGACCGATGTTCTTTGGCTTACGCTTTTTCTTTGTGACTTAGATACTAGAGCAGGTAGCTATATAAGCTAAGTAGCATAATAAGTACCAAAATTCTATCATCATAGTTCGAGTGTCAAAAACAAACGAATTGGAATTGTTCCTCAAGATACTTACACTTCCGACTTATCATCCCCCTCATATTTTTTCTCCCCACCCTCTCGGCTCCGCGTCTTCCGCAATACCGCTACCTCGTTCTCGCCATCAGTGCTCCTCGAAACAACGGTGTTTGGACCCAAGAGGTCTTCTAGTTCGTCAGTAATGTGCTCGTACAGCTGCAAAGAGTCTTCTCGCCACATATCGGGCGCAGTGGCCTCTGCCTCTTCAGCCAGTTCCGCGATGAGCACGCGTTGTAGGTTTTGCAAGCGGGCTTTTCGCGTCCTGGACCGCGGACGATATTTCTGGACAAACGACAAGGGCGCAGACTCTACCCTTCGAACCGTGAGCATAGAACTAGCGTTCCCGGTGCCGCTACTTCCCGACGGACTGGCAGTACTCTCGTCGCTACTAGTGCCGTTCGAAGAGCTCGTGGCATTCGAAGTGTCCGATGCATTCCCCCCTCCTCCCCCAGCAGCTGGTGAAGATTTTCCACTCTGTGGTGCACTACGTGCTGATGTATCATTTCCACCACCACTGCCACCACCACCACTGCCACGACTCGAGCTATTGCTTGAAGATGTCTCATTCCCACAACCAATACTAGAATTTCCAGCAGAATTGTCTACTTCGTCTTTGTCTTCCTTGGTAAGCAGTGTTCCTGCAGCTTGGGCTCGCTCCCCATCGATCCATAGCTCTGCATCACGTAGAGAACCCCAATTCGAAAACGCTTTGTCGACCCTCAATTCCTGCACAAAACCACCGCCAGTCAGCATAGAAATGTTGTACGACTGAGGCTCTTCGGCTAGTTCTTGTTAGAAGAAGAGGGCGGAGTGTTTCACTTTTGTGTCTTTCTTGGAGTAAGACATTAGTGGAGTTATGTTGGTACCGAGGGAGAAAAGGTTGAAAAAAAAGCAAAACTAGCTAAGAAGCCCCTTCATAAGCTTCCGCCACCTCGTCAGCATGAGTACAAGTTCCTCTAGCGTCTCCACTGTCTGCGAAATCTCTGAATTTCATTTGTTCAACGCGAAACTCAGACTCTGACATGCTACCACCACCTATGCGACCGCCAGCAACTGTAAGTGATCATGTGTAGCAATGGAGGTTGGAATTCTTCTTTGTGACGATTTGTAGTATTTCGTTGTGATATCAGATGCGCCGTATGATTGTGACACGAAAACGAGCATAAACGGGTAAACCTTAGATAGAACACGAAAACGAGCATAAAATGTTCACAAGCTATCGACATCATAGTACGATAAGGAATTCCGCTCGCGCGTGCGTCCGGAACCCACCCAGGATCGATGATGCTGGGTGTATGACCAGGATAGACTTGGTAGAAAACATCCTTTTTGGAAAAGTCGGTCTCCGCAGCTTCGTCGCGTCTCGCACTCATCTCTATAATGGTCGAAGACAATCGCCACACCTGCTGGAGAACGACGTTGGCGGAGTTTGGAGTGGAGACGGCTGGAAATATGAAAGGGAATATGGGATCACAAAAGGGACTAGGAGGCTCAAAAAATCTGTTGCTACGAGTTATCGGTCAGTGCACAAATCAAATCGGAAAATACAACTCAGTCCACTAATCAACACCAACAGTCCGACCCATCATAATAATTCTCTTCTCAGAAGCAGCTTTCCCTGATGCTATCTGCTTCTTCGATAACGCCGACGCTCCTCCTGTATTTGCTTTATCCTTCGGGGTCTGTGCTTTTTTCCTCTTCGCCGCTACGATCTTCGCCGTTTTGTAGCGCGATGGTGGGTACAGATCATACGGCACATTTCTTTCCGGCATTCCACCTCCCGTGCCACGTTCTAGCCGACTAACCGAGAACTCACTTTGTGCCGCTGCCATAGGCCCCGCAGGTGGAAAGGGGAAAGCTCTGCTACTTCCTGCTGCAGGAAACAACGTGGGACCAACACGACTACCATCTCCACCATCGTCCGCCGCTTCTTTTTCCTCTTTGAAGACAGCGCCAGGAATGTAAAGGCCGTAGCTCTCGCGTCCTGGCTGTCGATGGATCCACCATGATACCCCTGTCATGCTCGTAGAACGTGCCCGCCAGCACCAGTGAGGACTCGGCTTACTATTTACGCTAATCCTGGGAACCCCACCAACCATTCCCGCTCTTCCTGGTTGTTCACTGTCCTCGGTAGCAGGATCCTCCTCAGCATCGGAAAATGAAAGGCTATCAAGTCTCTAGAGGTAAAAACTAACCGGTTGTTCTACTACACTACATCTACAATGAACTACCCACTCCATAAAAACACGTCTGCTCCCTCCCCCTCTGTCGCGTCTTCTTCAGTAGTGTTTACGATCGACCCTAGATCAGCCTCAGCATACTCTGCCAATGACGACGTAGACTTCTGAGGGCCTAGCACCGTCTCTAGTATGTGAAAAACCAGCGAAGGAACCGGGGATGGTAGCACGACAGAAAATTGGCCCTGAAAATGAGATTGCGCTTCATGCAAAAGCTGCTCAGCCTCCAGTACCGCCATTTCTGTATGCTTCGTATCTGGTGCCGAACCCTGCTTCTTCCTTCTGTGCTTCAAACCGCTGCCTCGTCCTCCGCTTCTCTGCGATGACGTCAAGAACGAAGCATCGTGTGCTTGTTGTCCTGAGTCAGCCTCGTTCTGCTCTATCAGTGCGCGCTCTTGTATTAGAGCCTGTCCAACACGCTCTCTGAGTCGATCCTGCAACTCGGCTATCGAACGAACAGGTATACGCAATTCTCGACCAGCTCGTGCACGACCATCTCCAGTGCCATCACCGCCTCTGGACGACACTATAAGTTAGAGGTAGGTTTTTGGTGCTTGCGGGTTCCCCCGCTTTTTATGCCTTTCTCATCCTAAGGGAGAGATGCATAAAAAGCGGTAAGAAAAGCAACTTAAAGGTGTACCCTTAAATAAGTGCTGGTCCTGCAAACCGAGCAGAAGAAGAAGAAGCAACCTTCATCAAAGAGGTATCATTCTTGGCACCACCTCCCCCAACAGCGCCTCCACCTCCACCTCCAGCACCCTTTACCATAGTTGTACTAAACTTCCACTTTTCAGAAGAATAGTCAGGTTTTTTGAGGAAGCAATCGATCATGAAGCCTAGCGCCCCTCTCTGCATGGATCCATCTTGCCATGGACTCGGCTCAGGCATTCCGAGCGGTGCAGGATGGAAAAGCTCATCTACATCTCTCTTCATATTCGCAAAAGCGTTTTCTTCGACCAAAGCGGCGTCGGACCTAGGAGAGTCGGGATTCTGAAAAGCGTAAATTGATTCTCCATCCGAACCGCTGGACTCCCTTTTTATGCCTTGCGTTAGAAAAAATCCGGATGAAAAATCCAGATGAAAAATCAAGATGAAAAATCTCGATCATCTACGATTCCATGCATCCGTTAGTGCCTTAATTCAGCAGTGCTCGCTCCATTCCGACTTAGGACTTGCAAGATGACACTCATGTCGTCGGCACTGAAGGTGCTTCGCTCAGGTTCGTCGGTTAAGTTGAAGGTTGCGAGTTTTCCAGGTAAAAGTTGCTTCCACGCTCTGTCATAAACAGACGCGGCAGTTTCTCCGGTGAGAGGAGATTATAGAGGTGGAATAGGCTATGCCTCGGGAGTAACGATACTTCCAACATCTGTGGAGTAACAATACTGCCGTGCTGGTTTTGGATCATCCGATGTATCAGCTGCGATTACAATCATTTCCCCTTCATCTCCTGGTAAAATTTCTACAAGTCAGCTCTCCCTATTTCCTTCTTAGGATTGGGAGAAATGTAGGCAAGAAATGAATTGTCAAGCGAGTACTTCTTATCTACTAATTATAACTAAGCGCCGGGTTGTGTGTACTGGTTTATTCGCATAATGTGTTACTGGCATTCACCAAACAGATATTTCCAACGGTTGGACCCACTGGTGTGGCAACGAACACACCAGTGGATCCAAAGAATCAAAGAAATTTTTCCATAATTTCTCTGGATCCATTGGTGTGTTCGTTGCCAAAGCCAAGACTGCGCTCAAGAGAGGTTCTGCCTCACAGCCTCCATTTTCTTTCGTACAAGCCGTCCGCATGTCATTTTGCAATAGCGCAGCAACTGTCAAAGCAGTTTGCTTATGTTTTGAGGATGATAGTTTTTTCTTGAGAGCTGCAGTTAAGAACTTCTGTCGGATTTCTCCACCACTTTTTTTTAGTCCTGCTCCACCTAGGCCTCGTCCGAGAACGCCAGTGGAGGACGAAGAGGCTATTCTTGTTTTGGATACGGCGCTACTTCTAGGGAACTTTGTAGTACCACTTGATGTCTTGAACGACGAAAGTAAATGTTGTTTGTTCCTCGGGAAACTTTGTTTTTTCCGATACATGAGTCCGAACCCGCCCTTTCCGCGAAACAGTTCTTCCGGTAAGGGCTGGTGTAAGCTCATCAGTGGGCCGCTTTGTTGAGACGCAGCACGGATGAAAAGCAAGGTTTTGGATTAGAGAGGTACTAGTAGAATGCTTAAATTGTTATACATTTAGTGTAGTCTTTTATACTAGAATGCTTATTGTTATAGTGTAGTGGTCTTTTAATTTCATCAGATTACAGCATTGAAGAATAACTTCCATCATCAATCTGGAGCCATAATTCAAAAACCGTGCTGCATCATGGAAGGGCACTTTCATTGGCCCGAGAGAGGTGAAGTTTCCGACTTTACAGACCGCGCCCTCACTCGGTGTACCGAGTAAGAATAAAGCACCTGGATCAGTCGCAGCAAGCGACTTTCGGATGGCGCCGCAGCCCTGAGTGGAGGTGTTTAGATTTAGATTTAGGGGGGACCCCGCCTCGGCCCTGCTTTTTTTTTGTATGCCAAGATCGCCGAAAGGGTGATCCCAGTGATGTCCGGTATGCCTGCCGACGACGGGTGGAGTGTTGAGCAGGAGTTCGTATACTGTGTTGCATAGAGGTAAATGAAGAAGACCTGGGTTGCAAATCTATTCCGGAAACGAAAAAAATCACTAGAAGAGAGTAACCCAATACATCCCTCTCCCGATCAGCTTCTCTGGAGGCATCGCGTTTTGTTGCCAAGGCTGAAGCTCTAGTCGCCGAGCATATGCACCCGAACGCGAGGATCGCTATCAAGTGCGTCCGATGACGGATCCTTCCCACTCGTCTCATTCTGCAGCAATGAGAAGGCAGTGTTAAGTAGAACCTTCAAGGTTGTTCTCCCGGGCTCCACCTTTCTTCGCCCTTTCTACTGACAAGGATTCTCCTTCATCGTGTCGTCTTTCCGGAGCAGGCAGGCACTACTCCCAAGAACCGCAACAGTTTAGGAGCAACGAATGAATATAAATTCAATCTTTAGAAGAACTTCATTTTCACATTTATAACAACTCTCTCCTTGGGGGAGTGATCTTCTATTTTCAGATCCTGTACCTGTTGCTGTTTCTACTCAGTGAATAAACGATCTCGATGTGATGTTTTTCTCCACTTCAAGAGCGAGGCACTCAGATCCCCTAATCACCAGTTCTTTCTTCTGACTGTGTAGAGGCCTCCGCCGCTTCCCACGCGTATGAGCCGCTGCAGCACCAATGAATCGTGCTATATTGAAATCAGTTTTCTTCTAGTCTATATTGAAATCAGACGAGCCCTGGTCGTTTAGCAATATGTTTATTGAAGCCCAAGAGATTGAAAATATCGATGTTTCACTTTTGTACGCAGTGCGTTGATTCATTTCTGACTGGAGATACGAAGGATATGCTAACACGTCTACTAAGCTAAGTAAATTATTGCGACATTGTGACTAGTTTGAATGAAAGCTCCTACATCTTTCTATGACTGTACAGAGTCTAGAGACAAACCACCATTTGAAATTTCAAAAATCAAAAGATCGAAGAGATCAGTCTACTTCTAGAAAAAATTTGCAGAGATGAAGTAGTTTGGAGTTGCATTAATGTGTCAAATGGCTAGCTCTTCGGGATGAAAATCACAGATAAGGGTCATTATTTTTGACGATGTTCTCGTACATTTACAACAACATGTGGATCTGGCTATATGATGCAGGGTAGAGCCTAAGCCTAACTAGGAGGAAGAGAGCTGGAATTTTTCGCTATATTGAGAATGGAATTGATTACATATCAGAGCATGCTTGTGATGGGAATGCCAGTACTTACATATGGATCATGATGATGAAATTGTTCTCATGATATTGAGACCAACTACCCTTGTCAACTTCTTCCTCCATGATCGTTGATTGTAGTACTCGAAGCCACAGAAATGGCCTCGAATTCACTCCCTGAATAACACAGACTATCATCAGGCAACCCAGAGGCATCTCCCTGCAGCTTTTCGTGTCCCGTACTAGTAGTTGCGGTAATTTCAACATCTGCTACCTCCTCATCTGCTGTACCTGTAACCACAAAAGGAGCAACTAGCACACGACGACCGGGTCTGATCATGGCTGCTGTCCTCGGCTGAGCTTCTGATGGTGCGACAGGGGCAAATTGCTTGCCAGAACCAGTTCTAGATGAAGTATGAGCATTTACAGTTACAGTTGTAGAACTCCCACCCCCACCTCCTCCAGCACCTAATGTTGTCGTACCTGATGACGACGAAGCTGAGGCTGGCGTTGTAAGGCTAGCTGAACCTGAAGTAGAGCTACATGAACCTGCAGTAGAGCTACCTGAGCCACCAGTCGTACCCCCATTTGTTCCACTAGCAGCGACATTGCTGCTTGATGATGCTAGATTCAGCCTACTGCGCAGTGACGATCCGAACGAGCTATTCAATTTGCCCAAGAGACTACTGAGAACGCCACTCTTGTGAAAACCACTGCTGCGCGACCTCGTTGAGTTAGAGGTTGAAAGTTGGCATCTCTAGAAGCTCGCATATGTCTATGGCTTTCCTACTTGAGATAGCCATAGAGACGCTCTTAGATGATAGGTCAACTCCCAAGCCGTAATTGAACGCCCCTTCTTTACAACAACTTCTTCTGTGGAACAAGCAGTAGTCTTCTGTTCTTGGCGCTCCTCCGCACTAGTTGTTCTAATTGATGAGTCTGGAGATGCCAATATTCTACCTCCTACAGCAGTAGTGCTCTTATTTTCCTGCTCGGTCTCCTGCAATGCGAAGAGCTTGGAAACACTCAGAAAGCCTCCACTATTCCCTGTCGGTAGTTGTTCAACTGGAGGCATGATGATCACCGGTCCTGACGATCTAGAACTAGAACTACTGCAGCTACTACTACTCTTAGTAGAAATCCCGAAAGTAGAACACCGTGTATTTCCTTTGCCACTACTGCTTCCGGGTTTCGTAGTAGAGCTTGAACTCTTACTCAAGCTATCAGCAGGCCTGCGATCCTCTCTATTGTTAAGAAGCGCCATTGATTAGAGGAAGCTGCTATTCAAGTACACACTGCTATTCAAGCACTTTACACAGCTGCTATTCAAGTACACCATACATAGAAAGCTCTACCAAGGTCTAAGATCTGCCAAGGTCTAAGACTCACTTTCTTACTGCCGTTTGGAATCACATCAAAAACATCAACACAACATCGCGCCATAATCAAGACTGCTACTCGTTTGTGCTTGCACGGTTTCCGAAGAAGAGCTGGCTGAGAGTCGAGACGGCAGCTCCTCGGAACTTGAGACGTGCGTAGATGCCTCAGCATCGCGATTAGAAGTGGAACAAGTGGATGAGGGTGATGAATTGTACGAGCGGAATACGTACGGCAGCAGTACGTTCTTTAATGTTAATAATACGTAGTACGGCAGCAGTACGTTCTTCTTTAATGTTAATATTTAAGATAATATTTAAGTTAATGTTTTTTAAGAAAATCTAACACGTTTGATTCATAAGATCCGCTTGATTTGAGGTATCGAGGACGACGCGAAATGCAGCTCTCTTACTTGTTGACGAAGAGGCTGTTGGGGATTCAGCTGGTGCTGAGCAGGTTTTCTGCAGGACTCTTGATGATGCTGAGGGTGAGGTAGAATTCCTAGAAGTATCCTCTCGGTGGTCATCGAGTAAACGAGTTCTGTAATCATCTGGTAGCTGCTGTTTTCCTGTAGTTGGTCGCTCTACTCTTCTATGATGAACTCCGTCTTCTCTAGTGCTTGTTCTGGTACTTGTGAAGGTAGAAGAGGTGCTGGTGCCAGTTCCTGCAGAGGAAGTGGCATTATTTGTAAAGGTAGAAGAAGCGTTGTTGTAGTTTGCTCTACTACTAGTGGAAGCGTAGAGGCTTGCTGCTTGCTCGTGCTTGCTTTTGGCAGAGGAAGATGCGGGACGTTGCTGCCCCACTGCAGAAGACTTTCGCTTACGTCGGGCACTATGCAACACCGCACTACCGATACCGTTAGCATTTGCATTGGTCGTAGTATTTCTAGTTGGATTCATTCGAGATGAGGTCTTCGTATCTGCTTCTGTCTCGCGTTTTAACCACGCTCCTGCTCCAGTCGTGCTGCGAGCACTTGCACAATGACCCTGCGCAAGCGGACTTCCTTCTCTTCTCGTTGTCAACGAGGATACAGCCCTACCTCTGCTCATCCTTGTCTTTCTGTCACGACTCCATCCACCTTGTTGCGCAGAAATCACAGGAGCATTTGTGGATGAAGTAACACCTCCTCTTGGCGTAGTTTTTGTGTTCTTGTTAATTTTGTTGATCATCATCTCATCATTCTTGTTTTTTCTTCTAGCGCTTCTTGCACTGCCGGCACGCTGCTCAGTGTGATGTCTGCTAGAAGATGACAATACGGATGAAGAACGAAGATCTTGGTCATTTTCGTCAACGAGATTTATCATGTTATTCGGTTCTAGTTCTAACTTCTTGACTAGTCCCCTACCGCCAGGCATTGCGTTTTTAGGACCCAGGAGTGCTACTACACAGTTCTTCTTGGATACGACAGGAGGCACACCATCTACTACGAAATCAGTTTTGGCGAGATCAAGTGCATCTTCCCGGAGAAGTGCTAGCTCCATCGGGTTGCGTATTGGCGAAGAGTGTGCTCCAGCATGCAAAGCAGCTTCTGCTATTTCAGGTAATGGCGTAATTGGATTCTCGTCTTCATGCTGTGTGTTTTTGAGCTGATGCTGTAGTACTCGTCTATCTATATTCGCGTCATCTTCACACCTAGATAAAGTAATAGGAGGTCCTTCCTCTGCTGCAGCCTCTTCCGTCTTGTTCTCCACGTTCTCCACTCCTCGTGCTGCTTGTTCTAACGATGCAGCAAAAAAGCCACCAAACTTTTCGTAGTTTTTCTGTTTGACCGCTTTGCTGTGCATCAGTTTCTTGGGCAGCTGAATCAAAAACTTGTCATCCGGCACTGCCTTAGGAGTTACTATTTCCGCAAGCGTGGTGGCCGCATTACTAACCAAGTCCTCATGCAAGCTAGGAAGAGCCTGGTAGCTGGAAGATTGGCCGATCAAGTGCTTGCTCGACAGCATCTTTCCGGGGGGCAAAGCGATCACCTCCTCATGCACTGACAGCTGCGCTAGTCCCTGTTCACTCAAAAAATTACTCGTTGGAGAAGACACAACTGGCACGCGACGTGGGCTCTTGCGGCGGTCGGGGAAGAAACCATCCTGAAAAGGAGAGCAGGGCGGATTGGTTTTCGTCTCCTCGTCTAGCATTAGAGCTGTGGCGCTTTGATGCAGATCTACATATAAGTACCAGAATAGAGCCACCTAACTATAACCAAAAGCCAAGTAGCCTTAACATCATCAATCCTGGCGATGTGCATGGCGGTTTTGTTGCGTATGGGTCATCTACGGTCGTCCCGTGCTTCCCTTCGTCATCTAAATTCACAAACTTTCTATACAAAGGATCTGCCTCTCTCTGCTGACGCATACGCTCCTCTTGTTCTTCTATGTGCCGAAAGAGCTCCTTCCATTCCTCTATGTCTTCCTGGCGTGGTTCGCATGGAATCTCGTCTGGTACAGGTAGCTTGCTGGATACTATGGACAGCCTTGTTTTAGAGCTCTCGAAAAGGTATTATAAATCAGATATTCATTTCTGAAAAGTGGTGATGCAACAATCTTAGAATGATCCAGAGCCTTAATTATTTTCTTGTTCCGTCTCCCTCGTTTTCTCGGCGACCGGGAGAGCGAAGATGCTCCAGCACTACGCGGGAGAGAACTGTTATGTGACGACCTCGTTCGTCCACGAGCCGACTTCGGAGGTTGCCCTCTATACATTGGCTTTTGCCGCTCTTCTTAGAGGAAACATCAAACTGAGAACCAAGAAGTTCAGATTTACCTGAAGAAAACTCAAATCATGAGCATGACCCATGACCTCCATAAGTCTCTACAGGTGGCACCACAGCTGGCCCAACAGGAGGAGACTCGTCGATATCCTCCAGTCGGTGCTGCAAATTATCTCCACTTATCGTTACGTCGTCTGCTTTGGGCTCCGCGTGGTCCAGATGTATGAAGGCTTCAAGAAAAGATGACTCCTGCAGCAGTCATAAAAAGCTTTAGTGTTGAAAGTGAGTACTTACATGTAGAAGTCAGTGCTCGTGGGCAACCACACTCAAGATCATTGATAGACAAGACAAGTACAAAAACAAATTTGACGGTAACAAATCATAAACGAATGCATAACTTGTATTTCCCCTGTGGTCTGTTCAGCGAGAACAGAAGACTCATCCAATAGAGACTGGTCTGTTTCCGGCAAGGATCCGACTGTTCCTGTGCGTTTACGTCGGGGCTGCCTTGGCGGTCGACGTGCCGTGTCTGGTCTCTGTCCACCCTTTTGTTGCGCCGCTACAACCACCTTGGTTGCCGCGTCTGAAGCGTTGTCCTCTTGTTCCCCACGCAACGATAAGATCGAAGAGTCTTCACTTGCGTCTACGATGATTAGAATTAGATAGAGAAGTAGCGAAGTTGATATTTTTCTAACCTGCACGATTTCTTATAAGTAGCTGCTCCCCTTCTGTTTTGAAACGCATTGCTTTCCAAGGAAAAGTCAGAAGGATGCTGCACTTCCCCTCTAAGCGCCAATACAAACCTACAATGCTCAACATTTAACTGTTGTACAACGTAAGTCATCTCTTAAATTGACAAGCGGCACAGACTCCACCCTGGTTTTTATCTCTGCGCTAGGTACTAGTGAAGGAGCAGTAGTTTTCTCTTCATCTCGATGCTCGCTGAGGCGCCGTTTTCTCACAGCTCCCCGACCACAACTACCTGCGGATGGAGCACGTTGTTTCTTACCCTTATTCCTGGCCGAAAAGCTCCCACTGTAGATATTCGCAAGCTCTTCTTGGGTGAGAGAATTAGACATGGTGAGGCCCCATGATCAACATCAGTACGTCCTCTTCTTGTTTTCCCTTATGATCAAATTCAGGTTACCAAATACCGGATGAAGCATACTACATTATGATCAGTAACACCTTGCTCATCATCTTAACAGAGGCAGAAGCTTTGTTCTTTTCAGCACCCGTAGTTGAAGACGCTGGAACAACTGAAGCAGAAGAGAACTGCACTTGGTTCTCCTTTGGTTGATCGGAAGGTCCTCCACAGGAGGAGGAAGTCGATGAGTGCTGTCCTTTGTTTTGAGCAGAAGGATGCCCTGTTGAGGCAGCTCCAAGATGAAAATTATGACCAGTCGAACCGCAGAAGAAGGAAGACGATCAATTCTTAGAAGAGGTGTAGTTGGCATGTTGTTCCTTCTGCGAGAGGACAACAAAAATCACATCACCGAATGAGAATACATTCAGGGTAGTTTAGGGTACAACTCCAGTTTCTTTCTAAAAGCAGCACCAGCATAACTGCACCCTGCGCTCCTGCGCTTCCATTTTTCACTTCGTCACTGCCTTCAGTGGAGAGTCGATCGAGGAGATGCTTGGCGCTCGGCCGGTGTGCAGGATTCGCTTGTAGCATGGCAGAAACGAGCGAACAGGCGGTCGCACTGTTGTTGAACAACCTCTCGCCTGTTGGATGAATCTTCGGTGGACCACGGTATATCTGCCGACAGATTTCCACTGAAAGTTAGAGTAAGAACAAAGTGTTGGCATTAAGATTAACAGGGATATTTTCAATACTTGTAGTAAATTTCAGTAGGAGCGAAAAAATAATACTTTCTCGCATGACGCATCATCATGCAATTCATCATGCAATTCGAACGTGTAACTCTTACATCTTCTAAGTCCACCTTCATAAAGGTTCCGTCCGTCAAAAGGCGCCTTCAGTGTGCTCACCTCATACATACAGCAGCCAAGACTGAAGATATCTACCTTGTTTGTATAGCTCTTGCCGCTCCACACTTCTGGTGCGGCATAAACAGGGCTCCCAACATTGGTACACGCCATCCCACCTTTTCTTCTTAGTACTCGACATACCCCAAAGTCTGCCAGGTAAACACGCTGCTGTGATTAGAGCGAGGAGGCAACTTTTCCTGTGAGACACTAGATTGAAAAGTCTTTTGTCCCTAGTTCTAGTGGTAATAAGAAACATTTTTGTTCTTCTTCAACAATCAGACGGACCACTTAGAGTTGATAGATTTAGACTAATCAATTGAAATTGTCCTTGCTGCTATGTTGAAACCGTCAAAGAAAGTAAAGAACGATGCCAGCATTAGAAAACCAGCGGCAATTGCCGTTGTCGCTATTAGAAATTCAGCGACTTCTGCTGGCACAGGAATATATTGACATTCTCATATGAGTCCGACTCCGAGCATCAGAAACTAAAAACCTTGGAGCATAAAAGTCGCTGCTGAGCAGTATATTCGATGGCTTGATGTCTCTATGAAGAATGCTGAGCGAATGGATGTGCGCTAGCGCTTCCAGCAACTGTCGAAACCACATGAAGATCGTTCGCGCAGGCATTAGAAATTGAAATGAAGTATTGACTTCTGTCTTCGTCTTCACAAGGACAAGAAGAAAAAATAACAGGCTAGAAAGAAGCCTTTCCTTAGTACTCAAACCACATTTTTGCGGATATTTATTATGTTCCGAGGACTAAGTAATCTCTCAATCCCCACCATAGAAAATAGGTGAGAGTACTACTAACCCTATCATTCATGAAGTCGGAAGCAGATTTAGGGGACCATAGAAAAGAAAGACTAGTCGGCTACTTGAATGACGGTTCTGTGCTCAATTGCGTAAAATGAGAGGTCATAAATTGAATTGGCCTTGGTCCTCCTTGTAGGTACTCGCTGACGATGAGCTCGCACTGGCAGATCCACCTCTGGCTGATGGTAGCGTCTCTCCAGAGTTGTAGATTCCGCTTATAGAAGGATGAAAAAGATGCTGATCTCGTTTCTCCCTCCGTTGCGCGATGAAGTGATGCAGGTCTCCCCCATCGATGTACTGCAACAACAGGTAGATCGTGTGCTTCTTAGAACGGAGGGAGGCCCTATCAGCCTTCTTGTATCTTCAGCTAATGCAGAGCAAGAAAACCGATTGACATTTTTATTTTGCTTCATGGGATAAGCCTAAGGTTTAGAGGTAAAAACTAACCGGTTGCATTTTTTAGTGCTTTGAGCGCCGCTGGACCTAAACCTCGACCCTATAAAAAGGGAAGAAGCCAATCAAGATTTGCAGCACAACCGATTGACAATTTTATTTTACACACTGACGTATAATTTACCCTTCAATCAAGGTACAGGTGGACGAAGATGCAGCTCTAGCGTCATTGGTATCATCTTCTCAAAAACCGAAGTGTGATCCTTCTAACCCCATTAATCAGACGGACCTAGTGTGATACTAAAAAACAGTTCTTAAACTTCGTGACCTGCACCCAATAACAACGGACTATGTTCGGATGGGATATGCGCTGCAGGACGCGACCTTCCTCTAGTGCCAGATCTCGATGTTTTGCGCTCTGCAAGTCCTCGAAATGGTACTGCTTTAATGCATACTGTTGTAGCGAATTAAGAAGGGGAGGGTAATCTTTTTCCATCATAGAGTTGTTTTTTTGTTACACGTAGCTGACTGCTTCGGTATCATCATAAATCGAGTATTGCTATCGTACTTCTTCAAGAATGTATAAGTACTAGCAGAGTCGTCTCAATTCCCAAAATCGTCTAGTTGTACCTGCCTTTTCCCACTGCTGATGAGGTCTACTTGTCCAAAGGCACCTCGACCAAGATTCTTGATCACCGGAAACGTACTAGCATTGGTCATCATGGGAAGCGCCGTCCCAGGATGGGACATCACCGGATTCGCAGTACAACTAGTTGATGTATGAGTCAACATCTTCTTCCTGATGTAGAGTTTTAACTGTAGTACTAAAACTGCTCGGTCTGGAGGTGCCAATCTTCATGTCCCACGTGGCTCTACATCAAGGAACCAAGGTAGGTACTGAGGTAGGTAAGGTAGGTGGCTCAGAACAGGTAGGTACTGAGGTAGGTACTGAGGTAGGTACTGAGGTAGGTAAGGTACGTGGGTAGGTCGGCAAGGTGCGTTGGTAGGTTGGCAAGATATGCGTTGCTCAGGTACGGAAAACTTCTACTCTACTTCTTTGCGTATCTTTCTGCTGTACAATCAATCGATCTCGCACATCTCTCAGTAAAAGAAAGAGTGTCCTCTTCAGGTATGTTGTTCTCTTTCTCTCCCTCTCTTTCAGCCTGATTTGCTTCTACGACAAGAACTCTACTAAAGAGCAAACAATTTTTTGAATCCAAATTTTTTGCATGATTTTCTTTTCTTGCGCTCACTCAGATGGTGCTGTACAAACAGAGACTCCCAGCACAGGACGAACACATCACCCGTTTCCACCTTCACCCTAGACTCACTCAGACAGGCTTCTGTGAAGAACCGTTGAGTCGCAGAACAGCAAGAAAGCACGCACCACGAGCTGAGAAAACCTTTCTCTCCGACGAGGCTAATATCGCACGCTATGTGACGATGATGAAGGTGTTGATGGTGATTTTTTTGCGTCGTTCATTAGTTGTAGAATCTTTCACATCGTCAATGAATCGTCGCCCCTTTGCTTTCCGTTCATGGGTATGTAGTACAACGCGTGTGTGTGTCTATTTTCACGATGAAGTTGACCGTCATGGTCCTCATGCTCCTACCTGCGGACCATGATGTAGGATTCAATCAGTGTACAGGGTAGGATTCAATCGCCACGATCCGAAATGGGGTATCGTGTAGAAAATTACTATTTCATTGTCAGACAAGTAGTTCACCCTTGCGTGGGCTCTCCATTTCGCCCGCAACAAGATGTGAACTTGTTCGACAACGGATTTGTCAACCTTGTCTCTCGCAACAGGGTCTCCTCTCCACTCGTTCTCCATAGTCGTCCATCACCCTTTCTGGTTGTATCTTATTATGGCTCTGGCGTCGTCTCTATCTTTTCATCGATCTCCAGAAAAATGTAGATCTAGCAGATTTCTCGGTTACCGGGCGGTAATGTAAAACAATATAAACTCTTGATCTTTTGGTGATGATCTCATGTGGTGATCATCGTGTAGATACTAGCACCATCATCAAATTAACTCGCATCACAAAAAAGTTAAGCATGTTGTAGTTGTAGGAAAAAGATAGAGACTTTGAATCTTTCCGTTTTCATAAGCATGCTTCCGGCACCAGTGTATGGACCACTTCTGCCTTTCTGAGCTCCTTTGTAACCGCCTTTGCCGAAGCCTTTAGCACTTAGTCCTTTCGTACCGTCGCCTTTGCCCTTGCACACCGAGCAAATGCCGTGAAAACCTGCTATAGTGCTTAAGCACGGCACGCAAACCCGACTTTGGCCTTTAGCTGTTGGTTGAATTTGCTTACCACATGGATAATGAGGTTGAAAATGGAAAAAAAAGTGACGTAAAGTTGACATTGTAGAACGATAGGATAGGATAGAACGATCTTTCTAGAGTTCAATGTGATACAAAAACAAAAATAAGCAGCAAAAAAACTGTTATGCTAAGAAAACGATACCCATTTCTATTCCTCCAGTAGCCATCTGGTCGGCTATCATTATTGCCTTGTCCACCTTCGGTTTCTCTTCGCTGGTCCAGTCTAATCTATAGCGGATCTGTGTTTTTGGTATCATCTTCATCACCTTTCAGGCTGTATTTGAAGGATTATTTTATCTATCAAATCTATCATCAAATGTTGTAGAACTACATCAGGTCAAGAACATCGAGCTACTTGCAATGGCTCCTACAAAACGACGACTGCAAAAAAAACTACCTTCGGTCGAATGTCTTCTGGGTCGAGAGCGGTTACGTGGACTAAAGGTGCATTTCCCTCGAATGCGCCTCTGTGTATGAAGATGTCAGTCCCGCTCGTCTGCTCGTTGCCTAGCACGAAGCCCCATCCTGTATTCGGATCATAGACCTTGAGGACTCCGGGAAATTAGAGGAATGAAAATAGTTTCAGTTTGTATGTAGTACTTGAACTACCAATTTGAAGTATTGGAAAATGGAAGAACCCAAATGCCATAACATATGTCATCCGTGACTGCACCCTTCGCTGCAATGATACTTAGATCCTCCAGTTCGTAATCCCTCTTATTCTTGGGAGTTCTTGGGACGAAAAAAGTATCTTCAGATGTGTTTGTGTGCTTCTTCTACTTAGGAAGTGCTTCTTGCTCAGGATACTTTCAGAAGAACGTAAACTAAATGGATTACGGAAAATGGATTACCATTATGTCAGGTTAGGTGTGGGTCTACTAGATTTGCTAGCAGACGTGGAAAACAAAGCCTCAACAACGGCACCGGTGAACACCACATCATTATCCCCAGCCATAAGATACTTGGGTCTACCAAATACACGGGTGCTGGTGCGTATGGAGCAACAATCGATGGCACATTGGAACTGCCTAATGGTCCATTGAGAAGGTGGTCATTCGCATGCGCTGATGGGCTACGAAGTGCTGGCTTCTCTGGGATTATACCTGAATTTTTCAAAGAATTAAGTACTGGCTTTTCTGGGATAATTAGACCTGAATTCACGGACTTTTGATGAGGCAACTAAATTGAACGTAAAGGGAGTAAGACGAGGGAGTGAGATGAGCAAACCAATTTATTTGATCAGGGGAAATTCAATTTCTGAATTGAAATTGTACACCATAGCGATAACTGTACTTAAGTCAATACGAAGACTAGCTTTGTTATACGACCAAATTGTAGCGATGAAGTCATCTAATCTGTTGAGAATAAGTACTTCGCTTAAATTTCGATGCTGAGCACTTCAATTCGTATAAAAATTGACTTGAATTTATATGGGATACCAATCGCAGGAACACTTTTTGGGAGCGCAGGTGAACCTATAGTAGGAGCACTCTTCGGCACTGCACCGACTGGGCTTCGTTGCGGAAGATCGGGAAGTATGAATGGGAGAATAAGACCTGAAAGACTAGACTCTACTATCCGTATACTCTCGTGTAATCCATCATCTCTATGAATTTATTCCTGAAAAGTTTGCAACATCAAGTTAGTATGAAGATGAATTTAGACTTTATTCTACTTCGAGTAACCGAGTAACTAGAAAGAATAAAGAGGATCATAATTTGAGGTTGTTCCTCTGCTACTACTTGTTCTCCCTGTTCCGCTACAACTTGGTCCATGGTTTCAACTTGCTCTATTTCCGTAGTGCCATCAGCCACGCCAGACCACGTAGCATCCTCCTGGTGACTTTCTGTTTGTACTTCCGCCATCTTTTTCTCTTTTCGTCTACAAATTCTATTTTCTTCACAAAAATTCACAACATCGAAGAACACGAGTTTTAGCACAACCTAGACTCTACTTACTAGTAATCAATGCTGCGAACTGAGAAATTAATCAAGAAGTGAAATCAATAAGATTCTTTAGAATTACAGCAAGGCCATGTAAATAAGCATTCGAATTATATGACAACTAGTAGATTCTAAAAATATACAACTGTGATCCTAAAAATTGTGCTCCAGATCACAAGGATCCTTCGGTCATTTACTTACTTACGTGCCTTATGCGGGTCTCCTCAGACAATGTCGCCTCAAAATAAACCGATTCTCACTTGCGCACACCATCAAGTGTTCTTTAGAAACACAGTGTCTGAGGTCGTGATCCGGGTATCCATACTAGCCTCTTCAACTGTAGTGGAGGTACAGTAACAGTGGGTACCTCTGTCCGTGTACAACTATCTCCTCCGGAAGATTTTTTCTGGATTCATACTCAAGAACAAACAACGTTAAATTTCTTGGTGCCTGCACTTTGTTGATATCCAAAAAAAACAACAAAAAGATCTCTTCAAGGCCCAGTGAATTCAAGGTTTTTCAAGAGACGTATAATCACAAATCACCTGTAGTTGAGGTGGCTCTTTTTCTTTCGATTTAGTCCTTCTTCCTCTTTTGATCGATGACGACGATGGTCTCTGCATCCGTTTCTTTTTTTGATTGACAATTCTCTGCCTGGACGAGGTGGTGATAGTCCTAAACTCAAGAACCATAAACATGATAGCTCAAATGATCAACTGCAGCCAACAGCATGGTCAATCACAATCTTCCCTTTGCTCAATACATTCTTATGATGGGAAAAATGAATTTTTAGCAGCCAAAAAATGGTATATAAGATGATCCCTACTTTTGTTGTTCTCTACACTTAAGAGCGGAACAGATGTGACTGAAGATGAGATGTAACTCACGATTAGATGTCTTGTCTAATTCTAACTACTTCTATCCTCACTATATTTTCTTAGATCACAGGTAAGTGGAACCAGAACCTTTTATAGCTGGAAGCGCTATGAAGATCCTATTCTTAGCCTAATCAATGTTGTTGTAAATAACTCTAACTCTTTAGTTTTATGCAGTGAACTTCTTCTTCTTCTATACAAGATCGATGTTGGACAATATTACAACGATTCAAAAATCAATCGTTGCATCTTTCTATACATGTTTTATTGACATTTTCTTCCCAAAAATTACACTTTCTGTAGCTGTCAGGTTGCTTCTCTGTGCTCTCCATCGCCTCCAGGAGCTTCCCTCTGCTCGTCTATCATTCTTGATGTTGTAGTTTAGAGCTAGATTGTATCGCATTGGTAATATTATGACTGCGGCACTTGGTCCTCTTCATCACCTGCTCTTTTCCATCGCGTTGATCCATGATTCAATTTACGTTACACTTTACAGATTGATTGTACAAAATAGCCTTAAGTTGAAGTTGTTGAATGATGTTGACCCACAGCCTGACGGTGCTCGGCTTCTCCACACTGAGTCTCTAGGGCTGCCCCTCCTTGTCCAGCAGAAACAAGCTCAAGGCTCTCATTAGATAGACCTTACAATTGTTGTTCATGCTGCCCATCAATGTTAGAAGAAGAGACAACAGCACTGCATTTCTTCGTGAGGAACATACCACGGATGTTTTGAGAAGAAAAGTAAACGGTTCTAATTCTTCTTCCTAAATTATTATTAAGTATATTGGAGGGGTCTTCTTGCTAAATGCTACTTAGAGATGAAGCTGGTGATTCCACGTTCTCATCGCAGCAATAGTGTAACCAGCGGGGCCATTTGGTTCTTCTTCTTGCATCTGAACACTGAGTTCCAAGACAATCTAAGACTTTTTAATCTTGGTTCCTTTATCTGAACACTCCAATACCAGTAGTTCAGTCTAAAAATCTTCAGCCTTAACATGCTGTTGTGAGGCGGGGACTGTTGTGGCACTTGATATCCACAGAGGGCTCTGGACATCATCGGTGGATAATCGCCCCATATTCTCTACTAATCCGGACACCGGACTCTCCCTACCATGATCTTCGCTATTTCGACCCCGTTCTTCGCTTAGGTTGTCGAATGAAGAGTCTTAGAGTGAGGCTGTTATCAAATGAAGACTTTTAGAGTGGGTTGTAGTCGAATGAAGACTTTTAGAGTCAGATTGTCGTGGTAGTTGGAATCGTATCTACTTTGGTTGTAAAACCGATCATTATGAAAGAATCACTGTACTTAATCGTGTACGAACAAATCATACTGCATGTAAATGTCTGATACACGAAGTTAAATTGCAGGCCAGCATAAGCAACACTTTCCCGTCCAGCGTCGAAATGACCGTCTACACTGTTTTGATCTCCCTCTAGAGGTGTCGTCGCAGAAGAAAATAGGTTGAATCCGAACTCGCTATTGGATAAGCCAATTTAGCGCTTGCCTAAAAGCATCTTGAAGAGCATCTTTGGAGTGCTTTCCTTCCCTTTTTAGAAAGATAGGGACGACCAAAGACGATGCTTCTCAAGATGAATTAAACGAAGCCTTAACCAAATTCGACATGCGGTAGGACGAGACCTGGTTCCAGACCAGCAGCACTATCTCTAGGAGATCTCTGTGGTGTAGATCGGCCAGAGGTGGCGCTGCTAGTATTTTCTTCCGCACGATCGACATCTGGGGTCTGTGGGTGGTTTTTGTTGTTGTAACAGGAGGTTCTTGGGTCGTCAAAAATCTGGAATTTTGCATACTATGCGTCTATGGGTACATAGTGGAGTTTCGTGTCATCTTCTAGAAAGAAGGGTAGCTCAAAAGTTACTACAGCATATAAAAGTACCACTGCAATCCGAACAGCTAGTTCCTCCCGAACAGCTGCGAACTCGCGTTCTGCCTGTTCTGGAGTAAAAATAACAGCATGCCTTCTGTTCGGGCGTCCTGTGTTAAGATATAGAAGAAGTTGCAATAGTCATGCGTTCTGATGTTGAAGCAGCGTAACAGAATACGTGCATTTTTCACTCTCGTGACCTCATAAGCATCAAAGTACGTGCATTCAGTCTCGTAGTCATGACTTGATCGCGTGTCGATTCATCCGGTTGAGGGCCGTTATTCGTCCGTCGTCTGTCAGCTGGGTCATGGCTTCCTTTTCGAGAACTAACCATACTAATTTTCCTTAATGTCCTTTACAATATTATAATGGTCAGCTCTTTCACAGAAAGAACTCAACGTTAACTACAACAACTACTGCTAGAACGAGTATATTCGAATATACCTTTACCTACTAGTATACTTGAATATAATACTAGTTTTTAATCTAAGTGGTTCATTTTTTGGGATAACGATAAGGTTGATCCAATCGTATACATTGTTGGGGAGGTGGTCGTGCAGCATCGTTTGAATTTTTGAGGTTGCAGCTAGAGAGATTTTTTCTGAGACTCTCTTTTTTGACGTTTTTGGGAAGAGAAGATAAAGGAGGGAGCATGGGCATGCGTCTATTTGCAGTGTAGTTCTTGTTAACAACAGGCCTGCAAGTAACTATACGACAGATTTTTTGAGTATTCGTTCAAAAGGAATGCTGGTCCTTCGTCGTGTTTGCAAAAACTTCTGTGTATTTTCTTCGTGCCAGGTACTTTTCAAGCTTACCAAAGGGAACACAGTCGGGATCTTCAATCATCTTCCGCTTCAGTTAATCCCCCTAGTCTCGTCATCTTGCCAAGACCTCGTAACAAATCTGTCCCGCAATGCATAAAAAGCGTCAATTCAAATCAACCTCTGGACGCTTCAAATCTACCTTACAGCAATGGGTCATAAGGCATTGTCGATCCACACTGGGGTGTGAGTATGTAGTGCAGGCATAACTTGAGACGTAAAAAAATCTTTGTAAAGTTGCTAATACTGGAAGTCACTACAGACGAGGACATGTACGACTTGTACTAAATCGCAGTACTGAAATGCGAGAGAAGAGCACACGACTAGTAGGGCGAGGGATTTTGGCAGGTTCGTGTTCTACTTATGCAAAAGAGAAATAAGATACAAATAGAATCTTCCATCTTGTTAGTCTTTTACTGAAGATACTTTTTATGTTGCATTTCAATGATAAGCTCTACTTCTAATCTCTGATATGCAGAATACTTCTCCCCTCATGAATTATTATGTTCTTGAAAGACAACGATTTATATATACCGATTTTATCTTATGCGACGACACTCAACACTGACGTGAATCTATGCAGCGACTGCGCACCCAAAAAATCTAAATCATTTATGATCATAACAGTGATGTTGATGATGTAAACCTATCATGCAGCTCAGCGTAACTTTGTGTAACGATTCCTCTTCCGTGATGTCTCTGCGCACGCCGGAAGACGCCACACCTGCTCAGGAAAACGCAGCTGTGAAGTCAAAGATGTAAGAAGAAGTATGTACTGGCTTCTAATTTCGCCGATTTCTTTCCCGTGCGTAGAAAATACTGATAGATAGATAGATAAGGAAACATTTCAGAATGATAACAACATGAATCTTCGAGTGATCATTCAAACCCAGTATCTCAAGCAATCTTCAAACATCTTCTCACAAGTAAACATCCTTCACACTGTAAGTGCATATAATTGCATTCTCATCGATCTTCGTCACCTTTTTACTCAGGGATCTGCTAAATGTATTTGTTAGTTCTAAACTTCATCGAAAAGGTGGTCATCTTCCAGGCTGCCTCCATAAATCGCTCCCGATTGCTTTCCCACTACAAAGCGTCCTGCGCTTATGACGGTGCAAGGATTAGACTCATACTCAAACTAGCTACTCCTTGCTAGGCAATAATGGTGCAAGATGTGACTCCGTTCGACTATTAAAAGGCCGTTAGGGTCGTTCCACTATCAAAAGGTCGTTAGGATTAAACGGCTACATACATACATAGCGTCTCAGATGACCATGCTCAGAATGATTTTGAGTTCTCATCGAATACTCTGGATGGCGCGAAGACCACTTGATTTGGTGCTTGAAGATCATGTGAAGTTTTTAGTTAGATGATGGAACCAGAATACTTTCTCAAGTCTCTCCAGTTTCTTACTCTTTTCCTCGTCGCTCTCGTTCTCGTTAGGCGAACAGAGTAAAGTTACTCGGTAAGAGATGACAGCCTTTGTCGTCATACATCATAATACGCTGAGTAATCGATGAGAACTCAAAATCATTCTTTCGTAACGCAATTTTCCTTGACAGCAAGTAGAAATGGACGTCCGGTCGCGATGTCGTCCCGGGATCCGGGTCCAGGACGTCGTCAGGCCCAATGGTCCCCACTTGTAGATATCCCAGTTTTCCGAAATATCCAGATCCAGGTACTGGACGGCGTATGTCGGGAGGTTAGAAAAGTACTAGAAGTTTGAAAGTTGATGATGTAAATCTACTCGGCAATCTGCCTAAGATTTCCCTGAGAAGTTTGAAAGCTATAAATAGTTCTTTTGTTTTTGTCGTGTCTAGTAAATGCTCCGTCAGTCGTGGACAAGAATCTCACATTTACTGAAAGTATCTATATGCATATTATGCTTTGAGGTACTGAAATACTGAAAGGGGGAATAAACATCAATCATGACATCCTGGAACAAAACAACAGGTAAACATAAGGATACAACCGCGCTTCGGATGCGATGTCCTTGGATGTAATACGGTCCTTGACCTTCGGAGGCACATCCTTCGAATTCGGAGAGGCGGACGCGGAGGTTCGATTCTTAGTCCCATTTGACCCGTTTCCCTTCGCCGTAGGACTCTCCTTTACGTCTTTTACAGGTGCTGGAGGCTGTGTTTGTAATGGTGTATCGAGTGCGGTCGTGCGGGTAGTTCAGACATGTGCTGTGTGACGAGTAGTTTAGACGTCATTTGAGAGGGTAAGGAAAATGCCACCACACAATTTTATCCGTTACTCCGTAAGAATACCTTATTATTGCCCGCACCACCTGTAGTCGGTGGTGGCGGAGGCGTCGCTGCTGATGGTTCTGACGTCGCCTGAGTCCAGGGTAGGCCTTTTTTGTTCGGCGTCTCTGCTTTCAATAACGTCTTTGGGCTACCGCCTATTGCTGGCAATGTCGTCGATGCCTTCTTCTTGTTCTGTTGGGGAGGTGAGAATAATGTTATGAAGCACGACCATAGTGTAATCACTGCTTTGAGAAGGCAGATCTTGTTCTACTCAGCACCTTTTTCAGACAGGGTGGTCTTTTCTTTCATCTACGGCTCCATCTCCGTAAACGTGCAAACAACAAGAAAGAAAACCTTCACATCTGCTCCGCGTGGATCGGTTATGCCTATGTAGTCGTCCTTGGACCCCGGTCGTGGCACGAACAAGTCCGTTCGCACACTACAAACTTCGACAATGACCCTTCGAACCTTTGAAAGAAGATTGAATGGAGTTTGTTTGTAGAAAGTTCGCACTGCTCAATACATTGGTCCTCTTCAGAGTGAATGAAACTATAAAGTCAGACACTGTAAATAAAAACACCAATGATCACTACATCTTGTTGTAAGTACATGTCTCTTCCACGCCCAATCATATGCCGCATTCAAGAGCATCTTGCCTATCCCCTTCCTTTGATGCACTGGCAGTACTGCGAAAGGGCCTACGTCTATGCATTTGTCGTTCCCAAACTTTCGCAGCACGATTCGGACACAACCCACTATCACCTCCCTCGTGCCTCCAGGCGTGCTTTGACCGGGTGATTGACTCCCGGTACTAGCCAGTGTGTTCGTCGACTCCGACTTGGTCATCTTGTCATTTTCCTGAGATGCTGTGGATGAAGGTGGATGAAAGTGGAAGAGCCGGATTTGAATGCCGTTTTGGGGAAATTATTTTCGCTCAGCTATAATTCATCATGCTGACTACTTGTCGTTTTTTATGTACAATCATGCTGACTACTGTGTTGAGCAGTTCCAGTCGAACGTTACATATTTTGAGTCCATAAATTGCTATCCTCTGCAGCTTTGCCCTTGACGAGTCCCCCAATAGCGTTCGCGACACTTTTTACCACACTGCTAGACGCTGGTGAGGCGGCTGAGAGAATGATGTGAGTCTGATTTTACATCAGATAGACGGATGCTTGTTTCCATCTTCTTGCAGTTGGCTTAGTGGTTTAGGCGTTGACCTGTTCACTTATCAATCAAACTACCTAGGGTTCGACTCAAGATCATTCATAATCGTCAACCTACCATACGTCGTCCAGTGTTGATCCAACCCGTGATGAGCTGTATCAAATCTAATCTACTACCTGCACTACTCGCCGCCGCTTGTGCATCTGCTAGTTTTTTCCTTAATCTGTGGGCTAGCCTTTCGGTGGCTACTAAGGTTAGAGCTTCCCTCAATTCATCTTGGAGAGCTTCCCTCAATTCATCTATATTTCCCCTTGAAAGAAAGCGTGTCGAAGATGCTTCTCCAGACGAATACCGGGAAGCCTTAACAAGAAAAGCGCACAGTTTTCTTCTTCTCGAGCTAGCTGGATTTCCCCAGCCACAAGATCGCTTTCGAGATACCGATTCTGCTTCCGGAACGCACTCCCTTCTTTGCCAACCTCGACTGAATACGCATGTTAGATGAGTCGTACGAGACGCAGATTTTTTTAGAACCACAAAACAGCCACATTTACAAACAAACTTTCAATTAGCAAGACCTGTGATGATGAGTATGGTTGCTGCTATCTTGGGTCCATCACTACAGATTTCTCGATCGCAGACTTTTTGTTGGATGCAATGTATTTAGTTCATTAAGCTAACAAAGTTCTTCTCCTTAACGCTTCTACTTGTAGCTAACAAAGATAAACTCCAGACAATGTAGGAGGCACACTTCCTTCTGGAGGTTCTCTTACTTTCTAACTCCGGCATTGCCCACTTCGACTGAATACGGGTGTTAGATGTAGGTAGTACTTACAACTAACTACTAGATAGAAGCTATTTCGATCATGCTGGATTATATGAAGATCATGGGTACTTACAATACTTCATCAATGTAGGCGTTCGTTCATCATAAGCCAGATTCACTAGATGATAGACTCCTTCGACATCGATTTGCCTCGCACGCCGTATCCTGACATCCATGCCCTCGGACGTCCTGTTTGGCGTCGCGGTGCCGCTATTACCCCTTGAGCCCTCTGACATCTTTAGAAGATGCCCTTCAGGCTTGAAAAGTGCCCTTCAGGCGCACCCTACTGGACAGGAGTTCGTACACTATGGAGAAAGACGACTTGTGTTTCACGGGGATCGAAGGCGCCAGTTTCTTAAATGGAAAGAAAAATAGTGTCCGTCGTCTTCATTTAGTTTAGCCTCTGGTACTACTAGTATCTCTCGATTCTTCAGTACAGTCACAGACCAGTACAGATTCAAAAAAATCCAGATTCTCTTCTAAGGACCGAAATCGCAATCTCGGTTTCAAAAGCAGAAGTACAGATTCAAAAAATCAAACTCTCAGTCGGTGCAGAAGATTTCAGTTCTCTCGAATCAGATCTCAGTCGATGCATTGCTAATCACGTGACTTTGTTCATCTTCATAACCTTATCCGATACAGAGAAGTTTCCAGGATGAGTAGAAGACACACGAGAGCCGACACTGTTGAAGCAAATCGCCAAGGCGAACCGGCATGGATTTTGGGGTTGCTTGATAACGCAGTTACACTTTCATCATCACAAGTAGGTCAAAGTCTAATAGATGGATATGACTATCCAATCCTCTGCTACGTACTTGTTGGGGGGTGCTTGTCGAAAAACAAGTGAAATCGACATACACGGCAAACCATTTCAAAAAAAAGACTAATACAGGGGAGGACGGAACGGGCTGAGGGACTTCACCTCAGATCAGTGTCTGGGACGAAGTTGAACAAGCTATGACATCAAACTAGTCATTGATATGGACGAATTTCATTGTAGTATTTGCGATGAAGTAGAAAGAGCGTGCTTAAAAATAGTCCCGTTGAAGAAGGTAACGAGAATCTTGACTATGTTGTACTTATTTATCATGTTCTTTTTGACTCGACATTGTCAGGTAGAAGCTCTAATCAACCCTTTGCTTTTGTGGGCTGTTTAAAGATTTTTTTTTCAATACAGCGAAGAAAGGTCTCCGAAGTTGTATAAGCTTATGAACCTTAGATAGTCAACAGTCTTATCTTGCACGAGATGAAAAGAATCCATATTACAGGACAGAGACGTGTGCAGCGTGATGGCATTTTGCTTTTGTTGTTGTTGGTGTGTTAAAGTCTCTAAAAGTGTGGAGAAGGTTGGTTATTCGGCAGTCAAAGTCGTGAGGCAACTTGGAAAGTAGAAGTATGGGCTAAGAGTACTAGAAGTAAGTTTAATAAGTTCAATTGCAAAAATCAAAAAAGGGTGTAGTTTATTCACAGATACAACCAGGAGAAGTGAGTCCTCCTCAACTTCCGGGTGCTTTCCCTTTCATTTCCGGATCTTCCTCTTTCCAGACCGCCAAATCAAAGAAGGTAGGCCCCATCCTATAGTGCGAATGCACCTTGGTCTCTGTCGAAAACCATCCGACATCTTCCCACTTCACTTGGACAAAGCGTTTTCTCAAGTCGAATTTCACTACCGTCCCAAAGGCTTGGCTCATGTGCTCGTCTTGGTATCGCCAATGGAGGCCCGGTCGGACCTTCATGCCTTCTTGCACATTTAGGACGGTGACGCGGCGTTCGGCTTTAAGGTAGGTTCTGGCCCAATGATGATCCAGAAGGCGTCCACTAGTGAGTCTGGGTAAGGCGAGAGAACTAGGATCGGAGGAAGGAGGACCTTGCTGCGTGTAGTTGTCATGTTCTCTCATCTGACTAGGATGATGTTGAGGCCCCGATGAATTCAGTCCACTGTAATTCACCTCCGACATGGCGTCTAGATCCTCACGTGCTACGGTGGTTCCGCTAATGGAGGGTCTTGCTTCGAAAACCAAATCTCCAGTCGCGGCATGGCCAAACACACTAGCTTGCAATGCTGCTCTTCGGGCTTCCTTTTCACTGTCAATCATGTTGCTTCCTGGGGGACCTGACTTCAAGACCTGACTGGACAGCATGTTGTTAGCTCCACTTGTACTGTGAACACCACGAGTATTATTTCCACCACCAGCGGCCCTAGTACGAATAGGGGTTCCATCTCCTTCCTCATCAGAAAAATCATCCACATCGGGACCCAGTTTCCTCGGTGACACACTAGTGCTCGTCTTTGGGGCATTTTCCTTCGTTTCAGTCTTTACATCGGTCTTTTCTTCTATTCGACCAATCCCAGCCTCTTGAGTAGCTACACCGGCACCAAGCTGCTGCGGAACTTTTACCTGTCCGTTGTTTGGAGATGCAGTGAGATGATTAAATTGCCATGCTTGTGGACGTGTAGAACTACGCACTAGAACAAGAAAGTAACGAAATGAAAAGTATTGAGACGAAAAAGGGCTGAGTACATGTACAACATACAACTACCTTAGTCTAACTTTATTACGCTGTGCCTAATATAACACACAAGAACTAGTTGCTAAAATATTACCTTCTTCGCCACGACCAGGCCATTGTTCATCGGATCCGAGGCATACATTATCGTTTCCCTATACTTCTGATCATCTATAGGCTCAGGATCAGTGAATCCCCAGTATCTTCTATCAAAAAGCGACAAGTCTTCTGCCCCCTCAGCAGTTGTCGAAATCCCTCCATGATTTGCTCCAGTGATACTTCCGTCTTCCAACGTATTGTCCACTTCCAACAGCCTCGGATCAGCCGCTTTAGGATGCTTGAAAATGTAGTCCTCTGGCAAGACTTCCCTTGCTTTCGCCATCATATCATGGACTTGCACACGCTGTAGCAGATTTCTGGCGGATTGTAGCACTGCTAGAGACTCTTCTTCGATGTGGACTGGTAAGTCTGCTTCGTCTGGACACGTTTGTCCCGGCACCGAATCGCGAATGCGCCGTTTGATAAAGCTGTAAAAGCTGTTGTGTGGATCCTGTTGCCGATCTTTGTAACACAAGTCCCCATCACAGAGTTTTTCCGCTTCTCTGACTTGGCCAAAAATCTGGAAAGCGAGATTGCGAAAACAAGCGTTGATGAGCCATTCAGGAAGGGATCCAATACGTGGTGCGAGGTTGATCATCACCTGCAGATGGCACCCTTTAGTCATCCTACCTGCGTTTGGCGGTAGTGGAGCAGCGTTGGGGTCGACTTGCAAGCTGACCAAGTCCGTGGACATGGGCATCGAGGCAGCAGATACTCCTCTGTCCTCAACCACGGGCGTAGCATAAGGCGTCACTAGGATAAAACTGGTTTCCAGATAGGCCCGCACTGCGCCTTCATACTCTTTCTCCCTGGATGCGCTGTAATTGGGGCTACGAGTCAAAATCTCACGTTCTTCTTTGGCTCCTACTGGTTCTAGCATCATAACCGCCTGTCTGGTCGGCAGATCGCGCTCTGTCATGCAGTCAAAACCTCGAACGCGAAACACCACTTTGCGCCATGCAAAAGGGAATGGCAATCGGAGCAACAACCTGACGACAAAATTCGTTCTCGAAACCCGTTCTAGCACTTCACTCCTAGCCAGTCCCAGACCCATAAAAGAAGGAATCCAGGTAGCGTACAAATCTGCTTCGTTCAAGACGGACAGCAGTGGGAAGAAATCGACATCGACCAAACCCTCAAGAGCGAAGGAATAAACACGCGAATCCTCAACACCTGGATCCTGGAAAATTTCGTCCATCCTCATGGCAGCATAAATATCATCGTATTCCCGTAACATCTTCCACTTAGAACAAGGAGCACAACCATTAGCAGCCGCTCTTTGTGCTGCAGCAGCTCCGAATTGCTTTTTCTGTTGGTCAATCGGAGAAGATGCAGCAGGTCCCTGTTGTTGTTGTCCGGCGCCAAAGCATCCTCGTTCCTGTCCTTGCATCAGGGGCTGTTGTTCTTGCCCTCCTTGTCCACCCGTTCCGTTCAGCAAAGCTTCTTGCTCCCGCCCCATAGCACAAGCGGATTCGTCGACTCCAATCAAGGTTCCGGTTGATTGTGTTGAAGACAACGGTGTGGCACAGTCTTCGGTCAAAACTTGGTCGTCCTCGAGGACGGGAGGCAGGCTTCCACCGTCTTCGTATTCATCAGAATCCTCGTCATCAAAGATAGCTGCATATCCAGTTTTCTTGCTGTTTGAAGCACGACGCACACTCTTTTTACCCCTAGACGCGTCTTCGAGCAAACCTTCTTCAGCTTTTGGTTCTGCAGACGTGCCAGCAAAGGGAGAGCTAAATTCCGGTAACTCCGGTACGCTCATACTCGGAACAGATACCCAGCTGGAACCTTGGTCTTGAGCGTTTTTTCTGGCTTCCGCTTGGGCTTTCTCCAGAGCCCTTTGACGCACGATAAGCCTTCCTTGTTCAATCTGCTCAAACGTGGATCGCACTTGGAAGACTTGAGCAGACCTGCTCAGAATATCTGCGACTTCCGAATCTTGCTGCTTCAGTTCCAGTAAGCGCTCTGTGGAAATACGTCCACGAAGCAAGCCACCCGCAACCATCAACTGGTCCTCGCGAAACATCGCCTTAGCCTCGAGTAGAACCTCGTCTTCGTTGTACAGACCATAGTTCGGCTGAGCTGCCCTTGCAGTCGGTACATTCTGAGTTGCGCTCTGAGATGCGTTAGTGGACCCAATAGAAGTGGTACTGGCAGAAAGTGGAGGCACATTTCCACTGCTCGACGCAGCCATCTGGCCCATCACCACTCCTGTTTTCTTCACTTGTGCTGGCTGCGGTTGTGGCACAACTTCTGGACCTTGATTCGAATTCGCAACAAGAACCTTGGTACTACTGCTCTCAGGCGTTGAATGCGCGCTACTAGCAGTTTCCGAAGCCTGAGCAGAACTCTGGCGTGTGTGGTGGACGACGTCCGTTGGCCCAAACGAAACACGTTTTGCCTGAGAAATAAGTGAAGGATCTAGTATACAACTAGGTTCATCGCCACCAGGAGCCGGCATATTGCTATCCTGCAGATTCGAAACGGCTTGAACATGCTCCTCTCCTGCTTGAGGAGAAGAACCCCTGTTCGGCGAGGCTGGAGACCTAGAAGTACTGCCAGACAAGTCCATCTGCACGGTTTGAGCTTTTGACGTCGGAGGTGAGTTACTTTCTTCGCGACGAGTCACACTAGCCGCTTGCGCTGGCAAAGGTTCTCCATCGTAGGAGACCGGCTCTGCCGGTGCCGCAACACCTTCCCACTGCGGACGACGCCTGTAGAAAACAAGTGACCTGTCATCGTCCGTTGTGGTCATGTCGTCGGACAGTTGTCTTGGACGAGCTGGAGAAGCGATCCTAGGTTGTCTGTTAGGAGAGTTGGGACTACTGGTGTTGGTTGACGCTACGGACAAGGCATTCGACGGACGACGCAGGATGACGTCTCCGAATTCCTCTAAGTCGAATCCAAGATCGGTTTCGGGAGTAGCAGGCTGCTGTGAAGATGGTGTCTCATTTCCTTTGTTTTGCTGAGACGGAGTATTGTTTCCTTCCTTCATCTCAGGCGAGTTTGCTTCCTTTACTTTCTTAGGCGATTTCGGTGTCTCCGACTTCTGTGAAGCTGCATCTTCCTCTTTCTTCTCAGGCTCAGCCGCAACTTCGGAACTCGTAGAGGCCGGTGCTACTGCGTCGGGCTTTTTCTCGGCATCTTCCATTGTCTTCTTTTCAGAAGCATCCTCACCTGCTTGTTCGTCTGCACCTCCACTTCTCACCTCTCGTTCTGGAGTGTCAGGCAGTTCTGGCACAACTTCTTCTTTTTCTGGTGGTGGAGCGTCCGAGTCCTCGAAGGACATCTCTGCGGGGTTGCGTTTGCGCTTGACGTTACGCACACGCGCAGATTTTTTCGATGTATGCATTGCACGTTGCGACATTTTGTACTATTACGAAAAAGAGATGTTGCCCGTCTGTGTATTATGTACTATTTCATGTACTAAATACAGTGTGATCTTCTGTTATGTATGTAAACTAGGACAACGAGCAGAGTGGGACTAGGATATCTCGACGGTGGTGAAGATTAGATTACTAGGACGCAGAACTATAGTCTTAGAAAATCATTCAAGAAGGCGGACTACGAACTTGGTGGAGCTTAGGAGGTCAGGGGGCTATAGATACTATCTTTCACTCCAAGGATCAAAACGACATATATAAGTAACAGTGTGTACTAGGCAATTTCAAAACAAATCGACATGCAAGCATCCAAATAGCAAAAGCACTTGTGGTTTACGTTTTATTAAATATCTGCTTGATGTATTCCGCTTACTCTACTCAAAGTACAACACATCAAAACTAGTAAGAAGGTATGCGTGCCCTGCAGCAAGTTTACAAAGGTTGTAGAGTCATTTCATACTATGATATCGGTATAGCATAACCCTCTCAACTCTCAAGATTGCTTGTTCTTGTTTCTCTCAGCTCACAGATAGAAGGATCTTGAATCATTGATCAGATGTATCAGCAATGCAGTTTTGATCATAAAAATTTCTGACCTTCTTGATGGATACAATTTTTGAATCTTTTCTATAGAAACTGGGATCTTCGTCCAGATCAAACGTACCACATTCAAACGGCGAAGACCGCTATAATCAAGAAATGAAATTCGTTTTGGTCTCTCAGAAACAGACTCTATTCTTTTCGACAGATGATCCTATCTTGCTGATCCAAGATTCTTATAAGAAGCTACGATCGTGTGGTATTCATGAGAACCAGGACAATGCTGCGATCGGATTGTTTATCTTCATATTCTAATGCACTAAAAAATGCACCATCATGGGTTCATGTATGTGAAAATAGCACGTGGACTAGGGCTTGTAAGGTCGAGTCTCTTCGGATGAGTCCCTGGTAAGATAGTGTCTGCAAGAAAGAATTATGTTCTCGATGGAGAGAGTCGTAGAAAAAAAATATGCGTTGTATCGTAAGTTTGCCAAGTCTATCGTATTCGTTTTCCCCAGTATGCTCGTTTACTCATGCGTCTGATAGTTTTTAGTCTATGAGAGGAAAGTTTTTTCCCTACTATATTAGTTGATGTACACCCCGATGTATTACTTACTCAACTTGATGGAAGATCAGTATCGCAAGATGACATTATCAAAGCGGAAAATACAATAGCATGTGACCGTCATTATTGGGTTACATTTCTAGTCAAAAACTGCTCTATGGGTTACCGTGCGTTTCGGAGCCCTGAAATGCAGTTTACCCGTACTGCATCGGACTCCCAACATCTCGTTCAGTTTCTAACGTCAGCGATTACCTCTGATATGACATCAACATTTCTTTCCTGCGTCTGTCGCTTCACAGAACTAAAAACATGGAAAAAACGTGCACCTCCATCCAGCAACGTGTAGAACCTTATCTTCTATCTTGAGCATTGATTGATACGACCTAGAAGACCTCCCGTCTGAAAAATAAGCGTGTGACAACTGAATAAGCGTGTGAACAAGTAAGCGTGAATCATCTGAAAAATAAGCGTGCACTCTCATCTATTACCGTGAATCAGATACAACTGATAGTCTCAAAAATAAGCGTGAATCAACCTCCTTCTGAAATCAGAGCGTGATATACGAACTTAACAGCATTATAAAAAACATTTACTTCATCTTTGGAAAAACCATTGATGCTCCGAGCATGACAACATCTCATGCGCATCATTTCATTGAAGTTCATTAAAACAAAAAATCCCAACAAGCTTTGTCCCTGAAGCTGCAGCAAACCAAACTCGACGGAAGATATCGACATAATTTACATGCCGACCACTATTAAGACTGACTGCACCACGACGAGTCAACCAAAACATTTTCAGGGCGACGCAGCAGGTGCATCCACAGGAGGTAGGTTGAGGGCATCAAAGCCGTTAAAACCTCCACAACACAGAATCTGTTCTGGTAATTCCTCCTCTGCCTTACCTTCCACTAACAATGCGTGATCCGTCTGGGCGGATTTGCTCCTTGATGTGATGGTTTTTGGTTTTTGATTGGGATAGAGATTCGCTGCGGGTTGTTCTTGTTGTGCTCCTAGGGAAGATGGTGTTTTGTTTGGATATAGAGTTCTTTTGTCGTTTGTTGTTGTAATCATCGATCACAATCATTTACGTAGATAATTTGCATGAAGGGATGCGTAGATCATAAAAGTCGTTCTGTTCTTGAAAATAACTTCCTGTCACCAAGCAAAAAAGAATGTCTAGACAAAACAGTATCAAATCTAGAGTACTTCTCAAAGACTGTTGGTAATGCCGATCGCAAACCATAGCCCCATGAGCGCACGTCGTAGCCGATCTCCAGTATCCTAGGTGCATGCGTCCGTATAAATTTCGCTGAATAGGTCACCAGAACCGGCTTGCCGTTGTAACCGAGAAAAAACTTGGGCACTCCCTTGATATCGTCTACATTCCGCACTTGGCAAATCTCCTTCAGAGAGACGCCCTTCTTATCACTTTTGCCGAGATCTAAAAGTTTCTTCCAGTGTCGCAGTGCTACTGTCCACTCACCTCCTTGCAGACTCTTCATAGAGTCATCGGAGAGGGCGTAATAACTGGCAGGTTGAGGGTAGGTGGTAATGCGTGGATGGTACGGTGTGTATTAAGTCTGAATGCAATGGATTGATAATTGGCATCCCTAGGAGTACTCCTCGACTACCAGCGGGACGATGCAATTCCACAAGTGCACCCCGAGGGGCGTAAAGAGGGGAATAAAATAAAAATGATCAGCAACTGATTCTTCCAAAAAGTATGCAAAGAGTTAAGCAGCTACGTAGCTGAAAGCTCAAGCGTCCAACTCGGTCAGTGCAAAGTACTAGTTACAAACGAGCGTCATGAACAATCACACATAGGGAAAGCATTGACGTACTTGATAACGTTGAAGCCATGGTCATCTTCCGGATGCTTGCTGAACATGCCTCCGCTAGTAAACGGTATCTGCTGATTTACAACTAATATTTCCGGAATGCCCCAAGCTTCTTTGGGTTAGAGTGGTGCTTGGTAAGTCTGTGAAGATACAACATGCTGCCGACAAAGGAATGAGATCCAGTGGTGAGGGTAGGTTGTCCATAACGATATCCCGTTTTCCTCGGAAATTGGCAATCCCAATTGCTTATCACTTCAGCTATCTTTCCTCCTTTTGCGGCAACCGCATCGGCTCCAATACAGTCGTAAAGGGCTCCCTTCCCTTAGAGACTGTAAGTTGGCCTAGCTATCTCGCGTATCTATGACTTTCCTACTTGAAGAAGCCATAGAGATGCTCTTAGATGATAGGTCAATTTCCAACGACCCTTAATTTGAGTTTATTTTTTCGCCACTCTTCGCATACCCTGAATTCCTCACCTTGAACATCTCGCCTTTTGACCGCAGGAACTGTTCTTCGCTAATCGACTGGAATACCGAAAACCATGGGATTTCGGCTGAGTGTTTTGTTTGTCGGCGAAAAAATCTTCTCTAGGTATGATGGAATGCGAGTGGTCGTGCTTGCTAGCGTAGAGTAGTAGTGCTCTCAGCAGGAGAAGCTCCTCAAAAAAACCACAGTAATTATTATTAGATGGAACAGGTGTTTTTTTTTCCTCAAAAAAGAAATTCTACCTGATGTTGCGAACGCCTTTCCCGGTGATTGCGAGCCGGAGGATAGTCTTCGTAAGGCTGTGACACTGGGCAGTGATGTAGATGCCCCAGGAGCCTCCGTGCCTGAAATTAAAGCTCAGCATTCAGTGGTCACTGACTCTGAACGGAAGAAACCCCCTTCAAAGCTCTCCCCTTTCCCTTTTCCCTTCTCCCCTGTTCTACTCTCAAGGGAGGGTCGCCTCTTCCAATCTAAATGGTGACTCCAATCTAAATGATGACCATTGAAAGTTGAGCCTTAATGAAATGACCGTGACCATGTCCTCGTCGAGTGACTCTCCAGACTGCACCGTTAATAACACCTTGTCTGGCGCCGTTTCATTTGCTGTCGTTCCTTCGCCTGTAGATATTCGATACAAGTTGTAAGTAGTTGGTTCCTCTGCAGAACATCATTTTGTAGATATTCGATAGAAGTTGTAGCTTGTAGAACATTTTTCGTGCCACGACCAGCACTTTTAGTCACAATTATGCTAAGAACAATGCCTACTGATGAGCATGTCAAGCATCAACAAGGTGGCCAAGGATCACAGGTGGCCCAGGATGATCATGAGATCAACATTCATTCTTCATCAAGTTTCTCTACTACTTTCTGCCTATAGGTCTTCGATATTACCACACGATTTGGACTTGCTATTTGACGAACCTCGCGAGGATCTAGCTGGCTCGTTTTCCCTTCCCTCAGCTTCTGCTATCGGCTTCTTCTCTGGCGCTTTTGCCGCATCCTGTATTTCCGCGGCGGGAACGCCGCAGCACAAACCCATCCGGCCGCCCTGCTTCAGTTGCATCAATGACGAGGATGTTATCTTCCAGTGTCGTGATCTATGACGATGTTATCTCTCAGTGTGATCTTGATGCGGGAATTACGTAGTAGGCGTAGATGTGCACTATATTTCTTGGTATGCTGTTTTACTTGTGTCCTTTGTTCTTATCGATTTAAGTCTGGTAAAAACCTTGAGTTTGAGTAGCTCTCACTCATCTATGTACTTACTTCGTGAAAGACGGGAACTAGATTCTTGTTGTGCAGGATGTGCTATCTCTTTTCACTTGGAATTTTGTAGTAGAATCAATCAAAGAAATGCTGTCTTTTAGTATGCCACGTTTGCCGAAAAAGATATGCCATTTGTGTATGCTGCATTCTCTGTTCTCTCGCCTTTTTCTGAGATGAGTCTGCGTTTTTGCAAATTTCTTACTGCTCCAAACATCTTCTCATCGACCCACTGGCAAGTACCTTCTCGGCGAAACACAAAAATGGATATCCTTTTACCACCTTCACATCTCCTATTTCTCATTTTTGTCATCTTCTAGTTTTACTGATACCTTCTTATGTTGTACTTCTCCGTCCACGGATTAGGCGGCTCAGTCACAAATACCCTTTTCGTTCCTAGCATGACTTCATCGTTAGATTTTGGTAATTCGTCCAGCATCACTGGGCCAAAGTGTCCTTGTCTGAACAGCTTCAGAAACCACCGCACACCGGCGAGTAAATCGATACTTGGCAACTCAGGTTGCATGATCTGCGCGACGTGGCGCACGACTAAGTCGATACTGTTCGTCGGTTTCTTGTCCGGCAAGTCGAGGACTTGAGCATAGCGGTGATTGCCTAATTGGTTCAGCTTGAACAAGAGATATTAGAGCTTACATACGACCCAAAAAAATCCCATTTTGGGGATTCATCTTGAGCCTGTCCTTTTCCGCTCCTGCAAGATGCACTATTTTCAAAATAGAAAGAGATTAGTAGAGTTGTAAGCCTTAAAGATAGTCAGCCACGTAGAATTCGCCAACGATGTGGTCTGGCATACAGCCCAAAAGGCACAGATTCGTCTGCCGTTCTAGGTTCTCGACGTTTTTCAAAAGCATCATGCCAGGTGAGTCGATCACATGGATCAACGGCTTTTTCGAGATCGCAAAAGTGCTCTGTCCCTTGCTTAGAACTGTAACATGAATCCATCTGCACTACAAGCATCTTGGTGCCCGTTTCTTTCCCCTTGAGAAACATTCAAAAACGGCAGGCTCCTCCAGATGCTTGTTCTACTTGGGAGATACAATCTTGTTTAGATGCATTTATTCTTGGGACGATGCATTTATTCTTGTGGTCCTAATTTACAATGCTTCGTCGTGCCAGGTAGAGGGTTCGTCGTCGCTTGGTAATCCATCCGGACGCCAGCAGTGAGACTTGGGTCTAGTTGGGAGAGGTGGAGGTTAGAGAGCAGACTCTATTAATGTAGTAACTAGACAACATTCGAGAAATTGATACCAGAAGATTCGAAAATTTCTTCACCCAGTACGAACTACCTCGACTTCAAGTAGAAAGTTAATAAGGTCCCTCCATGGTGTACTCTAACACGAACACCACGTTATTTTTCTTTTCAAAGTCTTCGGCCAAAGGGCCAGAGCACCAGCTGGGGTGGGCGCAGAGAAGTCTTACATTTCCTGTTGCCATAATCCACGCATCTTGCTTCAGCCCATTGATGATTGTGCTTTTTCCCACGTTGGGCATCCCAATTACCATCATCCAAAGCCCAACGGTTGGATGCTTTACATCGCAATTTTCGATAACAAACTCTCGGATTCTTCGCATGTTTACTGAGTCTTAGAGATTTACTAAGCTTTAGACAGATAGAGCATCGATATATTAGAGTTGCTGTTAGTTGAAGGAAGGAGGGGACTTTGGAAGTTGCTCTAGTTGTACGGGAAAGGCTCCCCTACGGATAGAAAAAGACTATTTCTTCGTGACACGATGATCAAGAAAGGATCCATAATGTTCCTGCGCTGAGATCAATAATGCCGGTTTCCTCAACTCCCGCATGATACCCAAAATCCGCCTTGCGTCGCTGGCTTTTATCAAGTCCACTTTGTTGAAGATTGTCAGCTTCTTGAGTTTGCGACGCGCGACGTTTTCCGGTATAGGATGGAGGCGCTCTTCGTGTTCACGTCGAAACCCCAGCTCCTCTAGCAATTCGCAAAGTTGAAAGCGAAAAAAGAGAAGCTTGTTGAAACAACATGATCGATAATGTATGTCGATCAAAATGACCCCCTAAACTTACCATGATCACAAAGTCTAGATGGGAAGCCTGGGAATAAATTGCTTTCACTTTCTTCGACGTACGAAATTCACACTCACTTAGATGATCCTCAACTCAGGATCGAAATCATTTTTATCCCTTTCAACATACTATTGACAACTGCTAAACGGTGCTCTCGCATCCCGTATTTCCAGCAACAGATTCACGCCGCGATCCACCCTTTTTTTGATTTCCACTCTCGCCTTCGACATGTGACCCAAATACCAGTGTGGATAAAAGTCGAAGGCGAAATGCTTTCTGGCTTCGAACTTCTCCTCTACTGCTGGGGATTGACCTTGATGTCGACGATGTTCGTGCCCGTCGTGTTCGGCATCAGGTGTTGCGTACTCAGATTCGGAAGAAGAGGAACTTGATTTTGAGAAAGTAGATCCACTTTCCTCTTGTGATGTGGAAGAAGAGGATGTTGTATGTGTATCTCCGCCACGCCCAAGATTATACTCCGGTTCCTTATCACCAAAACCCAAATTTTCCCGACGCTCATGCCTAGAAGAAGACCTTGTGCCACTTCGGAAAGAGGAAGATGAAGTGCTGGTCATGCTAGAACTGTCACTACTACTGCTTGCAGACGTGTCACGTGGCGTAGTAGAATCTTCGACACCAGTCCCGTCATCAGAGAAACGTTGATGCCTTTGCCTTACTCGGCCATACCAGTCTTCTTCAGGTTTGTCAGGCTGAATCCGATCGAACGGGTCCTCTGGTGGAGGGCTGGCGTCTGGACTGCTACTAGTGCTGTTGCTACTGCTGTTGCTGCTACTGAAGGCCCTTGTACTGGTCGCCATCACTGGATACCTCCACTGCCGTCGTGACATGAGCACTACGCTCGAGCACCGTCGCGCATTACGCTGATGTAACTTCATCCTGCTCATTATGTGTTGAGGCGTCATTATGTGTTGTCACAACTCGTCGTGCTGTGCTGTCTCTCACGTGAATGCCTCCTTGCTTGTTCTCATCTGGACCAAACCAGCAATCCATAGTCTTCGAACTGATCTCCTCTTTCTGCGAACACGCAAGACTACAGGAAAATAATGCCCCCGGTCGTATCGATTACTAGTCTTCTTATAATCGAAGACGCGTTCGAAGTAGGTGTCTTTCTGGTTAAGTATGTTCGAGTAGGGTGGATACAGCAGTTGTATTTGGAATGGGCTTAGTTACGCCGGGCCAGCGATAGTCTCTGGAATCGGGGTTTACATCATCTTATCGCAGAATATGTTGTAGTCATGGGGACCAATCAAGAGCTCGAGTAAGCAACTTTATAAAAGTGTAGGTTTGGAATTCGATATGCACATTCGATCCTTTGCAGAGAACCTAGCAACTGAAGACTCGATGTCATAGTCATGGTGAGTGTTGAGAATGCAATGGGAGTAGACGACAAAAAAATTTCTTAGCAAATTTCATAGGCAGCTACAATGAATAGGCTGTGAAGGAGGAAAATGCTCAAGCACATTTGGAGGGACCTGCCAATAATCGAGTCGCAATTCGACTGTCGAATACTATGTACTAGCCATTATGAATGTAGTTATGTGTGACGTAGTAAGACCGAATAGCGTATGTGGTTCGGAGATAAGCATGATCGAGGTTTTTTCACCATCTAAAGCACAGTCGTATATGGAGGTGTATATCACAAACTCATGTCGATAATAATGGGAAGCACATTCATTTTCATAGTGGATATTTTCACATGTCTGTCTTTCCATGCATCTTCAAGGGTACACCATTTACGCGGAAGAATTGGTTTTCCAATATTGGTCGGTGGGCAAACTTACTCGGCTTCTCCACATGAGACCGCAGGTTCCAGCCGACCTATGTGAAGGTTAAAAATACAATTTTTCGAAGTAGAAAGATGAAACTCAAAGAAAAGTCTCTAGTCAAGAAGCAAGAGCAAGATACCCAGCAGTTCTGGTCCAAAAGATCACTTTTTCTCATCTTCCGTATAAACAAAAAGAAGAAAGCAAATACCACTTGACTTTCCCTCATCGTCATAAACGGTTTCTTGTCTTGCCAGTCTGTCCCTTTGCGCTTGCGCAGATACGCTGAGCGACCCTGATCTTCACACGAGACGCCAAAGCTTAGAGCTCACGACACTAATCTTCCATCTCAAAATAGTGCATCCTGGACGAGGGTGTCTTTTCCCCTTGAAAAGCCTCTCTCCTAGGATGATTTCTCCTAGTATAAGACGGACCCTTTTTGAAAAGCAGACTCTTCGTTCAGGATGACTTTCAAAAAGATGGATTAGAGATGGACCATTAGTTACTGAAGCCTTAGAAAGTAGAGCAAGTCTTCTGGCGTGAAGGATCCAGGTTGATATCGCACATCATACGGATCTGGGACCAACCGCATGTTCTGACTCAACCACTGCACCGCACTCGTCTCCCGGAGAGGACTTCGTGACTGTTGAAGTTGATGATTTTGAGAAACGATTAAGCATGATCAAAGAATCAGAAGTACAGCGATGAAGGATGATAGTACAGCATCAAGTATGAAGGAGTGAGTGAATGTGTCTAGTATTTTTAGGCGCCTGGCCGGGGGTGCTTCAGGATTCTCGCAGGGTAATCAAATGTTCGCATTGCGAGGAATATAGACCCAGGTCCCAAAAAAAAAAGTACAAAAATGAAGTATGAATGAATGAATGAATGATGTGAGTGTTCCTTTTCATCAAAAAGTAATCCATCACAGCGAGTATACCCTTTCAGCTTCCTCCGCGGAAGCTATCTCCATCAATTCGTCCGGACTTTTAGGTCTTAGAGACTCCCGCAAAATAGCTTCATCCGCGAACTTTGCGTTTAGCTTCTGTTCCTTCTCGATAGCCTTCCGTATCGAACGGAGAGTGAGCGTATCCATCTTGATGTGGTGCCCTTTTAGCTGAGTTATACAACTTGCAAGAAGTAGATGTGTTTTTCTCTGGTCGTGGAGCTAGCTCTATGTATCCCTGTATTCTAAAACTCGGAGTAGTGAGGACAATTTGTAGTTTTATCAGGAAAGCTAGAGACTTCGCTCCATGAAGCATACCTCCTCGGTGTTGCAGGACGATGCGATTCTCTTTCTTGCGGCACGATCCATGTTAGTACGAGATTTTTCTTGCCGACAAAAATTTGCGATAAACACTGCCTGACAACAACGGGAGTAGAGCCAGGATGGATAGTCGATCTCGGTAAACGAACTCAAAGGGCTCATCATACATCGAAAGAGGTCACGAAACGAGTAGCAAGAATAGACAGCAGCGATCCACTACATTGAGGATATCTGAAGATGTGAGTTCTACCACCTGAGGTAGTTGTAACGAGTTATAAGTACGAAAAACGAGTGAAGTTCTACGAGTAAAATACGAAACTTGGTAACACCAGTAGGAAGAACAGCGTGCTATAAAAACGCGACTCCGAACAGAGTGTGTTTTGTGTTCAGAAGTATATTTCTTGTGGTAATCGCGTAAATCCAACTCCACAAAGCCACCAATCCAAAATCCTATCATCTCCTTCCCACCGGTCCAGTAGCCTTCTTTTTCTTCTTGTTATTGCGAACTTGCAAGCACTGCTGAGCGATGGTGACGATTTTCTTATGGTCGATCCGGGAGAAGCCATACGGAAAGATCCGTCTTGTAGTGAGAGCGCAGTAGCAGAACTCCTGCAATAGCCGTAATTCGTATGGCGCCGTACGCAAAGTGCTTATGTTCTCCTTGTAGGCTTTGGGTTAGAAGAGAAAAGCGCTGAGGGTTTGCGGAATGAGGTTGATGCATCGCGTACTTCAATGGTACTGCTTTCCAACTAGTATAAGTTCTTTGACCCACGACATTAGATCGAGTACGACTATCTGGAGAAGTACTTACAATATTCACCACAAGTGTCATATTTCAATTCCTCTTCCCACTCAGGATAGAACGGCAAATCGTGTTTCTGCACTTGATCCTCTAGAACGCGTAATTGTTCGCCCAAATCCCATTCATCTAAAGGCTGTGATGGTCTATGCGCACTCTTAGGTATCTTGGCACAGAGAGACTCTAATTTTCTCTCCTCCCCATCTAAAAGGTCGACAAGCATCTGCCTATAGTGCTGTCGCTGTGTTATCAAATTATCCCGCATCTCCATCCGCAGGATACGATATGCGTGCTCGCGTTCCGTGTTGGGCTCGAACCTGAACAGAAAATTGAAAACACTTTAACTGAACAGAAAAAAAAAATGATGGTGTTTTGTGTGTGATCTGAAGATGTGCTTCAGATCTAGCAGCTATGATTGATAAAGCACTCATTCTGATTCAGAAGAACAAATAAACAAACCTTATAACACGGGTGGAGCCAAGCTAACTAGGAAGAAAAAGTAAGGTTAGGTAAATAAACAAATCTTATAACGACCTTGAAGAAAGTGAAAGTCTAACAAAGATCATCATGAAAGTAAGTACACCCATTCTGGATTCTCTTTGACAAATCCCCGTATTGCCTCCATCCATGTCACTGAGCAGCCGAGTGGCAGCATGCTAAAGGGGTCGATCTCTGCAGCTTCTAAACTGGACTTAGAAGATGCGCGAGTGTTGTTGGGAAGAACCGATTTTATTCCACGGCGCATTTTACAATAGACAAGCAACAACAGTAGGTATTAGATTCAAGAGATACTCATACTCAACTACAAGTATTAGTAGGACCACGCCATAATTTCCACAGCCGGTTGCAGCGCTAATATTTCTTCCTCCTCAAGAGGATATAGCTCTGCGCGTTCCCGGTTGCGCATCACACGTCTGTCATCGACCACTGAAGTGACCGTTCCGCTTTGCGTGGTGTTCATGTTGTCACTACCAGTGGCATTCATGTTGTCACTACCAGTCACAGCATTCGGATCTGTGGGAGCACCTCCACCACCCTCACCTGCACCCGCTACAAACCCTGAGCTCCCGGTCGTACTAGAATGCGGATCCGGACTCGCTGTTGTTGCATTATCCCCTCCTCCTCCACTCGCCTCTTGTTGCGCTGCCTTGTTTTCGTCGGCACTGCTCGCACCTGCTCCGCCAGACCCGCCAAAGAAGCCACTCTGCGTAGTCGTATTCATCCCGCTGGCACCGGCAACGCTAGATTGCGTCGTATTCGCGGTTTGGGACCGCTCGATCAGCCATCTAGAGCTCACGGGAAGCAATCCATTCCGCGCCTTGAATATGATCTGCTCACGTCGCGCAGCCTCGAAATCCTCCCACTCTTTCACCCACACTCGATTCTGTTCGAGCTTTTCGGATTTTGTTTGAGTTAGAATATAACTATGTAAGGCACTGAAGAAGAGCGACTATGCACTTGAAAAAAACTCTACGACCAATTGTTCTCCTCCACCCATAATTTCTCCATCCACTCCGCTCTCTCGTTTTCCTCCCAATACTCCTCTACTATGGATAGACATTCCGCAATCGCCTTATGATCTTCTTTCACAAAGTGTAGCTCGTATTCCTCTAGAATCGGAAATTTCGGTATGCGCTGTTCGTAGAAATCTGAACGGGAACGAAGGTTAGAAGTGAGTCTGCGTGACAGAAAAAATAAATATTAAACTCACTGGGTGGATAGAAGATACTAGATCTAAAAGACATTAAACTCATTGGATGGAAGGATAGAGGGTGGATCGGAAGATTTCACAAGGTGGAACGAAACCTTTCACATTCCTTCTATTAGTACTACCTGCTCCGACATAGAAAGAAGTCGCAAAACAACAACGTTGAAAAATCACAAGCCATAACACTAGTCCCACTCCGCGACTGACTCCTCGAGGCACTATTTTCGTCATCATCGTCGCCATCTTTCTCTACGGATGCTGAGCCTGATGTCTTATCGTCGCCTTTGTCCCCTTCGGCTTCGGCTGGTGCTGCGGGTCTTAGAAGTCTGAAGCCAGTTTCCCTTCTTGTGTGTCACATGTAATTTCCTGATGCCATCTTTCATGGTAGACGTAGAAAGAAGTTCCGAAAGTGCTTCTAGTAACAGTTAGCCTTCTTTCTTATATGTTCTCCCAATAATCACAATCCATAATAGAATTCGCTAGTGCACGACTGTAACAGCAGCAAGAACTACCAAGAACAATCTACCACTCCTTCTTTCACTCTCGTGACTCTCACGACGTCCCGATCCTCGAAAGAAACAAATCAACCACACGAGAACAGCCAAGCGTCTTCTATGTACAGTGTACCTAGAAATCGCAAGTCATCTAATCTTACATTGGTGTGTCTTTTATAGGTAGTCACCAACATGCCTAGCACTTTCTACTACAGCAACTACCAAGAACAATCTATCCCTAGTACCCTCATAACTCTCCTCCTTCCGGACCAACAGTTGCTCCTTCCGCATTTGCGTCTCCTTGATCTACCATTTTGCCGACGTTTTTCAACCCCATTCTCTGTGCTAGCGTAACTACACGAACGACGGCTCTAAACTTCCGACTCGCGGCACCTGGAAGACCTTCGATGTCGTCGTCTATCTCGTCATCCTCCTCCGCTGCTTCCTTGACGTCGAGGACCTTCTTTACAGTTTCCCAGTTCTCGTCCGGGATGACTTTGAAATCCAATATCCTCCTTGCCAGTTTTCTGGTGTCGCCGAGAATGTAACCACGTATCCGTTCCCAACCATCGTAGTCGAGTTTTTCCCGATGCGGCATAGCGTCAAACGTGTCGTTGTAGCCGAGGAAGAACTTCAAACAGAAGAGAAGGCAGATTAGACGGAGAAAAAAAGAACTTCAAACAGAAGAGAAGGCAGATTAGACGTAAATGGGACTTCAATTTTTTTTGGATTTTTCAAACAGAAGAGAAGGCAGATTAGACGTAAATGGGACTTCAATTTTTTTTGGATTTTTCAAACAGAAGAGAAGGCAGATTAGACGTAAATGGGACTTCAATTTTTTTTGGATTTTTCAAACAGAAGAGAAGGCAGATTAGAGAGAGAAAGAAAGAGGAGATGTACATGGGACTTCAATTCCTGCAAAACCTAAGGGATGCAACATGAAGGAAAGAAACGATGGGTCGAAGAGAAGATGTAGAGCGTGCTGATGTAGAATGGATAAAATTCATGAAAATCGAGTGCGCCTTGGAACAGCGCTTTACTTCCGTGCCCTCCCCCTCTTCTTTCCTTGCAAAATTTGAAAAAAAATTAACGTTTAGAGGGAGAAAGAACTAAGTGGTTATGAAAAATGGGGATTAGATCCTACTAGGACCCTAAGAGAAAGAGAAGGGAAGACGCAAAGGGCCCAGGGCACGGAAGCTTGCTATGGTTAGCAAGGTAGCCAAGAGAGGAAACCTTAAAATCGGGTTAACCGCGAACCGTCTCGATTTCAGCATCTCAATCCCCACGTCCCACCCACCTGGCCGCAATCGGTACTGCAAGCGTGATTTAAATTAAAGCATCAAAACATAAAAAATCGTCTCGAGATTATACAGCTGGCGTAGCTACTAGAAGTAGTACTAGTTTGTTTTTCACACGACCTTGATACCTTGCGGACCCACCAGTGAATGAATGAATGAATTCGCCTAACTTGAGGCCCTCCAAATATAGTCAGCAATTCTGGTCTATTTTTCGAATTATACAACTCTGTTTGTCATAATTCAATTCCATGATCCAACACTTGAATCTGCCACGCAAGTCGTTATCCCAATCGCGGAAGTCTACTAGCCTTTCTGCCAGTTCTGGTGGCTTCCATTTTGGTGCTTTTGGAGGTCCGTAATACACTGGAGCGATTTCGTTCAGATAGGCAATCCTTCTCTGCAAGTTTGGACCCTTCTTTTTGAGCCGCTTCTCCACTAGATTCATGTTCAGGAAGACATTGTCCTTCTCGTGCTTGGCCTCAGCCTTACGCCTCGCGGCAGGACTGCTCATTTTGTGCGGCCGTTCCGGTATCCGTTCCGGTATCCTCCGCTGCGGCAGATATGTTATATCGGAATCACCTCATCTCTAGCAGTCTTCTAACCGCATTCTGCTTGCCCCTAATCGGCACGTTTGAGCGTTGTGCTTCGCTTCCTCGAATCCGGTGTGCGAAAGAAACTCGATAGAAGCCATGAACTTGAGTCACAAAGAAAAGAGCTCTTTACCATCAATTTCTGAATCGGCAGCAGATCTCGCACTTGAACTGGTTCGAGTATCTGTTCTTGCAGTGATGTCTACAAATTTCTATCATTTTGGGGGCCTGGGTATCTGAAAATATTACCTTTTTTGGGGAAGGTTGGGAGTCCGCTGCATTTGTCAATTAAGACACACGAGTTTTCCTCTTTTCTGACTTGTTCGCCGTCTTGCTCCTGCTAAGGCGACTTGTACGCAGCGCGCCAGAGTCCAGGTAATTCTAATCCTGTTGGTGTACTCAAAAAAGTATTGGTATTCACTATTGTACAAGGTTCACAGTTAACGGCAAAGTTGTTCTGCAAGTCAATGCGTAGCAATTCAGAGAGATTGATCAGATCCGTGATCCCAATCATCGTTACAAGGATTCAATTTTTTGTTTACTCACAAGTTTACAATTATGGACAAGATTCTAAAAGCACAAGCTTCTATGATTCGAAGATGAAAAAACAAGTTCTGAAAAAACAATACAGATACACATCGAACAAGGCTATCTCCCACCACCCCCACTTTCCGTCAACATCGCCCTTTCTAACAACCTCTTTCGCAGCAGCGCCATTGGCTTCTTGTTCGAGAAGAGAAAATCCGTCTTCTTCGTGAGACTCAACGCGAGAAGGGTCAGACCTAGAGTTTCTGGAGCGTTAATGGCTTTTAGCACCGGACGAGATCTAGTTTCGGGGACACGTGGAACTCCTGAGGAGCTATTCAGCAAAATGCAACGCAATTGCTCTTCTGTTACCACGTAGGAGGCTCTGGCGGAAGGTGCAACTTCTACTCCTTGCTCGGCGAGACTCTTATCATTTGGAGAGGAGATAGCAGATGCATTTGTAGTAGAGCAGGTGATCGCGGGATCATTGGAAGTTGCTGTTGTTTCTATTACCGCTACTTGCGAACTTCTACCAGCAGATAATAATGTTGTCGCTGGTGTCGTCTCTTGTAGTTGTGTTTGAGGCTCCGCAACTAGACTGGATACGGGTGTCAAGTCAGGTTCTTTTTTGGTCACCCTTTTTGTGCTCCGGATTTTTCTTGGCGCTAATGTTTTCTTTTGCACCTCAGCTCCCGTGAAAAAAGCTCCCAGACTGCCAAACGGTGTAGAACCCTGCAGCCACGAGGATCCTCCGCTGGAGGCAGATGAGGGCGATGCTGCATCTGAGACCAGATTCAGATTAAGGTTATCATTGTCGTTATCGTCGTCGTTTTCGTCTCTGTGTGACGCCCTCGAGCCCTTTGGTGACATGTCCCACGAAGCTGCACAAGGTACTGGCAACAGGTTCTCGAACGCATTCTCCCCAATGCCACTTTCAGTCGAGCCTGATGATCCATCATGTGATGACGCAGACGATGAGGCTGAACTTCTGGCCTCGTTTTTCCTCTCACCACCTTCTGTAACGTTCATGTTTTGAGAAGATGAAGGGGTTGTACTTCTATGTGCGTTTATCCTGTCTTTCGATGGTGAAGAAAAATCCCAGAGCAGATCTGCAGTTCCAGCACTCCCACTATTCTTATTCGCAGACGCACTAGAGGCAGAGGCACGAGGAGGTAGAGCCTCGTGAGTAACTATTTCTGCTAGTCGGTCTTGGTGAGCGTGGACCTCGAGTGTCTTGTCCGTCTTTTCGGCGAGGAGAAGCTCGGCTTGCTTGGCTTAGATAGAATCAGGTAAGAGAGTTCAATCACATCTAAAAATCAACTTTGGAGGTGGCTGTAATTAGACCTTCAAAACAATCTCTGTAGTGGTAGTTCAGACATTGGAAATCTTTGCGTTAATACTCTATTTAAATACTATTAAAAATCCCCGAACACTCCTCGCCTTTAATGTGAACACTAAAGGACCCCTAAGACGCCTTTAATGTGAATGCTAAAGGACTCCCCTCCCCTTGAATGTGAACACTAAAGGACCCTTAGAGCGCCTTTAATGTAAACACTAAAGGACCCTTAGCGCGCCTTTAATGTAAACACTAAAGGACCCCTAAGGCGCCTTTAAAGTAAACA